CTTGATATTTTGAATATTTTAATGCTTGAAATGTTTTAATGATCAGTTTATAAAATTCACCAGCTTCTTATACCTTCAATTCATCAAGTTCTCTTAGATATCTGATTCTTGTTCCAAATTAATATTTCTTTACTCTTGCGTTTTTTCTTTCTCCATTTTTGTTTAATTCTAGCAAACTATTCACGGTTCACATAATTTCATTATATCAACAGCTTTCTATAAAGCGTCACCTGCGCCCCCCCCCCCCCCCCCCACCCACCTCTTTTTCTTCTTTTTTTTTTTTTTTACGTCCTCTTTTACCGCTTTAGTTGTCAAGGGAGATATAAGGTCCTGCTTCGTGCTCTTCTAGCTGCTTCGACCATCGTGGTGCTGTAGAGTTTCTCTGATGTTATCTTCCCATATTATTCTTGGTCTGCCTCTTGGTCTACGACCCTCTCCTCTTTTGGTATAGGCCTTGTATTGTATAGCATCAGAAGGCATTCTATCGAAGTGGGGAACCATTTGATTTGCTGTCTTTGTATGTAATTTAGAATTGGTTTTGTGTCGACTTGATCTCGTATGACCTCATTTCTGATTTTATCTCTTCTGGTCACTCCTAGTCTTTCTCAGGCACCTCATTTCCATGGTTACTAATTTTCTTTTATGTTTTGTTGTGAATGACCACGTCTGCGCATGGTAGCATAGGGTTGCATTCAATATGTTTTGTATGAGATTTTATTTGTGCTGATTGGGAATTGCCTACTGCTGTAAGAGGGGAGCTGTACCAATACTTGGCCTGCTTTACTGCCTCAGATGTCAATTTCTTCGTCCAGTTTACCATCTTCAGTATATGTTGTTCCAAGATATTTAAACTGAGATGCCTGTTTAATATATGTATGCTCTAATGCTGTATTAAATTCTGCTTCTTTCTTCCTATTGACATTACTTCTGTCTTTTCAATGTTGATTCTCATAATATTTGATTTACATTTTTCATTCATGGATGTGAGATGATGATGTAAATTCATGACTGCATCTGCAATCAAAGCCTGGTCATCAGCAAAGAGTAATTCGTTCCTGGGCTTGGTATCTTCGCTTATGTTGTCACCCCCCAACTCAAAAAACCAAAATGAAAAATGCTTAACTCGCTCAGATTACCAACACACCATGTGTTTATTTGCAACTATTATTATATGTTTCTCTTATCTTTGTGTGTCCAGTGTAATTATACTTTGAACCACTTGATCCTAGTAACTAATTCAACACCTTCTATCCATTAGGATTATTATTTCAACCTGTTTAGACCCAACATAAATTATTGTCAGGCAAGCAATAAGTAAAGTAAAGTACATTTTTCTACACCTGCAGGTATATTGGGCACACAGGACTAGACCTATATTTTATAGACCAGTCAGCACTCTGTGGCAGGCAACCAATGCTCAAGATAAAATGAATTATAGTTAAAAAAAAGTATGTTTAAAAAGATGATAAATTAGTTCATTTAGACACTGGACAACAAGAAATGTTATGCGCATTATAACAACCAGAAAGGAAAAAAAAAAACACATACACAGAAAAGAATATGTTATCCAGGTGACTGTATTCTAACGTCATCAGGATAATGACAGAGGAATGTACAGAATATTGCAACAGCAAAACAAGACATAGTGAACACATTTTATTCTGAGGTAAGATTATCAACAGCAGATGCAATCATTTTATAAAAATGAATACAAACTTTCTTCATGCAATGGTTTTTATAGGCACATGTAAATATAAATGATAAGGCAAAAAAGCTTAAACTCTGGATATAAATATTCTATAAACATGGAAAGCAGTCTAGTGTGGGATATCTCCTAAATCAAAGAATACTGAAACAATTTAGAAGAGTTTGTAATAAGAACCATGTCCTGAAACAGTTAGTGGATGAGGTGAGTGTTGTATTTGTAATTATGTATAAGGAACAAAGCATTAAAATAAATTCAACACTTTTGTAATTTCCAACTGAGACAAAAGTCAGTCTAGTTATTTTTTTTTTAATTCGCACATTTTAAAATGAAGTAATTTAACTTTCAAATGATGTGCATTGTAAATCTAAAATTTATGAATCTTAAATTGTTAACAGTTAACTACACAGTCACTTTGTAGACACCCTGTGACATTTCTTCTGTAGTTATTAATTGTTAAAACTGAACAACTTTATAAATGCACTAACATTTATGCATCACCATTATATAACAGATCTTGTGCAGAACATTGCTCCACGTCAGAAAGCTGCACAGCTTCTTGCCAGTTCTCCTGCCCCATGAAATTTCATTCACAGTACGTCTGCAATATCCTCTATCCACTTTGTGCTGGTAGTCATCTGCCTCTTCTTTAAGAAATGATGCCTTCTTTTACAGTTCTTTCTAAGCCAGTAAAGCGTCTCGTATGTCCAAAGATATTCAGTTTCCAAGATAGTGATGCTGTTTTTGAGCCAGTTTTATTTAAATGTCATAGAGCGTACTTTTGTTCTTTTGGATCCACAGTGTTGTAGGAATGTTTCTGCACCACCAAAGTTCAAAAGCCCCAGTTTTCTTCTATAGTGACTGTGAAAGAATTCTGGATTTGGTATCCATATTTTGCCACAGGAAAGATGCATGTTCTCAACATTTTTCTTCATCTTCTCTTCCTCTATTTACTTCATCAAAGTGCTGGGGGGGGGGGGGGGGGGGGGAGAGATAAAAGGATCTTCGGTTTGCTCTTTCTAATGCATTCGATACACTGGTGTTCATTTCCTTAAAGTTGTTCTTGATGTCATCATTTGATCTTCTGCACTGGCTTTCCCTTACTCAGGGACCATTGTATTTCTTCAGCGTTGCTTTCTGTGGCAGTTGGTCAGACGGCCAAACCATCTCATCTGTTGCTCTTTGATTGTTTGTTTGTTTGTTTAAATATCCAGAAACCATGAGTTGTTAACCCTTTGGCTCGGTACTATGGATATCGCAACCCTTCGGCCTTGATTCAATGATAGGTACCGTAAATCTTGGAGAAAATGTGGCTTTTCTGCCTACCCCCGGGAGTGAACCCGGACCACAAGGAGTTCGTCACCCGGTCACCGCGCACTCCGGTTTTAGCCAACTACGCTAGAGAGCTGGGGCGTTGCTCTTTGATAAACTTATGGTTAGTTTCAGACCTGTAATTTCTTCACTTTCAATTTAATTGCTTTTTATTACACCAGCACGAATGTTGATAGAAGACACAATAGACACAAGATTAGATGAAATAACATTTGTAATAATTTGTGAACGAGGAATTAGTAGTGGATCTGGCAAGGAGGGACGTGTGAGAGGAAGAGAACAATGTGCATATAATCAGTGTGCTACAGGAACAGTTAGCATCTAAAAAAGAAGAGATGGACGTAGAGCACAAGGTAGACCAAGAACAAGACTGAAAGATAACATCAGAGAACAGCAGAATGATGTCTCTATCGTAAAGGTGAAACATATTTTGCTTTTCACCATGTCTATTGACAGAGAGAATTAGCTTGAACCTGTACCTGGTTTTTGACCCCGTGTGGGTTATAAGACCCTGTTTGGGAGAAATAAAGACAAGACCCACTGCCACATTGCTAGCATGTTGTAAAAGGTGACTAATTAGGAGTCTGCTAAAATCAGATGTGTTGGGCCACAGGTGCAGATATCATAGACTAGCTGTAAAGCACAAAATGTCAACTGGAGCAAAAGTTTGCACTTAATCTTAAGATAAGGCTGGATTGTTTTTTATCCAGCAATTGCATTTCTAGGATCAATCCAGTCTTTTAGAAATAGAAGCTAAACAATTTTCTGAATTTTCTGGGACAATGAAGGGAGCTGCATACCCCATCTTGTGTGTCATGGCCTAGTATGTGAGAAGGTCTAACACTCTACAAAGGCAGTAACTGTGATGTGATTACTTTTCCCTTGATTACATTTTACAACTGTACTTTCTGCCGGAGATCACAGCCGAGTAAGAAAACATGGCTATTAACATCCTATGGGAAGCTGGACAAGCACATCGAGACATCTGCTGCACTGCATAAGATCATTTCTTAAATTGTATAAAGATGAAATAAAGTCTGATGCAGACTTGTATGCCTGAAAATACGTTCCAACTCTTTTCTTATTTGAAAAATAAGAGACAATAAAACAGTGTGAAATATAAAAATAAATGAAGTTTTTATCTTTATACGGGTAACATCTTCTTCTGTTGCCAATTATCCTCTAACAGAGCATAGGACGTCAACCAATTTGCGCATAGCTGTTCTATTCTTTGCCATCATTTACAACCAACCCCAAGTCCTCATCTTCTTTTTTCTTTTTTTAACCTCATTCTCTCTATTCTCCATTTTTTTGGGGGGTGGGGGGGGGGGGTGAGAGGGTTGCTTGCTATCATCTGCATTATTCTTTAATCATGTGGGTTCCAGTGCAAGAGTATTCTAGTTACATTCTTATAATATTTTTTCAAATGTGTGTCCTATCCAATGCCAGCCTCACTTCTCGATTCCTTGCAATTATGGCAACATCTGCAAACAAATTATTTCGTTTGTACAGTTGCACTAGAAAAACAGCAATTGAAATAACATATTGGGCAAGCTATCATTTATTTTAAAATAATGATTCCCATTCTCACACCTTCTTGCATTTCTTGGTGTATCTTACATGCTCTTAACTTTAAACTGCTTGAAATATCAATTTCAATGCTTAACCTCTTGATAATTTATAATTACATCTGATATCTGTTCTTGTTTTAATTGTTTATTTCAGCTGCAGTCATTGCCATATTTAACACAACTGTTATTCAATTGTTCATTAATTTTAATTTGTAAAACTAAATCAACATGGAACATTATATCACACTCCCATAATAAGCATGAAATTACAAGCCAGTAATTAAAGCCAAAAATATAGATGGAGGTCTATATTAGAACAATATAAAACCAATGTTTTTACTGTTCTTACACGGATAAATTAATGAGCCATTTTGCATGTAAATATTCAAATTCTATCTCTTGTTGCTTGTTTGTTGATTCAACCTGAAATAAGACAGAAAACAATAATGTATTTAACGCACTTGAGAAGAATCAAGGATAATGACAAGATAAGGCAAAGGTCAGATTTCTCATGTGGATTCTGGGAGTCCACTGTGGGAGAAAAAAGAATAGAATTACTGCCACCCTAACAAGCATGTCCCAAGAGGCGTCTGTGGCTTAGACGAACATGCTTCGTAATGCCGGGGTGCCATGTCTGATCCTAGATGCGGATAATTTGTCTTGCAATGGTTTCAACAGTTGTACTGAGAGCTGACCCTTCAGAAAGCCATGGCAAACTACTGAAGGTAAAATTTGCCTACAAAAACCACAACAGTAAAAAAAATACTGGGCCTGGTTCTGCAACATCTGGTAAAGAAAATGCAAATAGCTTTAAGAGGTAATTAATGATAGGTGTTTCCTTCAAAGTCAGATGTATCTGCCTGCAAAGAACCAACATTTTGCATACATTTAAGCCAGATCTGTAAAACGAAAAAAAAAAAAAAAAAAATATATATATATATATATATATATATATATATATATATATATATATATATATATATATATATATATATATATATATATATATATATATATATATATTAGGGCTGTACCGAATATTCGCTTCGTATTCGCTTCGGGGCCGAATAGTGGACCTACTAGCTATTCGGTATTTGGCTGAATAGTGGCGGTCGGGCCGAATACGAATAGTGATTTCTGCATACACTGCGATGGACTAAAATAACTCTCTCATTAATAATGTCACAATTTATAGCTGACTTTTCTTGATTTTCGCCGCGGCACCCCTGTCATACGCACCCAGTTTTAGAATCCTCTGCTGTAATGCCTCGGAGTCAGGCGCTGTTACCACGCAAACGGGTCGCCGTTTTTCCCGCTACGAAAGATTTAGGCATCGCTACTGTTGTGTTAAAGAAGGCATGAAGAAACTTGAAAGTGTATCTGTGTGTGTGTGTGTGTGTGTGTGTGTGTGTGTGTGTGTGTGTGTGTGTGTGTGAGAGAGCGAGAGAGAGAGAGACAAAGAGAAAGCATGCATTTTTTTGTTCTTTTGGGGTGTTTTTTCCAAAATCAAATTGAAGATATTGCAAACGAGAATATGAAGGTGCATTTAAATTACATTGAACGCCTGAACGAAAAATGATTTAAATGCGTATTTGGCACATGGATAAAATCAGATGAAAGATGCATTACTAAAATAAAAAACAAAATAGGACAGGCTAAAAATGCATTTTATATTTAAAAAAAAGAACATCTTGTGCAATATATCGTTGTCTTGCTTGCTACATACATCCAGTTTTAACATATGGCTATGAGTCCTGGACAATCGGTAGTTAAGCGAAACAATTTTTTGAGGCCTCAGAGATGTGGTTTTACAGAACAATGCTTAAAATACCTTGGACAGCTTAAAAAAAGCAACCACCAGGTTTTGAAAGAGGCGGGAGCCCGAAGACAACTAATCGCAGACATCAGAAGAAGACAGTCATCATATAGAAAGAGTGAAAATGGAACATGTGGTGACCACTGGAAAGATTTGTGGAAGGAGAGATAGAAAAAGACAACGAGAGAAGATTCTTGACAGTCGTTGCATGTCATGGAGGTGTGTCAGCACACAAACTGATACATGCTGCAGGAGATCGCAGATTTTGGCGAGGCAAAATCGCCACACCAGTCGGCGAGGCACCTGATGATGATGATACACTATTCGTATTCGGCCGAATAGTTGGTCCCACTATTCGTATTCAGCCGAATAGTGAAAACCACTATTCAGTACAGCCCTAATTTATATATATATATATATATATATATATATATATATATATATATATATATATATATATATATATATATATATATATATATATATATATATATATATATATATATATATATATATATATATATATATTAGTGCTGTACCCGAATATTTGCTTCGTATTAATTTCGGGGCCGAATAGTGGACCTAATAACTAATAACTATTTGGTATTCAGCCGAATACTTGTGGTCGGGCCAAATACGAATAGTGGTTACCTTACACCCGTTTTTGCATACACTGCGATGGACTGAAATAACTCTCTGATTAACACAATAATTGCTGTTGCCTAAGTCTGTTGTAGCGGTGGAAACTGCGACCCGGTTGCGTGGTACAGCAGCTGGCAAGGTATTTGCCTGCTGACTCGACCGAGGCATTGCAGCAGAGGTTCTTAAACTGGATGCGTATGCCAGGGGTGCCACGGCGAAAATCAAGAAAAGTCGTAGTTATAAATTGTGAAATTATTAAGGAAGGCATGGAGATACTTAAAAGTTAAAATTTCAATTGTTTTTCCTCGCCACTGTCGAAAGGAGTTTTTTTTCCTTGATTCGCACTCAAAGTGTATCATACTGCATAAAATGCCAACCGCAGCGTGCTAAATAATTGTCTTTGTATTTATCTTGAGGTTTGACCGATCCTCCATCTGTATTCGTGAAGGTGCAACAGATAAGTAAGGTTGTGATTACATTTTGGCTGAAAATTTAAAGTGGAAAATGTGGTCTGTACAATAGTAACTGTTGGCCTTGTCAAGTAAGGACTTATATATATTTAAAGGCAATGTGTCCTTTTTTGTTGGGGTGGGGGGTGTGCGTGCGTGCGCGCGCGCGAGAGAGGGGGGGGAGAGAGAGAGAGAGAGAGAGAGAGAGAGAGAGAGAGAGAGAGAGAGAGAGAGAGAGAGAGAGAACATGCATTCTTTCGTTACTTCAGGGTGTCTTTGCTCAAATCAAATTTGAAGATATTGCTCACGAGAATATGAAGGTACGTTTAAATTAAATCGAACGAATGGCCGGACGAACGATGATTTAAATGCGAATTTGGCACATGGATAATATCAGATGGAAGATGCATTACTAAAATAAGAAACAGAATCATCATTGGGTGCCTTGCCGACTGCCATGGGCGATCATGCCTCTCCACAATCTACGATCTCTTGCAGCATGTATCAGTTCGTGTGCCGACACACCTCCATGCCATGCAACAAGAATGTCAAGAATCTTCTCTCGTTATCTTCCTCTATCCCTCCTTCCACAGATCATGTTCTATTTTCCCTCTTCTCATAACACAGCTGAAAAATGATGACTGTCTCCTTCTGATGTCTGTGATAAGTTGTCTTCGGGCTCCCGCCTTTGTTGTTGTTGTTGTTGTTATCGATCCAGTGGCGCATGAGCTTTTGCCCTTTGGCCCAATGCCATGTAGTGGAATTTGCATGTTTTCACAAGCTGTTCTTTTCCTCCGTACAAGGTGTTCCACTTGTCTGGTCTCTGAGGGAGTAGCGTTCTTCTTGTCTCACTGAGTTTTGGGCACTCAAAGTGATGGTGTTCAACAGTTTCGTAGGGGTAGTTACATAGCTGGCACTCTGGGGAATGTTGTGGCTGTATTCTGTTTAGGTGTCCATTGAGTGGAGTTTGTTGCGTTCTAAGTCTGAAGATGGTGGCCTGGTCCCTTCTTGTTAGATTGTTAATGCTGTCATTAGGATCAGGGCCAGACATATGTCTATAAACCTCTCTTCCAGTGTCTCCCATGGCCCATCTGTTCAACCATGTCTCTTTGTTTATAGCTCTTATCAGTGTTTTTGCTGTCTGGAGGGTTGTCGCTGTAGGTGGTTGTTCTTGTGTTGCTCCTTTCTTTGCCAATCTGTCAGCTCTGTCATTACCTGGTGTGCCGGAGTGACCTGGAATCTACTGCATCACTATTCTGATGTTGTATGAGGTAATAAGCTGATCAGCATCCAGGATTATCTTGGCTTTGTCAGTTCTGCAGCGTTCACTGCCCTCCAGAGCTTGAAGGGCAGACATTGAATCTGTGAAGATGACAATATTTTGGACCTTTGAAGGGTAAACATCCATTACAGTCTTTAGGTGGTATACTGCTGTTTCCAGTGCAATTATTTCAGCTTCATAGTTTGAACAGAATTCCCCGCATGCATCAAAAATCTCTTCAACAGATCCATCGGGATAACCTATGTAGATTCTGTAACCTGCTTTAATGGTAGCTTTAAATGCTAATCCATCAGTATAGACATGTATCCATTCTTGGGGGTAAGAATCAACGGTCTTTAGTGATGAGTTCATAAGAGCGATTGGGTCGGACTGTTTGGTTTCCTCGCCTACCAATTTAGTTTGGACTTCTGGAGCTTTAAAGCGAGCATGTGGTGGTAGGTTTTTTGCAACATTCTGAATTCCTTGATGTCTTTCTGGGAGGTGGTATCTGTCCTGAATTTCATTAACACAGTGTAAAACCGATTTGTGCTTTATTCTTTGTTTGTATTCCCAGTTTTCTACAAGATGTCTATTAGGATGGTTACGTTTTTTCCTAACGCATCTTTCATAAATTTCTAAAGTGGCTTTTTCTCTCCGCAACCCGTGGGGTTCCACATTTGTATGGATTTCACATGCAGCAGTTGGTGTAGACTGCATAGCTCCGCAGATTAATCGGAGGGCATTATTTTGTACTCTGTCAAGAGTCTCTAGGTTAGTTTTGGAGCAAGTTGTAAGCAGTGAGTTGTTGTACTCTATCACAGAGCGAACATATCCTAGATATAAGCCCCTCAGAGTTTCCTTGTCTGATCCCCATGATGTACCTGCAAGTCTCTTTAATAACTGTAACCGCCTCAATGCCTTATTCCTGATGTTTTCAATATGGTTCTTGAGGCTGAGCTGCCGGTCAAGTGTGACTCCAAGGTATGTGGGATGCTCTTCTTTCATCACTTGGTGTTTGTCTAACCTCAGGTTAATATTCTTCCTTGCTACTTGGTGGCTTCTCATAACATGGCCGAAAAATGATGACTGTCTCCTTCTGATGTCTGTGATAAGTTGTCTTCGGGCTCCCGCCTCTTTCAAAACCTCTTGGTTGCTCTTTTTGGCTGTCCAAGGTATTTTAAGAATTCTTCTGTAAAACCACATCTCTGAGGCCTCAAGAAATTGTTTGGCCTGCCTACCAATTGTCCAGGATTCACAGCCATATGTTAAAACTGGATGTATATAGCAAGCAAGAATTCTTTTTCTAACTCTCAATGACAAGGATTTATTGCACAAGATGTTCTTCATTTTATAAAATGCAGTTTTTGCCTGTCCTATTCTGTTTCTTATCTCATTTATGCATCTTCCATCTGATGTTATCCATGTGTCCAGATACTTAAATGTCTGTTCTTGTCCCAAGAAACAGAATAGGACAGGCAAAAACTGCATTTTATAAAATAAGGAACATCTTATGTAATATATTTTTGTCATTTTAGGTACGCAACAAAATTAATTTAAAAAAAAAACAAACTATAGTGTCCTCTCCCCGGTGAATCTATCTCAATACATTTTACATAAAAATATGCTGCTCCCAGTTTACAGCAGTGTAACAGACTCACGACTAAGTGTTTGACTATTTGTTAAATGACCTGTTTATGGTTTCCACATCTGATTTCTGACTGGATGGATACATCACATAGTTAGAACCAGAATTCTGTTTGCGGTTGTTGCTGCTGCTGAGAGTTGTATTACTGGAGTTGCCTCCTCCTGTCAGGCCATAACTGTGCCCTAATTCTTGTAACTGAACTTTTGCACGACCACACCCTAAACATATAGAGAAAAACTGTGTTAGTTTCCTTTAAAGAAAGGTAATCATGGCATTATTTTATTTATGAATTATATGAACAGTGAAATACTTGATATGTGTCGGGAAATTTGTACAATCCCTTGTCTAATCTCAGCCAGTTTGTATGGGGGGAAAAAGGACCCTCTTCAGCTTTTTGGGGCATTGGGCATTATGTGGTACCCAATCTCGGTCAATCTGGAAGCTCTCTTTTCAAAACAATTCAGCTTTTTTTGCAGATTTGAACCCCAGGCCGACAGGGGGTGGTCCTGCAGAAGAATCACCAACTCTACCCTCCGTAAATACAAGCATTTTTCAGAGTCCAAGGGAACTTAACTCGAATGCATCAGACTTTGATGTTAAATATCAACTTTCCCGAGGATTTACCAACAAATCAACCATTCAAACAGTTCATAATTATTTTTTTTAAAAAATTAAAAATAACATACTGATTGAGATTACACTATCATCTCTTCTGTATACTCTTCACAGGATAGGGACATCCTTGCCATTTTTCCCACTCATGGCTGTTACCTGAAGGTTGGACACACTTAGATCACAGAATCTAATCTAGATGGCAGACCTGCAGGGCAAATCTCAGGTACTCTGTTCAACTTCCAAAGAAGTTATAATTAGGCCAGTCTGAAGTAGCTGAGGTCCTGTTTGGGTAAGGATAACTGTGTTTTAAACATGAAATATATTAAACTAATTACATATGATGAACTATACCTCTCTGGCCGCCAGAATCGTCTTCGCAATATGCTGTGTTATTCCAAATGGGAGTTGAAGGCAACTGCATGTTGGTAACCTTGACTTGAACATTTGGTTTGCTTCTAGCAATACCTGGCAATGGTGTTTCTATGAGAACGGGAGACTGCTGGATAAATGACAAGAATATTAATTAATGTGGTCGTAATTAACAAGAATACTTTGGTTTCTAGCAGAAAATAAGACTGGTGGATAATTGAGAAACAAATATTCATTAATGCGGTCATGTTATCAAGAATACTTTGGTTTCTAGCAGAACTTAAAGACTGGTGAATATATGAGAAACAAATATTCATTAATGTGGTCATGTTATCATGAATACTTTAGTTTCTGGGAGAGCATAATACTGGTGGATATATGACCCAAAAAATATTCATTAAAATGGTCATGTTATCGAGAATATTTAAGTTTCTAGGAGAACATAATACCGATGGATAAATTACAAGAAAATTAATGACTTTTAATTCCAGATGTAACAATACTTAAATGTCTATGAGAAAAGTAGAATACGGAATAAATCATAAGAAAATTTATGAAACGGGGTGCCATAATTAAGAATACGAGACTGATAGACCCAGTAGAAGGAATAAAAACATCCAGTATCATATTTAACAATACTTGAATTTCTAAGAGAACATGAGACTGATAGACCCAGTAGAAGGAATAAAAACATCCAGTTTCATATTCAACAATACTTGAAATTCTAAAAGAACATGAGACTGGTAGACCCAGTACAAGGAATAAAAACATCTAGTTTCATATTCAACAATACTTGAAATTCTAAAAGAACATAAGACTGGTAGACCCAGTACAAGGAATAAAAATATCTAGTTTTATATTCAACAATACTTGAATTTCTAAAAGAACATGAGACTGGTAGACCCAGTACAAGGAATAAAAACATCGTTTCATAATCAACAATACTTGAATTTCTAAAAGAACATGAGACTGGTAGACCCAGTACAAGGAATAAAAACATCTAGTTTCATATTCAACAATACTTGAATTTCTAAGAAAACATGAGGCTGGTAGACCCAGTACAAGGAATAAAAACAACTAGTTTCATATTGTTACATATTCAACAATACTTGAAATTCTAAGAGAACATGAGACTGGTAGACCCAGTACAAGGAATAAAAACATCTAGTTTCACCCAGTACAAGGAATAAAAACAACTAGTTTCATATTGTTACATATTCAACAATACTTGAAATTCTAAGAGAACATGAGACTGGTAGACCCAGTACCAGGAATAAAAACATCTAGTTTCATATTCAACAATACTTGAAATTCTAAAAGAACATGAGACTGGTAGACCCAGTACCAGGAATAAAAACATCTAGTTTCATATTCAACAATACTTGAAATTCTAAAAGAACATAAGACTGGTAGACCCAGTACAAGGAATAAAAACATTTAGTTTCATATTTAACAATACTTGAAATTCTAAAAGAACATGAGACTGGTAGACCCAGTACAAGGAATAAAAACATCTAGTTTCATATTCAACAATACTTGAAATTCTAAAAGAACATAAGACTGGTAGACCCAGTACAAGGAATAAAAACATTTAGTTTCATATTTAACAATACTTGAAATTCTAAAAGAACATGAGACTGGTAGACCCAGTACAAGGAATAAAAACATCTAGTTTCATATTTAACAGTACCTGAATTTCTAAGAGAACATGAGGCTGATGGGTAAGAGTATTAATTAACATGATCACCTTACCAAGAATACTTACATTTCTAGAACACGAGACTGACAATGAATGACAATAAAAATAATGACATTTGATCTTATAATCAAGAGTCTAGGAGAGTAATGACATCCAGTCATACCATCAACTATATTTTATTTCATCTGCAAATCTAGTAATACATATTGTACTTCTCTTTCCTTTGCCCTGTAGGTTCCAGTGAAAGGACTTTATAGCTGTGCTCTGATTAAGTTTTCTCAGTGTGTCTTATGCAACAATTTGCTTCTTGCTTTTTTAGAATTTCAGTCTCTAAATTCTGTCATTTCATTTTATTTCTTTTTCAATCTTGACAGAACGTTGCTGTCCTCATGGTCAGTCTGAAAGAAACCCAGTCTCTTGCCAGCTCTCCTGCTTCGTGCACTCTCCTACCCAAAGTGTCTCTTATATATCTTGTGCTCAGCTGCATGCTGGTCAGCCCCTGTTCCTCTTTCCTGCTATCATGCCTTCTGCGGTTATTCTTTCCAGTTCACTGTGGTGCTTGATATGGCCAACATATTTCAGTTTCTAAGTACAATGCTATTTACTAGCCAATCTACCTTATCTTTCAGATCTTTTAATAGGTCAAGGTTTCTTTTCTTCTTAGTCCATGGTATTCTAAGAATATTTCTATAAAATTTAAGCTCAAAAGCCCCTTTTTTCTTCCTTAATGACTGTGAGATAGTCCACAATTCATATCTGTATGTAGCTACAGGTAAAAAGCATGCTCTCAAAATGTTTACTGCGGTTTCATTGCTGATGCTCAACTATGTAGACTTTTATTAACGTTGCTATGGCCTTCTGTCTTTTGACTTCTGTTGAACAGTCTCCATTGCCTGTTAGTATGGAGCCTAGATATTCAAAGCTTGTAACATTTTTTTATTTCCTCATTATTTATCACAATTTTTCTGGTTATCTTGGCTATGGACTTTATTTTTTCTTTAGATTCAGGAAATGGTTTTGGTCTTTACTGTGTTTTTGGACTGTCATGTTTTAATGTTCTATTTATTCCCTTTACAATGTTTGAAAGAAGGACTGTGTCATCTGCATAGTGAAGTTCTGGAACTGGGCTACTGCCAGTTATAAGTGGATCATAACTGTCACAAGACTTGTCATTTTTGACATTTATCAGTATGCTTTCTTCATTTACACTGATTAGGTATGATGAGAGAATGCAAGTCTACCTCACTCCCTTTTGCACCTTGACCCAATTTGATACTTCCCCAGTAGCAGAAGTGACTATGAACAGAAACAACATAATAGTTACCTGTGTTATATCATTCATACAGCGGTTTGCCAGAGATCTTTCCTCGTCTGTAATGAGAATATTATCAATTGCCCTCAGGCAAGGGATAAAGTGCACCAGGATAAACCTGTACATTGAACGCTGGGTAATCTAAGAAACAAAACAATCTATTATTTTTTCACTAAAGAAAAATATCATACTCCAATCAGTATTACTGTTTGGATAAGAAACAAGGAGGACAACTAAAGAAATTACAAATAAACTACCAACATTCAGTAATCTAGTTTGAGAATGGGGGATAAGATGTTCAATGTTCACCTGCTGTAAATGTCAACAAAAAATTCTGGTTGTTGGTCCACTTCTGGACTATACTCTTGTTCCAGATCTTGAGTTGTGCATGCACATCTATTTTACACACCTGGTTTATTGGTATGCAGACTGTTGGTTCCTTGCCTCTCAGACAGATGCACTCTTTGAAGGAAACCTTTAATAAGTCTTCTCTTGTGATACATGTTTTAGGGAGGCAGTGGGTCTATTTTTGTTTTTCCCACAATAGGGCCTGGAACCTCACAAGAAAGCTGTCATTATATAATCTGCATTTATTTTCTCAATATATTTCTTTATTCTTTTTTTAAGTGGGATATATTGTTCACACAGGAATTTCTGTTCACCTGGTCTGTATTCTTGTGAGGTTTGTATATGTGTTTGTGCAGGCTGTTTTATTTTTCTGTATGGTGTGTTATTTTGCTTCATTGTAATGACATCAGAAAGAGACTGATCCACATTTCAGGTCACTTACTGCATTGTTGACCAAAGAAATTTCCATAAGATGCTGCAGTGTCTCTATTTTATCAAGCTCAGTGAGTTCTTGGATTCGGTTATTTCCAAGATATAAGCGTGACAAGTTGTGAAGACAGCCGAGTCCTGTGAGATCCCGCAGCCTGTTGTCTTCCAGGTGTAGCTCCTGCAATATCACAACTGGAATATTTACAATATTTTATGAACTATAAAAGGTAAAGTCGGGAGATGTGAACCAGCATCACTGCACACGGTTATAAACCATAAGTGCACTGCCACCAGTACGGACAGCATGGTAGTTTGTGGCTTAGTCGTTGCGAACATGCTTGTAATGATCAGGTGCTGAGTTCCTTTCCAGCTGCAAGCGATTTGGTAGTAGATGGCCTTGCATTGGTTTTGACAGTGGTATCTTCTTCTTCGCGTTCACCGGCTGTAAACTCCGGTGGATAGTTCTGGTTGTTCGTCCACTTCTGGACTGCAGTCCTGTTCCAGAACCTGGGTGTTGCATGTGCATTCGTTTGACAGATTTGACTGATTTGTATGCGGACTGTTGGTTCCTTGCCTCTCACGCAGATGCACCCCGACTACGAAGGAAGCTCCCAATAAGTCGACTCTTACGACATGCTTTTGGGAAGGCAGTGGGTCTATTCTTGTTTTCCCTAAAATAGGGCCCTGGAACCCCCACAGGGAACAGTGGTATCAACAGCCAATCATTCAGACAGGAATGAACCTAAAAGTGCTTCATAATACCAAACAGCCAGATAATCCTGGGGTTGGTTCTGCAATGTTCTGTAAAGGACATGCAACTAGCTATAAGTAGATACATTTATATTTTCATAACCCATCACCATAGGCTGTGATTCCACTGCCTTCCTATAGCACAATATAATATTATCATCTGAAAAGACGGCACCATCATCTGAAAAGACGGCAACATTCAAACTCATACATTTAAAATTGTAAAATTATCATTCATTTATCATTTCACCTTTTAACTTATGATACAAATGTTTTCACCAATTAATTACTGCAGCCAATCATGATTTCACCCATTCATTAAATTAATCCTTCATTTATTCATGTGTTAATTTTTCTCAATTCATTCCCTCATTAATTAATGGGGAGATAGTATCAGAGAAACTCTACAGCACTATGATGTGTCTATGGTCGAAGCAGATAGAAGAGCACGAAGCAGGACATATCTCCCTCGACACCCGAAGCAGTAAAAGCGACGTAAAGAAGAAGAATTCATTCATTAACTGAGAGGCTTTGCTCTGTTATCCTGGAGCTGCAGTATGGAAGTACAAAGGTTCTTGTCTTTACACAAACCACACATAAATTGTGTCCATTACATTTGACATAAAACTATCACAAATGGAGGAGACAATATAAACAAATATGCATGACATCAGGAGCTTCTTTTAGCAGTGGTGAAACATCACAAACTAGTTTGGTTCAGGCACGTGGTGAGACACGACTTGAAGATTTTACTTCAAGGAACATTGGTGAGGGGGGGGGGGAGAGGGGGTCATAGAAGGAGGAAGGGGAACAAAGAAAAATTGGAATGACAACATCAAGAAATGGACAGCAGGACTAAATTAATATACACTTGCAACAAGCAGAAGACAGAGAGAGATAGGCAGTTTTGTGTGACAGTGCCTTAAGGATACACCTCCACGACCGTTTAAATACAATGGCAGGCATAGTAAACACCTAAACATATTACATATCCCTAAACCTAGGATAGACCTACACAAAACAAGTTTAGCGTACTCCAGAACTCATTTTTATAATAAACAATAAAAAATACCACTTGTCCCTATACACACAATAGGAAACTGTTCGAAAATTATCTGAATACAGTTTACATGCCCCCATAAAAGATCAAAGTATTTTAGAAAAAAAATTGGATATATTCCTAGATTTATTACAATGACTATGGTTTACTGTAGTTAGAAATATGCACATTCCTGTGCTTGTATTTAATATTTTAAAGCTGTTGATAATGTTTACTATTATGTAATGCATAAACGAAATGATGTAAGAAAGAAGGGAGACTAGAAGGGCAGAATGTTAGACAGGACTGCGTGCCCCTTTGAAAATAAAGTTTGTTTGTTCAGTCATTCATCCATTCTTCTTCCTCCTTTTCCTCTTCTTGACATTCATCGGCTGTAAACTCCAGTGTAAAGTTCTGGCTGTTTGACCATTTCTGTACTTTAGTCTTGATCCAGAACATGAGTTTTGCATGCATATTCTGTTTACAAATCTGTCTTAATTATGCACAGATGGCTGGTTCCTTGCCTCTCAGGCAGACACCCTCCAACTGTAAAGAAAACCCTTAAATTGTCAACTCCTACGTCACATTTGTTAGGAAGGAAGTGGGTCTATATTTTTTTCTTTACACTTGGGCCCTGGAACTCACACAGGGAAGCTGGCACTCTATATGTGATGATGTTAACATCACAGAGGCAACTTTACTTGCCAACATTTTTCTTAGAACTATTTTTGGCTGTGTCAACTTGAGAGCTAAGGTCAATTTGAAATAAATCTGTCCCATTGCTGATTTCTTCTTCTTCTTTGTTCACCAGCTAAAAGCTCCGGCAGAAAGTCCTGATTTTTTGCCCATTTGGACCTTGGCTTTGCGACAGGGCCTGAGTTTTGCGTGTGCATCCATTTTACTGGCTTATTTATGTGCAGTTGATTGTTCCTTGCCGCTAGGGCAGATGCACTCTGACTTTGAAGGAAGTCCCCAATGAGTCCACTCCTTTGACATGCTTGTAGGGGAGGGAGTGGATCTATTCTTGTTTTCCCCACAATGGCGCCCTGGAACCCACATGGGGAACTGCTGATTTGAACTCAAGATCTTTGGACTGGCAGGCAAGCTTATAGACACTGCGTTACCAGGGCTCCCATCGCCTACTTAATGTAGCCACAATATTTTGGTTTCTGAGGCATCATACTATTTGTATGTCTTTGATGCTCAGAATGTAAGTTTTTTTTCCTTCCTTCTTTCTTTCTTTTCTTCCTCCTGTAACATTGTAGTTCAAAAGTTTTAGTCTGTTTCTTTATTCATAAGAGATTATTATGCTATGGTTACAATGTCTAGCACACAACAGTTAAATAAAACGATTATTTTTGGTGCAATTCTAGAAATAACGGCACACCTGCAAGCTGATCAAGTTGGTAAATGAGTTCTCTGAAAGCTGTCTGATTTTATTTTTGTCCAGCACTAGCTCTTTCAGATTATGAAGGTCTTCCAGACCTTCCACTTTAGAAATCTCATTTCCTAGAGAAAAAAAATGTTTGTGGGTAAAGTGTACAGTTACATTCTTAAATTAGAAAAACTAGAAATCTCATTAAAAATTTCTTCTGTGTTAAATTCAGTGGCTTTAACTCCAGCAGAAATGTCTGTTTGTTCATCCAATTCTAGACTTCCCTCTTTTATTTTCAGAACCTGATGCACTCTAACTTTGCAGGAAACACCCCTGATTAGTTTACTTTTATGACATGATTCTTAACTCTTTGAGTCCCAGGGCGTTTAGCATCACAGGCCCATCGGGTAGTGCAAACACACTAAAGTCGACACATCATGCGTTCACTGGGTTTCTAGGTACGAACCTATGAACGTATGATACATTCCCTGGGACTCAAAGAGTTAAGGGGGGGGGGGGGGGTATAGGTCTGTTTTTTCCCTCCCAGAAAATGGGGCCTCGGAACACACATGGGGAGTTTAAAAACTTGAAAATTATTTTATGAATAAAATGAAAATTACATTTACCAGGATAAACATTTTATAATCTCATAATTTCAATGAAGAAATGTAAAATCGTATTGTACAGAAAAAGATACACACAAAATCATTAAATAGAACACTAGCCTGAAATGGATAATGATTGTTCAACCATTGTCTTGCTAGTACCTGTACAATCATAATGACATGAGGCTCACATTTAAGAAAGAAATTCAAATTAGACATAAGTTCAAACAGCAAAATTCTACGGGAGCTGTGATAGCACAATCAAGAGATATCTCATCTGCTGTGATAACAAAATCAAGAGATATCTCATCTGCTGTGATAGCACAATCAAGAGATATCTCATCTGCTGTGATAGCACAATCAAGAGATATCTCATCTGCTGTGATAGCACAATCAAAAGATATCTCATCTGCAGTGATAGCACAATCAAGAGATATCTCATCTGCAGTGATAGCACAATCAAGAGATATCTCATCTGCTGTGATAGCACAATCAAAAGATATCTCATCTGCTGTGATAGCACAATCAAGAGATATCTCATCTGCTGTGATAGCACAATCAAGAGATATCTCATCTGCAGTGATAGCACAATCAAAAGATATCTCATCTGCTGTGATAGCACAATCAAGAGATATCTTATCTGCAGTGATAGCACAATCAAGAGATATCTCATCTGCTGTGATAGCACAATCAAGAGATATCTCATCTGCTGTGATAGCACAATCAAGAGATATCTCATCTGCTGTGATAGCACAATCAAGAGATATCTCATCTGCTGTGATAGCACAATCAAGAGATATCTCATTTGCTGTGATAGCACAATCAAGAGATATCTCACCTGCTGTGATAGCACAATCAAAGAGATATCTTATCTGCTGTGATAGCACAGTCAAAAGATATCTCATCTGCTGTGATAGCACAATCAAGAGATATCTCATCTGCTGTGATAGCACAATCAAGAGATATCTCATCTGCAGTGATAGCACAATCAAAAGATATCTCATCTGCTGTGATAGCACAATCAAGAGATATCTCATCTGCTGTGATAGCACAATCAAAAGATATCTCATCTGCAGTGACAGCACAATCAAGAGATATCTCATCTGCTGTGAGAGCACAATCAAGAGATATCTCATCTGCTGTGATAGCACAATCAAGAGATATCTCATTTGCTGTAATAGCACAATCAAGAGATATCTCATCTGCTGTGATAGCACAATCAAGAGATATCTCATCTGCTGTGATAGCACAATCAAAAGATATCTCATCTGCTGTGATAGCACAATCAAGAGATATCTCATCTGAACAAAGAAGACACAAACAATAGACTGCACAATTTATTGCCTGGCATATTTCGCTGTATCTCGTCAGGTGCATACTACAGTAACAAGTGAATAAATGAAGCAAATAGCTGAATCCTAAAAACTGAAACACAAATTCGAGTACATTCTACACTGTCTGTTTCACCAAGGTAACCTTAAGGAAACTACCATTTCTTTCTGCCTACAGAGATCCGGTTTTAACCGGTGGATCGCCGGTTAAAACCGGATCTCTGTAGGCAGAAAGAAATGGTAGTTTCCTTAAGGTTACCTTGGTGAAACAGACAGTGTAGAATGTACTCGAATTTGTGTTTCAGTTTTTAGGATTCAGCTATTTGCTTCATTTATTCACTTGTTACTGTAGTATGCACCTGACGAGATACAGCGAAATATGCCAGGCAATAAATTGTGCAGTCTTTTGTTTGTGTCTTCTTTGTTCAAATTCACATCGGGGAAACATTGCTTTGAAGATATCTCATCTGCTGTGATAGCACAATCAAGAGATATCTCATCTGCAGTGATAGCACAATCAAGAGATATCTCATCTGCTGTGATAGCACAATCAAGAGATATCTCATCTGCTGTGATAGCACAATCAAGAGATATCTCATCTGCAGTGATAGCACAATCAAGAGATATCTCATCTGCTGTGATAGCACAATCAAGAGATATCTCATCTGTAGGGATGGAGATCCTGGAGTGAAAAGCCCCATCAGCAAAAAATTGTATGTAACCACATGACTATGAGTTGACCCTGCCAAAAAAAAAATGATTTCTCTGATCAGCTATAAATCTTTCTGAAGATTTAATTTTAACTCTTAAGTATAATGCATTGTTGGTCATCTCGTTTGAATCCTGAGAAGAGCTTGCATCTATCAGTTAGCAATACATGTGAGATTCTTCTTCTTCTTCAGCATTCCGAGCCCTTGAGGTTCATTGCTGCAGATATCACCCGCCTCAATTCATCTCTCTGGTTGGCCCTCTCTTTCCAGTTGGTGACACCAAGTGTTTGCAGGTCTGTGTGGACATTATCTTTCCATTATCTTCTTTGTCTCCCTCGTGGTCTATGACCATTCATCTCCCAGGTGTATACAGTTTTCACTTCTCTGTCATCTAACATTCTTTCAATATGCCCCAACCATTTAAGTCTATTAGCTCTCATGATGCCAGTGATCAGTGGTGATTTAAACAGGTTATGAATTTTATTGTTGCTTCTCACTCTCCATTCACCACTGTTTGCATCTTTGATGGGTCCAAAGATTCGTCGTAAGACAAAGTTTTCGAAAACCTGTAATAAGGCTTCATCTCTTTCAGTACAGCATTACTTGGTGTTGGGACATGGCCAACACAGCCACGGGGACCGGGTATCTACTGTGATAAGTGGACATCTCTTGGGTGCCCTCTGTCATTGCTCTAGCAGGGCACTTACTTTTCCAGGTAATCTAAAAGGTTTCTGAAGGCTGAGAACATGTTCTAAAGCCGTGTGGATGTGGAAAGCAGGGGAAAACTACTACACAACTATTCCAAGAAAATTATCATAGAAAATAAAAAAATTAAAATTATATGGCTAAGCATCAGCAAGGAAACAAAAATACAAATTTTGACACTATAATTTTACCTGTAGCGACACATGGATGTGAGTTGTGGACTGTGTCATAACATTTAGGTAGCGAATAGGGGCTATCAAGCTGAAATGCTATAGAAAGCTTCTCAGAATACAATGGGACAAGAAGTAAAGGAATATTAGTTAGTTAGTTGCGTATCCTTTAAAGGACGTTACAGAAACAACCCCAACAGCCTCTGGCTGTTGTGTGGTTTTTCTAGGCAAATTTACCGCCAGTAGTTTGCCATTGCTTTCTGGATGGTCAGCTTTCTTGATAGCACTGTTGAAACCAACGCAAGGCGCATGGCCCACAGCTGGGATCAAACCCGGCATCCCGGCATTACAAAACATTCGCATTGAGCCGACAAAGGAATATTAACATCCTTAAATTTTTTTAAATAATGGAAAACTGCTTAAAAACAGCAACTTGTCTCATAAACTGAAATATTTTAGCCATATCAAACATCAGGGTACCTTGGAAAGAACAAAAGCATAAGGCATGGCACTAGGAAAGAGGGGCAGGGATTGACCAGCGGAAAGATGGGCACAGAATACAAGATAGATCTTGGGTAGGAAAGTGCATGAGGCAGGAGAGCTGATGAGAGACCGAGTTTCTTGCAGGCTGTGATGAGAGAAAGGTTCTGTAGAAAAACCTGCTACATGATAATGATGATGATGTGTTACAATGGTATATACACAGATGTGGATCCTTGCTGCTGGCACACTCTACTGTGATTTTCTATTTGTGATCTATGGAATAAAAGTAGAGCAACTTAGAAGGTGCCTAGGAATACAACTAATCCTAATATAATCCAAACAAAATCTTCTTCAGTACCTACCTTGCAGGAATAGTGCTTTAAGTGAAGGCAGTCTGCTCAGCTGTAGAGCAGCCAAATCTTTGATACCATTGTATCTGTGGCAGTCAGAGATGGTAAGTGAATATTTTAAAATATAACACACACACACATACAAACAACTACAAATTATAAAGTGGTGTGACTGTCCGGGTCATGAATAGTCTGTCACAGAAATTGTAGTATTTTGAAACTTCCCACCATTCACACACTTGCTGGACTGACAGGCATGCAACATCATGCAGGACCTTTATTTGTTGATAAATTTGTTTATAGGTTTCACCTTTCCCTGATCATAAAACAGATAAAAGAATTCTGCTTCCCTTTGGTGCATGTCAGAAATAAACTTCACTGTCACATCACTGTATTCACCTGCACCGTAAGGTCCCATGCTTAACACTCATGGCATCCTTAACAATAATACTGACATGTTATAAGACGATTGTATGGTTATTGTAATTTATATTAGACTTTTAAGGTTTTTATTTGAAGCTCCCTAGTACCATACAATAACAAATGTATACACTATTTCATCAAAGCATTAACAGTTTATTTTTAAGCACCAGCAAGGAAATGAAAGCCAACATTCTGAGAGAATGCATCTTCCTTGTAGTAACAACTATCTCACAGTTATTAGGGAAGAAAATAGAGAGTACTGAGCTAAAATTCTTTAGAAGACTTCTCAGAATACCACAGACCAAAACAAAAAGAAATACATCCTAAAAGATCTGAACACGAAAGAAGATTGGTAGTAAACAAGTTCTTGTCTAGGACACTGACAGATTTTGGCCATATCAAATGTCATGGTGGATTGGACAGAATAATAGCAGAAGGTATGGTACCAGGAAAAAGGGACAGTGGCCAACCAGCATAAAGATGGACACAGGATATAAGAGACAGCTGGCGAAAGACAGAGTTTCATTCAGGCGAATGTAACGAGTGAGGTTATTCAAAGGACCTGTTACATACATGATGATGATTTTTCATCACATTTTCAGTAACAGTAAAAATAACAGAAATGTACAAACCCTAAATGCAAAACTTCCAAATTTGGTAAAACTGAAGTACAGTTGTCAGTTGTGGAGTCCACAGTCTTACTGCCAGCTGAGAGGACAATACGGTTTTTTCCTTGGTTGTTTAACATCCCTTTTGGTTTTGGCAGAATACACTCAATGTGATTGTTATTGAGGCACAGCACCTGGTAAGAAAAAAAAATGTTTTGTTTAATTGTCACACATGTAATAAACCTTACAGACTTACAGACAAGTGGTGTTCACGCTCATCCACAGGTCTCAATCCTCAGTTTTCTGGATTATTATATTGATGGTATTTCTCTACACTACAATCTTAGACCATCCAGAACAGTCTCTCTTAGTCTGCCTCTGGCATTTTTTATCTCAGATCTTTCCAGTTACTGTGATGTTCTCCAATGCCTCTATTCTCATATTATCACTAAAAACATTGTTTGCTGTAGCTGTTGACAATGTTAATAACATCACAAATTTTCAACCAAAGAAGCTCAGGATATAAGGCAAGAGGAAGACCAAGGAAACGGTGGATTGACGGGGTCTCCGAAACCTACCAAAAGCATGGCCTCAGAACATCAGATGCTGCCCGCCTTGCTTATGACAGGAACTTGCATCTCCCCACAACGCTTAGCGGCATACGTGGAAGGAAAAAGTAAGTAAGTAAGTTGACAATGTTCTAGTTATAGCTTTTCCCAGGCATTCATTGTTAGTTCCCCTGGCAACCTTAGGTATTTGCAGCACTGTGTAATTAAAACATAAAAAGGCAGTACAGCAGATATATAACGGAACCTAGAGTATAATGACATGGGCACTCAGGACAGCCTTAAAAATCTGTCCCAGTAGGGGATTCCTCAGGAATGCTAAACAAACAAAAAATGTGTGAGAGACTCGTAGAAATTCCTGAAAAAATCATTTTTAAAACATTCAACATGGGACATTTTAAATTTTGTTCTGAAATATGTAGAGATATACAAAGGAAGCAATAAATAAACATGAAAAGAATGAAGCAGGAAATGGAACAAAAATCCCTCAGGACACAAAATATGTATTGGGTGATTCATGCTGTGACCCCTTGAATTAAGGAAAATTTGATCTCAACTTAGCTCTAAAACAAAAACACTATTTTATTCATGATTAAAAACCCTCTAAATGATTTTTAAAACAATATATATATACATATATCTCTAACGTGACATACTAAATGCTGCACATATAAAAAAATAACTAATGGCAATATCCTAGGTGTCTCGTAAACATGTTGCTGTAGAAATGGCGGTTAAGTAGCAATGTGAGGGACTTGGAACCTACCAGAAGTGACAGGTTTACGGCTTCCTGGGGTGAAAGGGATAAATTAATACTACTGGGCAAACAGGCCATCATGATATGTTAATTCATTGTTTTGGAAGGGGGGGGGGGATCTCAATGGGTGGATGTGTCAGGATAGTTGTCAGGGTCATTGTCTTATCATGTAATAGTAATCCCTAAGTATCATTCACTCAACAGGGAGAAATCTAGTCAGCATAAATGTTTAAATAAAGAAAAGTAAACAGGTTTTCCATGCTTCTAACAAAATGACTATTCAGAGCTTGACAAATATTTTTAAAGATCATCAGCGCTCAATTGTTGTTTAGGTCAATTTAATTTGGCTGCTTTCCTTCTAGAACATTTCCTGTTATCCAAGTCAAGACAGTGTAGATCTCGGAGCAACTAATTTCTTTACAAAATCTACATGAATCAACATCCCAATGAATGCTCTGACTGCTGTACTGCATGTGCAACTCATGAAACCAGCTTACCTTTAAATTTACCAAGTAAATCAAACCGGCCAAAGACTGCAGGCTGTTGTGCTCAAGGTTCACACTGCAAACACAGAAGTAAGAACTCTGAATCAGAAATGGTAGCAGCAAATAAGGTAACATTAATACTTCAGCATGGCGTTACAATGTCAGGTCCCCATTATCAGGTATTGGGCTAATAACGCTCAAATATTTCTCAAATTCTATTTGTCTTCTGATATTTTAATGAAATTGATCTTTTCAACTGAAATTTTAATAAAGTTTACCTTGGCATTTGACATTTTAATGAAGCTGATCTTTTCAAGTGATATTTTAATGATATTTATCTTTCAGCTAATAGTTAAATGAAACTGATCGTCTTATTTGATATTTTAATAAAAGTTTATATTGCTAGTTGAAATTTTAACTTAGCTAATCTTTCCAACTGATTTTTAAATGAAGACGACTTTGCCATCTGATATTTTAATGAGTTGATTTTTTCCATCTATTTTAATGGAGCTGATATTTTCAACTGATATTGATCTTGCTTATATTATTACTTGTAGCTTTCCACACATATTTCTTCAGTCTTTCTTTGTCTCTCCTGCCTAGTGTTTTTCCCTACAAAAAGTTGACTACATCGTTAATGACTATCCTATCCCATCTGTTGACATCTTCCACACATTGCCTTCATCTTCACTACAGTTCTAATGACTGACCTAGTCATGTCTGCATGTGTAAATATCTCATCATCTGTAATCTCCTTAGTCTACAATTATTCTCAACTCTTTCACTACCAAAAAACTCACTATATGTTCATTGGTTACTCTTTATATTGTTATTTTTTCTTTGCTTTCCATGTACAATTCTTCTGCTATGTTCTCCATATTCTTCTTGTCTCTACTTCTGGAATATCTAGCGGCAACAGGGCAGGAGGAGATCACTGGAATGGGCCCTTCTGTTCGCTTCTCAGTGTCTTTGATATTTCTGAGGTCCATATTCTGCGTGGTCAGCCTCAGTTTCTGTTACCTCTGTATCTGTATAACATTGCTCTCTGTGGTGCCCTGTCTGATGCCAATCTTGTTACATGGCCAAACCATTTCATTTGGTTACCTATAAAGTTCAATATTAGTTCTGTGCAGACTCTGCTCCTTACATCTTCCTTCCTATGACAATCTATCATCGTTACACCTAGTACAGAACCTAAACATTTCATTTTTGTCGTGACTATTTTCCTTCTGTCTTTTGAATGCAGTGTCCATGTTTGACACTGATAGCATATCTTTGGTAAGAATATTGTGTTGAAGAGTGTTTCTCCTATATTAACCGCTGATATTTCAATTGCTGCTATAATCACTTCTGTCCAAAGGGTATTTTAATTCTGGTCTGTGAGAAAAAAACAAAAGACGGGTTAAGATACAAATACTATAATACAGATATTCATCATCACCAAGGGCCTTGCCGACTGGCCTGGGCGATCAGGCCTCTCCACAATCTGTGATCTGCAGCTGCATGTATCATTTCGTGTGTTGACACCCCTCCATGCCATGACAAAAGGCCGTCAGGAAACTTCTTGCGCTGTCTTCCTCTGTCTTTCTTTCCACAGATCTTTCCAGTGATCATAACATGTTCCATTTTCCTTCTTCTCTTAAAAATTACAAAAAAATTATGACTTTCTCTTTCTGATGTTTGTGATAAAATGTCGTCGAGCCCTCGCCTCTTTCAAAACATCTGGGTTGCTCTTCTTAGCTGTCCAAGAAATTCCAAAGATTTTTCTGTAGAATCCGATCTACGCGGCCTCAAGATATTGTTGGGCTTCTTTATTAACTGTCCAGGATTCATACAGGCATGCAAGGAAATTAGCAAGCTGACAGGCTTGTAGGTACAGCTACTGTGAAGAACAGAAAAGCCATGGATCAGGCAGATATATTGAATCCTTTATGAAAGTAACATGTTTATGAGAACCAAATGAATGTAAATCTTCAACCATGACCAGACTGCAAGAACAGATAGTTAAAAAGTATGTGACTAGACAAAAATACTATAAAGGTAGCCAAAGAAGAATAAGAAACCAACAAAAAACTGGTGTCATCACTTGCTGTATGCTGGATTAACTGAGGGGATACAAGCACTTTCGGAGTGAATAGTTCAATGTGCAATGAGGATAATATGTCGACTAAATAACTATTTTTTGGCTTTTTTCCTATGACTAAGACCGCCTTGTGTTGTTTTCGACAGTTGTAATGAGAGTCACCATTCAGAAAAGTAATGGCAAACATTGAATGATTAAAAAACAAAAACAATAGCCCAGAAAAATCCAGAACACTCAATAAATGCTGAGGCAGGTTCTGCAATGTCCTGTAAATGATTCAAAACTAACAAGCCTCTGACTAGAAACAACACGGTTCAACCCCAATAGGTGGCGTGTGATTTTGGTCCCAGATGTGAGGGGAAGTTAAGGCCTTTGTGATGTGTATATAGAGCTACTCTGTACCTCACGTCAGTGTCTGTGGCTTAGGTATTGCAAACGCGCTTCATAATGCTGGAGTGCTGGGTTTGATCCATCCATCCTTACTCAACAAATGCAAGCTTGCACTAGCTTGAATGCCCACATGCATGCACATACACACATGCATACTGACACAAGTTTCACCTTCTGAGATTTAAAAACTGATCTGCTGTGCCGAGGTTCACTGCCCTTAAGCCACAGTTTGGCAGATCCAATTCCCGCATGCTACAGAATGAGGTGTGACCCATTTTCTCAACAATAAAGTCCACAGTTAGACGCCCATCGAATGTATCTTTGGCAACATTACCCTCAACAGCTTCCTGTCGGTGAAGAAAACAGTTATACTGAAACGTTTGAAAATAAGTGAACTTAAAATAAAAAGCAACAAATGATTACATTCCAGAGCCCCATTGTGGGAAAAACAAGAATAGACTCCACTGCCTCCCTAACAAGCATGTTGTAAGAGTCGACTAACTGGAGGCAGAGTACATCTGCCTGGGAGGCAATGAACCAAGAGTCTGCATTAAGATAAGCCAGATCTGTGGAACAGATGTGCATGCAACACTCAGATTCTGGAACAAGACAAGTCCAGAGGTGGATGAAGACCTGGAACTTTCCCTCATACAGTACAACCTCATTAACACGAACTCCAAGGGATCGAAAATCAAGTTCATGTTTTAAAAAAATCACACTAACCGTGGGCAAATAATAATAATAATACATCTTCGCTGGGACCAAAATTTAGTTCACTTTAACCAGGTGTTTGTTTTAAGGGAGTTTGTGTTAATGAGGTTTTACTTATACAAGACACTGACACAAATCAGGTAACAATTAAACAAGTGGGTGGGGAGTTACAATTATTGATGGTTAAAAAACAGCGATGCAAACATCACAGAAATAACATGCTGAATAATCCAAGCAGGGGCAGCATTCTATCTGATGGAGAACATTATGTGTAATATATTCCTGTTAATGGAAGTCAGAACTAGTTCTTGATTGTTACAAATTGCACCTTGTACATTGAATTATGAGGCTGTATAGAAACTCGATGCACCTAAAGGCATGAAAAGATATCTTTACTTTTTACTTTACTATATATATATATATATATATATATATATATATATAAAATAAATGTTATGTGTCAATAAAATAGGATGCAAACCTATATACAATTCAGTACTGTTTCTGTGAGTAATGTATATAGTTTTTAAAAAAAGGGGGGTGGGGGGGGGGGGGGGGAACAAGTTCTTAATTATAAGAAAATGTCAGTGCAATTTTGCTCATTCACCCTCTCTGTTATTCAAATAATAATTAAGCCATCTGCCATGAACTCTGAAAGTTGTCAGTTCATTTCACAAACTGTCCCCCCAGTTGATGAGTGAAATTTCTACAGGGAGCAGTGGGGATCATTGCTAGAGCTAGGGAGTTTAATGCTTTGTGCTATGTGTATCTGTGTGTGAGAGAGAGAGGAAAAAGAAAGGAATATGAAATAATATAATAAATTATGCTTACTGCTTTCTCAAACTTTCAAAATTACACATGCATATAAACTCCTCACAGAACACACCCCTATGCACTTTTGCACATGTAAATTTCACACTGACCAAAGAATAAAACAGACATAAGTGCTAAAAAAATATGAAGCAAAATTAACAAGGAACAATAGATAACTGTCATATTTTTAAAAAACATAACAAACAGCAGCTACTACCATGTCTGGACTTTACTTAAAACATCAGTTCACAGTTTCTTTAAACAACAAATTTTATATGAAAGGAAATTAAGTGATTACAGTAATGATAGAAACACGTTTGTTAATTACACCAAGAATAAAAACTAAGTAAACGGTTATATATTTTATTTCAAAATTTATTAAACTTTACTAATGTGTGTTCTTGTTTTATCTGCCACAATTCATCATCATCATCATCATCACCATAAACCACTTTTGCCGTTAAGTCTTGTGTGGGAGGAACAATCTGCGATCCAGTGCACTGAGAGATATAGTGCCCATGATGGCATCTGATGTTGTCACATTCTAACAAGATGGCTAAATTACTTGATCTGCTGTTTCTCGATGAAGTATGAAATGAGCATTAGGTAATGTCCATGTCTGAGGCTTAATGTTGAAATAAATATGCTGCTTATAATCTGCCATGATTAACATACACATTTCAACATCACTATCAAAGTTCCGTGCTCCCTGTGGACGATAACACTGTAAGAGGTGCTCTCCAATTGTTTCTAATCTTGACATCTCTATTTCTCACCAAAAGGTGTTCTCTCTTGATCTCTTTCCTCCTCCCTACCTCTCATCTCTCTCTCTACCTTTTATCCCTCTCCCTCCCCTCTGTCTCCCAAGTATATTCATCATCATCATATAAAAGGTCCTTTGCAGAAAACCTCATTGTGGAATGTCAGAAAATCATTCAGTCATTTCCCCGTTTATCAGCTGTAAATGAGTGGAAAGTTCTGGTCACTTGCCCACTTCTGGACTTTAGTCTTGATACAGAACTTGAGTTTTGCATGCATATTCATTTTACAGATTTGGCTCATTTTGCATGCACACTGTTTGTTTCTCACCTCTTAGGCATTCAGACTTGAAAGAAAATGCCCCAATTGTTGCTTTTTATGACATGGTTGTTGGGTGGTGTGGGGGTGGGGTGGGGGGGGGGAGGGAGGGGGAGCCGTGTGTCTATTCTTTTTCTCCCTTAAAATGGGGCCCTGGAACTCACAAGGGGAAGTCACAGTCTTTTTCTTCTTTACGTCCTCTTTTACCGCTTTGGCTGTCGAGGAAGATATAAGGTCCTGCTTGGTGCTCTTCTGGCTGCTTCGACCATAGACACATCGTGGTGCTGTAGAGTTTCTCTGATGTTATCTTCTCATCTTGTTCTTGGTCTACCTCTTGCTCTACATCCCTCTCCTCTTTTGGTATATACCTTGTATGGTATATCATCAGCAGCCATTCTTTTCAAGTGGACAAACCATTTGATTTGCTGTCTTTCTGTGTAACTTATAACTGGGTCTGTGCCAAATTTTTCTCGTTTGACCTCATTCCTGATTTTATCTCTTCTGGTCACTCCTACAGTCTTTCTCAGACACCTCATTTCCATGGTGACTTATCTTCTTTTATGTTTTTTTGTGAGTGTCCATGTCTGCCACTGGTAGCATAGGGTGGTAATTAATATGCTTTGTATGAGATGTTTTTTTTTTGGGGTGCTAATTGGGACTGCCTTATGCTGTAAGAGAGGGGGGAGGGGAAAGCTGTCCCAATACTTGGCCTTCTTTACTGCATCAGATATCAATTTCTTCATCCAATTTACCATCTTCAGTGAATGTTGTTCCAAGTCACTCAGTACCCGGCCTATTTTCCCGCCTTGTGAACTTTCATGCCAGGGTGTCCCTGATATCCTGTGTCTGTCCTTGGGCTAGTGGTCCCCTGCCTCTTCTTCCCAGAACCACACACTCCATTACTGTTCTCTACAAACCATTCTAGACTGTTTATATGCATGCGAAAAAAAAATCAAAAAAAAAAAAAAAAAAAACGCACAGAGATAGACATAAGTGGTCAATTAATCAATTAGTATGATTGTGTAAAAAAAAAACATTCTTAAATCTGACACTTTGATAAAAAAAATCTACTACAATTTTTAATTTAAAATATTTTAACATGTGTTCTTTCACAGTAAAAGAAATTTGGATTAATTTTTTTCTTTCTAAAATTTTCAAATAATATGCAGATATCATACACACACGTTAGCAACCATGCACAGTGTGCCAGATGGTAGTAGCTACAAACAACTAATTAAAAAATTAAGCATTTAAACATTTTCAGGAACAGTTTAAAGCTCAGGGTTTTCAATATCAAAACACAAATTTGGATTTTTCTAAACATTTCTGTTAACAAAACATGGCCCAAAAAAGGAGACACATAATGCCTCCATTTCCTTCAGCCATTTTTTTTTAAACTTTTCCCACAAAATGAAGAAATGCTTAGTTGTTTTTAAACTTATATTTCATGGCCCAAAAAGAAAAATTAATTCAGAAACAGTCCATCTGATGTGTACATGAGTGCCCCTGACTGAAAACCCTGTGCAAGTCACCTGTAAAGAGCTATTATTCATGTCAAGCAAGAGAAGATCCAGTGTTGCCTGGGTTTTCTGATAGAGTGCCATTTCTTTGCGAATATCCCTTGGTGCCTTAAAATCGGCAAATATAAGACATTTTAACTAATTCCTTTGTGATATTTACTGCAGTGCAATTTTTTAAATTTTACTTTTAGCTATTCATTCGGTCCTATCTGGCAGGTACTGCTAGACCACTTTTATTTATTTTACAACAGTAGCTTCCCTTGGTTAATCATTACCTACATTATTTTCCCTAACCGCCTGCCAACAGAGGGAGCCAACATATTGTTGTAGCTAGAGACTCATCTGCCAGCCCGAAGGGCTTGGATTTGAATCCACATCAAATAGATATTTCATAACTGACCTTGCCTCCCAGGTCGATCCAACCTAACATAGGCTCTAGGTCAGTGTATCCCAAACTTGTTGTGTGCCCAGCCCCACCAAAGCCTTACTAAAATTCTTATGCCCGTATGTAACTTAAACTCTGGACCAGTCCATTTTTGAATTGCCCCCTCTTTTTAACAATATCCTCCCCCCACCCCCCGGGAGGGGGCTCGCATAGGAAAACACTGCTCTAGATAATGTCCTGGTAAATAAAGGCTGTCAATGTGATGATGACCAAACCACCACCCGAGGGATCGAGGGATGATTGGTTTATAAAAATATAAGTCTAGCACAACAAGTCTGATGTATCACCGCCGTGAAAAGGGTCATTTATATTTTTTTAACTACCTGGCAACACTGCCAATAGAGGTTCAAGGTACTGGATTTCCCCAAGTATAATACACACTTATATTTAAGAAATATAGGGTCTAAAAACAGTGTGCGTCTCATACAATGTTAGGAGATATTCATGTAATCGTATTATTTTTCTTTCCTCAAAATTTCCGATCCCAAAATCAAGTTGCACCTTATACAAAGGGTCATCTTGGTGAAATGTGGTATTTCATGAACAATTCTTCCCTTATTAAATTCATCATCAAATGTCTTTTTAACTGTCACCTGGCAACCGTGACTGTTGATAGTTCTCCGTTTTCAGCATAATGTTTCAGTTACTGCGTTCAGATAATTCCATGTCATAATGAAAGTCTAGAACCTTCTTTCACTGCTTTTCTCTATCTCTTTGTCCATTAATCTGACCTGCTGTTATACTGTACACCGTTTCTCTCCCATCGTCATCCTGTACCTTGTCACAAGTGGTGTTCACGCTTATCCACAGGTCTCAATCTTCAGTTTTCTGGATTATTATATTGATGGTATTTCTCCACACCACAATACTAGACCATCCAGAACAGTCTCTCTTAGTCTGCCTCTGGCATCTTCTATCCCAGATCTTTCCAGTTACTGTGATGTTCTCCAATGCCTCTATTCTTATCTTATTCCTAAAAACATTGTTTGCATTAGCTGTTGATAATGTTCTTGTTATAGCTTTTCCCAGGCATTCATTGTTAGTTCCCCTGGCAACCTTAGGCATTTGCAGCACTGATCTAATAAACTACACCTGTAAACTGTGCACACATGGAAAAGGTATGTACTAGAGAGGAAGAGATATAGAGGAAAACTGTTTTCTTTTAAACGCAAAAGCAATATTTGTACCTCAACACATTCTGGTATTTTGTTTTACAGTGCAGACCGCTTAAGGTGATCTCGAATGTAGCAAATTTCTGTTGTCAAAAACAATTTGTTTAATCTCAGCAATTTTTCTTGCTTGAACTCTTGTCTAGATAAGAGGAATTTCAGATAAGAAGAACCATTTCTTGGGTCCCATGTGAGTTCTCCTTATCAGGCCTACATTGTATATGTTTCTGCTAGTGAATCACACTCTATGGTATTTTTGGAGAAAAAAAAGCAGATAAATAGATGGCTGAGTATGTATATCAGTTAAAGTAACTCAATAACATATCTACTGCTATTTGTATGGTTTCTTATTCATCCACAAACATGACATTTTGTGTAGCCTAAAAATGAATTCACTAAACATAAACTATGATTAAGAAGCTCAGCAAGAAAGAAAATTTAAAAAAAAAAAAAATTCACACATGCAACCAAACAAATTGACCAGTCTTTATTAAAGAATAAAACAAGAAGCAGTGCCATCTTAAACATTAGAATCCAACAAGGGAAGTCATACAGCGAGTGGAACAGAACTATAATGGAAGTGTGAAATGTAAGAATAGGAAGAGCTGATGCAAACAAATAAATAGAAGAGTGAAAATAATAATTAAGTGTAAAATAGATCCCAACTAACATTCAGCTACTAACTAACATTCGGCACTAATATTCAGATTAGTGTATGCAAGGAAACATAACTCTCATGTCTAATAGGTCTGCACCTACTGATTATTCTCACCATTTAAGGTTCTGGGTGCCATAAATAGTCACTCACTCAACAAACCATAATTAGCTCTCATGTTTCATGACGCTGACAAAATTAACTATTCTAATTAATTTGTTTTGTTTTTGGTTAAATGTGTCAAGAAAAATTACTCAAAAAGATTACCAAAGAATTAAAAAAACTGAAACTTACAATGGCTGACCCATCCAGTGCCTTCAGAGATTTCAGGTGGTATATCACAAACAAACGATAATTTTCCACTTCTGATACCATTGGGTTTCCATACATATCTAAAATAACCAGACTGTGCAAAGACTGAAAAAAATGTTTAATACAGCATCAAAGTTATATGTAAAACAAAGTAATTTATGTAAACGAAAGAAAACTACAAACCTTCTCATTCATTTAAAAGTACTTTCCAAATGCTCTATTTATAAAACTTGGCAAAGATGTAAGCAAGAGGGAATAACTAGTTACAACTGCAGGTTGTTGCTGTTTTTTTTTTTGTTAGTTTGTTTTTCAAATTTTTTAAATTGAAATAATGTGTGTGTGGATCTATCTAGTACATGTGCGCTTATCTGTGAAGGTTTTGCATCTGGTCTACCATCCAGAGATAATGGAAAAGTTTAAAATTTTCAGATTCCTCATTTTGTAAAGAAATGACCCTGAACTGCAGTCGTACTCAGTACTTTTCAAGTTAGTGATGGAATAAGGTAACAAGAAAGGAAATAAATAAATCTTTAGCAGGCAGACCTCGCTAATAATTTTCTGTGAAATAATATTTTGCAGAAACCAATCTCAAGCAGGAAGATCGCTCTAAGGCTGCTAATGGCTTCTTGCTATGATTGGTAACTTCTTCTTCTTCTTCTTGATGTTCACCGGCTGTAAACTCTGGTGGAAAGTTCTGGTTGTTCATCCACCTCTGGACTTGAGTCTTGTTCCAGAAGCTTATATGATCTAGCTTATTTGTATTCAGACTGTTGTTTCCTTGTCTCTCCAGCAGACGCACGCTGATTCAAAGGAACCTCCCAGTTAGATGACTCCTATGACATGCTTCTTTGAGGAGGCAGTGGGTCTATTCTTGTTTGCCAGACAATGGGGTCCCAGAATTCACACAGGGAGATTAGTAACATAAACTATCAGAAATAACGAAGAAAATAATTTTTAGCTAACAACTTCTGGAAAAATACAGTCTGATACCAACCTTAAGCAAGAAGACCTCCCTAATGTTGCTGATGTTGTTATTGCCAATATACAGCTCGACAAGGGCAGTGCTTCTCTGAAGCCCACTAAGGCCAGTTAGCCGGTTCGACTCAAGAGCCAGGAATGTCAGGTTCTCCATTTTTTCAAGGATGCCAGTATCAATAGTAGTCAGGCAGTTATGGGACAGGTCGAGCCTCTGCAGGGAGACTAACTTTTGCAAGCCGTCCAGATTTGGAATGCAGTTGTTGGCCAGGGACAGCTCCAGAAGATCTATGCAGTTGTCAAGACCCTGTGGGTAAAAAAAAAAATGAAATCTGAAGAAAGTTAGTTATTATTTTTCACATTATTTGCTTAAAAAGGGGGTAACAATTTGGAATATTTTGTTTCTTATCTCTTTCAAACACAGAAGGTGACTAAGCAAATGCTCAAGGGAGAAATAATAATAATTAGTGCATGACTTATTTCTTCTTCTTCACTTCATATTTTTATTTTACCACTCCAAGGTCAAAGGAGATTTAAAGTTCTGCTTCTTGCTCTTCTGGCCACCTCGACTACGGACACATTGTACTGTTGTAGAGTTTCTCTATCTTATTTTCCAACCTTTTTCTTGGTTTACTCTATGTTCAACATTTCTCTCCTCTTTAGGCATACACATTGTATGGTATGGCACTACTTTCAAATAAGTGTACATATATTGTACAGGAACCCTCGGTAAAGGCTTGATTTTTTTTTTAAATTATATTCTTTCTGCCTTAACCTTCCACTGGAGCAAAGGTCTTCAATCAGTACACACAAAGTCATCCTATCTTTTACCATCTCCAGCAACTTATTCCATGCCCCCGCAGTATTATTCATCTCTGTATTTTATTATCTTCCTATGTGGTTTTTATATCTTTCTTTATTTGTTATGTTACCTTATCACAACCAACATCACTGTACACTGGGTATTCCCATGTGTGCTCAGTACTCAAATGCAGCAGCCACTCAAAGGTATTCTCTGTTGATTTTTCCCACGAGTAGCTGGTTATAATGTATCCTATCTCTGCCTCGAAAGCGGTATAGACATCCTTCATCAAGCTTTACTTCCATGTCATTTAATTGTGTTCGTAACAGAGGTTCGTCATTATCAACCTAGTCCATACAGCATTGATGATATCTGCCCTGTCCATGCTTCTTCGCAAATGAGTTGGGGCATAGCTTGTCAGTTGATCCGCTTGTTCATTTCTCTATATATTTGTGGGTTCCAGTGCAAGAACATTCTAGTCATACTTTTAACAGATGTTTACAATGTATATCATCCTGCATCATCATCTTTTCCTCTTTTTTTGATTCCCTGACATTCAATTCTCTCCCTCAGCAACACATTACTGATTCTGACATAGGATTTACTTTCCTTCTAATCTGTGCAAACTTTTGATAAAGATTTGAGGTTTATTAGAAATTATTCTGTTGTCCACATTATTGCTGATGAAAGGAAGAAGAACAAGATACCCTATTAAAAAACTTATGATTGCATATTTATTCAACCACATGGTGGTGTCAGAAGTTATCAACAGTATAAGATAACCAAAAATTATTACTCCCCTACCTACAGACTGGAAAACAATAAACAGCAGAAGGCATGGTGCCAGGAAGGAACCAGTGCAAAGATGGACACAGGATATAAGTGACTTCTAGGGTAAGAAAGTGCACGAGGTGGAAGAGCTTGCAAGAGACCAAGTTTCTTTCAGACAGACCTTGATGAAAGCGATGTTCTGCAAAGGACCTGCTATATGATGACGACCTACATATGTATGGTGCCCTAGTATGGTTGAACAGGATTTGCATTTATTAGACTGAAATCCAAATAGTGGCTCTTTGAGAGACTTGGTATCCAACCTTTAGGTTGCAGAAGTGGGAGAAATATGTACAGCGTTATGATATGTGGGCACCACGGACAACATATACCGGTACCACATCATTAGCTAAACTGTTCAACTTACTTCAATACGTGTCAGGTCATTGTTATTAAAAGATGCGTACTTGAGGTTGCACAGCCTGTCTAGATTCGACAACTTTGTGATATGCTGGCTGTCGAGATTCAAGGATGTTATCTGGAAGTTTTATATAACAATGGGAGATGCAGTAACCACAACAACCAATGCTTTATTCATAACAAACATCAAATATTTCTTCTTCCGTGATATTTGTACCTTCATGTCTAACACATCCGATTTCACGACATATCAGAGGGGTAGTGTGTCTGTTCTTTTTTCCGCCCTAAACTGACACTGAGACATTTAACATTTTTATTTAAAACAAAAGTCAAACTTTTTCTAGTGACAAAGATGTCCGACATTAAAAATAAGCTTTTAGTTTTCACTAGCTGACAGATTAGACTTTCTCTCCTTGTTATTTTATTGACCTTCAAGAACCAGATACATTCATAATGAGTTATGCAGAGAATTAGTTCAATACAGAAAGATTTACACACACACACACACACACACACACACACACAGTTAGAAGATGCGTTGTATACAGAAGTAATTATAATAATAATAATGAGATATAGAAAGGGTAACAGAGTGCAATGCATAGAATCTGTTGCACAATGCCCATAATATCCTGAGCTGAAAAAATGGGACATAGGCGACTGGGTTGCCCAGTTGCTAGCTGGCAGACGACTTTGTTGCCGGTTGGGACAGTTTGTGGGTCTGTTTCCTTTGATTGCATCAATACTGCACGAGTCATTTTCCGGGCCACTTGGTGATAATCAATGCTAATCCATTTTATTTGGTGCACATAACTTAGTCACAATTATAACCTAAAGTTTTCCCTTCAGGGATGCTGGTTGAATGTGATTATTTTTTTTTTTCGCATAGCAAGTCAAGCCAATGGGACATGCCACTAATATTTTGAGGTGAAAATGGGACATCCCAGGCAAGTCAGTTCAACTCTACACCTACTCTCACCCGCTCCAACAACAACAAAAATATTATTTTAAATGTATTTTTATTATTAATAGTATCTAAAAATATGAAAACTAATAACAGATGATGGTAGAATTGAAACAGAAACAAGAGGAGAACAGGATTGGCTAAAATGTCTTCAACACTATGTACAAATTATTTACAGCTGGAGAGCTAAAAATAAAAAATAACACACTGAAAATGAGCATTGTTAAATGTTATGTATACTCAACTCTGCTTTATAATACAAAATTTGGACAATGAATAAATAATTAGAAAACCGAATTGAGTCACTGAGGATGTGGGCATACAGAAGACAAGCTCATATTTGAGGATGTGGGCATACAGAAGGCAAGCTCATATTTGAGGATGTGGGCATACAGAAAACAAGCTCATATTTGAGGATGTGGGCATACAGAAGACGAGCTCATATTTCATGGAAACAAAAAGAAACATCAGGAATCTCATCTTGTTTCTGTTTCAATTCTACCATCATCTGTTATTAGTTTTCATAGTTTTAGATACTTTTAATAATAATACTAATTTTTAAATAATTTTTTTTTTGGTTGGATGGGATTGGGGGGGGGGGGGGGGTGAGTAGGAGTAGTTAAATTGACTTGTTTGGGACGTCCCGTTTTCACCCCAAAATATTAGTGGCATGTCCCATTGGCTTGGCTGACTTTGCAACAACAAAAAAGTAGAATGAAAAGAAAGTATTGAAAAAGAGACAACCGAGATATTTCAGCCAGCTGAAAGACATAACACCCTTTTAAAAACCACACTGGGGAGAAAAAGTGGAAGGCAAGATGTAGATAATGATACAGGTGGGAGGACAATATCAAGAGAGGTACTACCAAAACAACAGAGTGTGTTGGAGATCCATTGCAGCCAACCTTTACAGTGGCAAATGATTTACTGATTTCAAATTGAATCAATGTTGAACTCAGTTTACACACTGAACACATACGTACCTTGGTATACCAAAAAACATCACTATCACTTTCTTTCACTGGCTTGTTTCTGCTGATCATTGTAATAATATGTGCTGAATCAGCCAATGAGAGAGAGCGAGGCACCACTGTGTCTGTGCGAGAATACGTTAACAATGATAACTGAGAGATTCTTGATCCTGCCGCACATCTCAGAGCCAAAGCTATTTCATCTTCATCTACACGTTTCCCATCAAGCACTCGTAAATTTCTCAATCGACCAATGGCACGATAGCGTAAATCCTTTGCCTGAAATGCATTTAATTCAACAAATTGTAACACGGAACTTATTTTTAAAAATTGACTCTACTTATTGGCAATTACGAAATGTTTTGCTTTATAAATATATACTAATTCTAATATCCTAATTAAATAAAAGGATAATCAATTTTAGTAAAATATTGTTAATACAAATCCTTAAAGAACTAATTAACTGAGTTCTTCTTAAGTAAGTTCATGTTAATAAGGTTTTACTGTACTTGCAACTGTTTAACTGCATCTTGAGATTAGGCAATTTTTTTTTGGGGGGGGGGGGGGGGGGGCAACTTAAGGCTGTGAGTCCCAGACTCTGACTCAATCACTGAAGAAACAGATTGGGGAGTTTTTGAATTGAAATATTACAGACAAATTCTCAGAATACCATGGATCAAGAAGAGGAAAAACATCGACATTCTGCAAGAGTTAAACATCAAGGAGAACTGGCTCATAAACAGCATCCTGTCCTGAAAGTTGAAGTATTTTGGCCACATCAAACGTCGTGGTGGCTTGGAAAAGACGGTGATATACTGAGGGGGCCTCACTGAGGGTACAGTTTGTGGAAGGAGAGGCAGGGGTCGTTCTCCACAAAGATGGATACAAGATATTGAACATGCATTGGCAGTGAAAGCACATAGGGCTGGAAAGCTGGCTAGGGAAATGAATACTTTCAGGCGTGCTGTGAAGACAGCAATGTTCTGTAAAGGACTTGATGATTAACTGCATCTGTGTTTTAGTTATGCTATAATTCAACAACACAGTTCTAAAAATCTGGCTGATGGTTGTAAAGGACATACAGCACACAATCTGTAGCAATAAACAGGAATGCAGTGCACAATTATACATGCTTTAAATAATCACGGAGCAGGTTCAACTATTTTAAACTTATACAAACACCTAATGAAGCCTTATTGCAGACTGATTATTAAAATCCACAGTGTGAATATTGGACTTATCAGTTGATTGTTTTTCATTTGTCCTAGACAGACTATTGCTTCTTATGCAGCAATCAACATCTGCTATAGGTCTATTCCTGCACTGACCAAACACAGACCAGTCCGCTTGAGATCTCCACCGATGCACCAACATTTGTCTCGATGGACCACTCTGTCCAAAAATTGTCTCTCTCTTCCTGGCAAAATCTGAGCAGGTATACTATATGCTTGAAATTTGCTTTAATGCGCTACTTTTGGCAAATTCAGTAATATATACTTGATGATACTGGATGGGCCTCAGTTTGAATAATGGGAAGACAGAAGTAATGGTGGTATCAAAGAAAAGAATTCTTCCTAAATGTGTAATAAAAGTCAATGGTGTAATTTTGTGACAGAATTTAAGTATCTGGGCACATGGATAACATCAGATGGAAGATGCATTACTGAGATAAGAAACAGAATAGGACAAACAAAAACTGCATTTTATAAAATGAAGAATATCATACGTAATATATCCTTGTCATTGAGAGTTAGAAAAAGAATTCTTGCTTGCTACATACATCCAGTTTTAACAAATGGCTGTGAATCCTGGACAATCGGCAGGCAGGCCAAACAATTTCTTGAGGACTCAGAGATGTGGTTTTACAGAAGAATGCGTAGAATACCTTGGACAGCCAAAAAGAGCAACCAAGAGGTTTTAAAAGAGGCGGGAGCCCGAAGACAACTTATCACAGACATCAGAAGGAGCCAGCATCATTTTTCGGCCATGTTATGAGAAGAGGGAAAATAGAACATGTTGTGACCACTGGAAAGATATGTGGAAGGAGATATAGAGGAAGACAACGAGAGACGATTCTTGACAGTCTTGTTGCATGGCATGGAGGTGTGTCAGCACACTAACTAATACATGCTGTAGGAGATCGTAGATTATGGAGAGGCATGATCGCCCACACCAGTTGGCAAGGCACCTGATGATGATGATGATACTGGATGAAGATGTGCTTCTGAGTTTTAATGTTCTGAAGACAATCAATACTAGCTTTCTTCCTAACAAAAATCCATACTCAAGTACAAAATAACTTTTTTGCACACACACAAATTTAAAGTAGCTCAAGGAGCCCCTATCTGGATGAGAATCCAACAGCAGCAATTCCCCCAAATCCTGTACAAGAGTATAACGGTTGTATTAGGGCACCCCATGATTAGGAAGCAATGAGGGTGGACTTAAAAGAACTTTGGATTATGAAGCAATGAGGGTGGATTTAAAAGAACTTTGGATTAGGAAGCAATGAGGGTGGACTTAAAAGAACTTTGGATTATGAAGCAATGAGGGTGGATTTAAAAGAACTTTGGATTAGGAAGCAATGAGGGTGGATTTAAAAGAACTTTGGATTAGGAAGCAATGAGGGTGGACTTAAAAGAACTTTGGATTATGAAGCAATGAGGGTGGATTTAAAAGAACTTTGGATTAGGAAGCAATGAGGGTGGATTTAAAAGAACTTTGGATTAGGAAGCAATGAGGGTGGATTTAAAAGAACTTTGGATTAGGAAGCAATGAGGGTGGATTTAAAAGAACTTTGGATTAGGAAGCAATGAGGGTGGATTTAAAAGAACTTTGGATTAGGAAGCAATGAGGGTGGATTTAAAAGAACTTTGGATTAGGAAGCAATGAGGGTGGATTTAAAAGAACTTTCTATAATAAAGTTTACAAACAACAAACCTTCAGCCAAGGGTTGTTTCTTATATCTAGAACACAAAGATTGCTCAAATGTTTTCTTAGAATGGAGAGCTCCTCTCTAGTATTGACTAGTTTATTCCATGACACATTTAACTCCTCAATATAGTACAATCCCTGCAGAGAACAGCACAGCAGAATCACACATGAACCTTTATCATTATCACAACCAACATCACAACCATCATCACAACCAACATCACAATGTGCCATGTCGATAAGCATGTATATTGGTGGTTCACAATGTAACAAAAATGATGATGGTTCACCAAGTAACACAAATGATGATGGTTCACCATGTAACACAAATGATGATGGTTCACCATGTAACACAAATGATGATGGTTCACCATGTAACACACATGATGATGGTTCACCATGTAACACAAATGATGATGGTTCACCATGTAACACAAATGATGATGGTTCACCATGTAACACACATGATGATGGTTCACCATGTAACACAAATGATGATGGTTCACCATGTAACACAAATGATGATGGTTCACGATGTAACACAAATGATGATGGTTCACGATGTAACACAAATGATGATGGTTCACCATGTAACACAAATGATGATGGTTCACTATGTAACACAAATGATGATGGTTCACCATGTAACACAAATGATGATGGTTCACCATGTAACACAAATGATGATGGTTCACCATGTAACACAAATGATGATGGTTCACCATGTAACACAAATGATGATGGTTCACCATGTAACACAAATGATGATGGTTCACCATGTAACACAAATGATGATGGTTCACCATGTAACACAAATGATGATGGTTCTCCATGTAACACAAATGATGATGGCTCACCAGGTAACACAAATGATGATGGTTCACCATGTAACACAATTGATGATGGTTCACCATGTAACACAAATGATGATGGTTCACCATGTCACACAAATGCATGCATGCAACATCTTCACTCTTTTTAACTGTAGCTGGTAGCTTTTGATGGCTTTGTTTTCTACACTGAAAAAAAGAGCTTCTCTCAATGGTTCTAGTCTCTGATGCCAGTGCATGTGGCTAAGGGCATGAAGTTCATAATTCTGACATACCAGGTTCGATTTAGCTACAGGCCATTTAGACAGAATACAGCTTTGCGTTGATTTTAACAGTGGTATGAGCGATGCCTGTTTAGGGGCAATGGCAAACTACTGAACATATAATCTGCCTAGTTAAACCACAAACATCCAACAAATGCTGAGTTTGGTTTGCGATGCCTAGGAAAAGAAATACAGCTATATGAGTCTTTCAAAGTTTTGATTGTTCCAGGAGAGGTGGAACATTTCAAATACAAAATTTGTCCATGTATAGGACAACGATTTCCCAAATTTTTAAAGTTTAAAATTGGGGGTTGCCTTATAAGGGAATGTGATTAAAATATTTATTTCTTTATTTTCGGCTTTAAAAAAAAACTACGGGTCAGCTTATACACCTGGGTGATTATGCATGGAAAATATGGTATCCACAATTGTCCCCATTTTCGGGAAAGTTGCACTGTGGGCATTTTTTCATTCTGGAGAGAGGAAAACTAAAACATTGTGAGGCGCAACAGAAGATGAATATTGGCTGGATAATGAAGGAATAATTTACTGGTGAATAAATGGACAGATAAACATATGACAGGCAGATGGATGTACAAATAAACAGACAGACAAACAGACAGATGTAAAGATAAGTAGAAAAGTACACAGTCAGAGAGAAATGTAACTGTACCTTCATTCCCTCCAAAGTGTAGATCTTGTTGAAACTTGCATCTATGCACTGAAGCTGCTGTTAAACAAAAATATTAGTGACATTAAATTGTAAAACTTTTTTTAAGCAAACTTCAGTTACAGTTAAAAAAAAAAAATGTTTCCCTCCATATTTTTAAGCAATCTTCTGTCAAATTTGACTAAAGCTTTATCACAAGAATACACACATACTGGCCAAGAATATGTAACATGTATGTGTGTATCATTTTCATAAGTGAGGCTGGCACTTCTTTTATATATATATATATATATATATATATATATATAAATAAACAAGCAAAGTAAAGGACCCTTTTCTATGCTTTTCAGGCGTATTGGGTACATAGGGCTAGACCTATACTTTATAGAACAAACGGCACTTGGTGGGTGATGTGGTCAGCATCATGCCGGCCGCCTTAACTTCCCAGGACTGCACCTGGTACCCACTCAAGGCTGGGTCAACCTGGGAGCCAAGGTAATTTTTGAAAAAAGTCTGGCCCCTTATATAGAGCTGAGGCCCCAACTTCTTTCACTGTACAACTTTTGTCCCACAAACAGAAAGCCATCAGAACGGTAATTGTCTAAACTGTCAGCCACAGACATCAAACTTTGTTACATGGAGAATGGGTCTGCTCACTCATTAAATTTCACACGGTAAGACCAGCTGTGTAGATCCAGGCTAGAGAAGAGGACTGCTTTTTTTGTGACTTTGTTCGACCCATTCAGAGCGTATACTACTTGTTGTGATTTTCTTAACCATTTTCATGAAGTCTGATACGCTCACTGCAGATGTGACTGCAGCAGCTGTGTGTGAGACTGATCACCACTTCTTCTGTCTAGCTCATGTTGTGTGTTAGTGGTCATCATGTCTGTTCACAGCCTTCTGTCTCGTGTACTGTCAATCATTTAAGATACAGATATTCCTTCATGCCATGGTGACAGACTGCCCAACATCTTCTCTCTTGGTCTCCTTCTGCCTCTTTTCCTCTCCAGCTTTGCCACTGCTGGCTACTTCATCCCATAGAAAACTTTACTGCAAATTCCAACCACTGGAGAACAATTTAACAATGAGCTTGGCATGAACTTGCTGAGGGCTTATGCTTCACGGAGAAAGATACAAGTAGAAAAAAGCAGATGAGACATATCAGACAGATGAGATATGCATATGAGACATATCAGACAGATGAGATATGCATATGAGACATATTAGACATACAAGACAGGCATATGAGACATTTGAGACAGGCACATGAGACATTTGAGACAGGCATATGAGACATGCATATGAGACATATCAGACAGATGAGATATGCATATGAGACATATCAGACATACAAGACAGGCATATGAGACATTTGAGACAGGCACATGAGACATTTGAGACAGGCATATGAGACATGCATATGAGACATATCAGACAGATGAGATATGCATATGAGACATATCAGACATACAAGACAGGCATATGAGACATTTGAGACAGGCACATGAGACTTTTGAGACAGGCATATGAGACATGCATATGAGACATATGAGACATGTATATGAGACATTTAAGACATATGAGACAGGTATATGAGACATCTGAGACATGTATATGAGACATTTAAGACATATGAGACAGGTATATGAGACATGCACATGAGACATTTGAGACAGGCATATGAGACATGCATATGAGACATATCAGACAGATGAGATATACATATGAGACATATCAGACATACAAGACAGGCATATGAGACATTTGAGACAGGCACATGAGACATTTGAGACAGGCATATGAGACATGCATATGAGACATATGAGACATGTATATGAGACATTTAAGACATATGAGACAGGTATATGAGACATCTGAGACATGTATATGAGACATTTAAGACATATCAGACAGGTATATGAGACATGCACATGAGACATTTGAGACAGGCATATGAGACATGCATATGAGACATCTGAGACATGTATATGATACATTTAAGACATATGAGACAGGTATATGAGACAGGCATATGAGACATGCATATGAGACATATCAGACATATATGATATGCATATGAGACATATCAGACATACAATACAGATATATGAGACATTTGAGACATGCATATGAGACATTTGAGACAGGCATATGAGACATGCATATGAGACATATGAGACAGGCATATGAAACAAATGAGACATTTGAGACAGGCATATGAGACATATGAGACATGCATTTGAGACATGAATATGAAACATTTGAGACATGCAAATGAGACATGAATATGAAACATATGAGACAGGCATATGAGACATGAGACATGCATATGAAACATGAGATATTTGAGACAGACATATGAGACATGCTTATGAGACAAGCATATGATCAAATGAGGCATATGAGACATCTGAGACAGGCATATGAGACATTTGAGACACATGAGACATGCATTTGAGACACATGAAACATGCATATAGGTTTTTTAATAGGTGACTTTAAATAATAAGCTGGTAGTTACTTTTGAATGTAGGCAATTTTGTGCTTCTGACTGTTGGCTGCAATGAATCTCCAAATGTCTTCTGGGTCTCATGGCTTGTTCATATACTCTGACACGCTGCTTTTCAACCATCTCTTGATGCTATTTTCCAACTTATATTACTAGCTACCTGTATTCAACTTTTCTTTCTAGTTTTATCGTTTTCAAGAGCGTTGTTCACTGCCTTATTCAATTTGTAAAAAGTATCACTTTCCTCATTAGATTCACAACAGGCTTGTCTCCAGGGGGTCGAGTATGAGCATAAAGAATTAGGACTAATAATCTAATGGGTCAGAAGGTTAAAAGAAAGAATAGGATATAGTGAGTCAAAGTAATGTGTGGATGAAAAGGTCAAAGTTGAGAAAATCCAATCTTATATGAAGTAAACTCATTAATGCATGGTGAAATGCTTGGAACAAAATAAGGTAATGTTGTGAACACCAGAGACAGATTTTTTTTTTTTTTAATGAGTAATGAAAAGTGCAGAAAGAAATAAAGAAAATGGGTAAGTTACATCAAAAGAACAAGATCCTCATTTGTCAACAGAATTTAAACACTGGGGAAAAGGGGGGGGGGGGGGGGGGCATCTCTAAAGAAGATCGACTATTTCAGAGAAGGATTTGGGGAAATCATATATGGAAATATCAAAGTGTATGAGATACGAAGTTGACATACTTGATAACAAAGGTCATATGATATGAACTAAAATAAAATTATTTTTACTACATATCAGACACAGTGTTTTCTATGAACTGATGATGAAAATACTGTCAACAATTACCATGTTGGAAAGCTCGTCCAGCCTGGTCAATTCATTAAAGCTGACCACCAATCGTTTCAGACTGACCAGGTGCTGAAGTTGTCGCAGTTTGGTTAACCCGTTGCCATGGAGATTCAAAGTGGTTATTTTATTAAATGTGTCCACTTTTGCTAACCGGAGTATCAGTTCGTCTGATAAGGTCACCATCCTGCAAAATAACCGGTAAAAATTAGGATTCTGAAACATGTCGTTCAAAGACACACAAATAGTTGACATTCCGAGCATCATGAAACAAACATAATCTAACAGACCTCGTACAATTTCGGTAAAACTAACGTTAGTTTCCCCATGGACCTCCCATTTACAAACTAGCTTACTTCTGACTGGTAGTTTCTGAACCTGTCACCTTGGCACAAGGTTAAGGGGGTGTTTCGCAATTCCGTTGACATTGCGTGTTGTATATATCAGCATGCCAGTGCTTTTAATAATCCAAACACATGGACAAACTGGGTCTAACCCGCCCCCCTAGAGAGTGCTGCAACCTATGTCACAGGCATTCTCTTTCTCGGAAAAAAAACCTAAATGAAAGACAACACAGAAAGCAAACAACAGAGCAGCACACCCATAACCTGCACGAAAGTAGACCAGCCCAACAAACTTGTGAATGAAACATGACCTACTTTGTTTGGGAAGACTAACTCAAACCTAACCACAATTTCTTCTAACTTTTTTTTTTAAAATTATCTAACAGACATCATACAACAAATATATTCTAACAAAAAAATCATCTATCAAACATCATTAAAATCATATAAAAACATCATCTAAAAAGTTGTATAATATCTTCTAAGAAACATTTTCTAACAAAAACCATTTAACAAATGTCATAAAAATCATATAAAAAACATCAAACACCAATACAATTTCTAACAAGACCAATGTAACAAACATAAAAACATCACATATAACAAACATCATGTAACAAACATCATGTAAAAAACATCATATAACTAAAATCCTATAACAAACATCCTATAACAATCATCATGTAACAAACACACTCAACAAACATCACATTACAAACATATAGCAAACAGCATATAACAAACAGCATACAACAAACAGCATTTAATAAACATTATGCAACTAACATCATACAACAAATATCATATAACAAACATCATCTAACAAACATTACATAACAAACATCATCTAACAAACATTACATAACAAACATCACATAACAAACATCATCTAACAAACATCATCCAACAACATATGTAACAAATATCATCCCCATGTTCGGTGGCCATTTTGTGGGGGAGAACAAGAAGAGCCTCTGCCCCCTAACAAAAATGACCTAAAAGTCTACTAATTAGGGGTGTTTTCTTTGAAGTTCAAGTGCATCTGCCTGAGCAGTGAGAAACCAACAGTCTGCATATTAGTAAGTCAGATCTGTAAAATCAATGTGCATGTAAAACTCAAGTTCTGAAAGAAGGGGATGAACAACCCTTGGAGTTAACAGCCAGTGAAAGCAAAGAAGAAGAATATGTAAATGAAAAAAAAAAAAAAAAAGAAAGATCATACAATAAAAAATAATCTGACCTTGATCTTGGCTTGATTTCTGGATCCATTTTGAGAATATCATCATCGAAATCATTGCTGTTGTCCACCATTTTAGCTACTGGAATCTGAGCATGTTTCTGCGGCTGCTCATTAAGTAAGTCTTCACTTAGATGTTGGAATGGACACATGGATTTCACCTGGTTAAAGGTCACAAATCAAACTTAAATCAAACAAGTTGACATCCTGGTGGTCCATGCAACAAATTTAAGGGATCTGTGAAATACTCTACATACACAACAACAAAAAACAACAACAAACTCAGTTGTATAATGCAGTCCCCGTAGGTGATTCTAATATTTTAAAATCATAAGTTTTTCAGTATGACTGTTAACAAGTATAAGAGGGTTCTGCATGGCTTAGAAAATTGGGATCCGCTAGGTTAGTGTAACAACTGGATTGACACAAGGTAAAAACTGGATTGACACAAGGTAAAAAATAAGTAAAATGTTGGTAGAAACCTATAAACTCACGGGGAGTTGCTTCGTACTGAAAGAGTTCAGAATATTCTCATTCAGGCCATTTATACTGCAGAGCTCTCCTTCCCCTCTCTACGCTCTAACATCTGGAGAGAGGCGATTCTTAGAATGTTGGCCAGATTGCGGACCCAGTCTTAGATCATTGAGGTCTGAAGACAAGAGTACAGATGAGAGTGACCAGGGAATCGGGTCAACACTCTACACCCGGAGCAAAGGCAAGGTGGATATCTAATAAAATTGCTACTGGCACCATCGGAATTGGAACTCTTTGCTTGCTGCTGAAGATGATGAGGACAGAGCGCTTATAGGAAAGTCCTGAGTGCTATGATATCTGTTCTTTAATCAATACAACTTTAGTTATGCTGCACAATGAAACTTGTTAAACAGTCAGTCAGTATTGTTGGATATGTTATAAGAAGGAACAGACTTGAGAAACTGGTTACAAATGGCAAGATTGATGGAAAAAGAGCAAGGGGAAGGCATATAAATATCTGGGTGGTTTGGCTATATAGATGGGGGTGGGAAAAGATCACAGACCTGATCTGTGATGCTGGTAGTCAAGTGATATGGTGAAACATGGCCGCTTACGTTTATTGGCAGGGCACATGGTGATGACACTATGCAACCTGGCCCAATTCTTTATCAAATAATACCATCACAGCAATACAAGATGGCTAGATGTTCATAAAGTTATCACTAGTGTCATGCAAGAGTGAACACTATCAACAACTTTTTATTTAAAGCATTGTTCTTTCTTCTTCTTCTTAACGTTCCCTGGCTGCAAATTATGGTGGAAAGTTCTAGTTATTTGCCCAGTTTCAGACTTTGGTTCCTGTTCCAAAACTTGAGTTTTGCATGCATATTCATTTAAGAGATCTGGCTTATTTGTATGGAGACTGTTTCAATCCACCTTTTTTATGAATGAACAGAAAACAGTTCATTCTGAGTTGGTTGGTTAGTTAGTTGACAGATTATCCTCACTGCACATTAAACCATTCAGTCCATAAATGCTGGAATCCACAGATCTTGTGACCACATCTCACCATCATCTAATGCCTTGTCAATGGACACAGGTGTTCAAGTCTGTCCAGATATCTTGGTTCTTGTTGTTCTGAATTAGTTATATGGATAGTATCCCTCAATGCCACTAACTTAAACCATCACACAGAATTTTTCTTAACCTGCTCCTGCGCCCGTCCATCGCTGATCTTTCCAGTCATTAGAATTTTTTCTAATGCCTCTCCTACCAATGACACACCATAGAACACTGTCTCTCTAAAATAGTTGACTACTAAGTTCTATTTTCAGTAACTATTCTCCAAAAAAATCTGTGTTGCTCTGGCTGTCCAAGATATTCTTTAAAAAAAACAAACATCTTCACTGCATTCTAGTTATTTAGAATTTCTCTACTTTCCAAGATTAACTGCTAAACTAAGAACTTGTTTTTACTATAGTCCATGCTGTTTGGGTTTATTATTCATGTCTATCCGCAACCTTCTGTTTTGAGTCCTTTCAATCCATTCTGACACAGATGATTTTCCTTGCCATGATGTCAGATCTTTCATGCCATGATGTCAGATCTTCCATGCCATGATGTCAGATCTTCCATGCCATAATGTCAAAATGTCCAATATTTTCCCTCTTGGTCTTTCTCTACCTATTTTTGCCTCCAGCTTTCTCACTGTCACAATGTACTCCAGTTTTCTCCTTCTCATGACATGACCAAAGAATGTAGATTGTCTCCTTCCAATGTGAGCAATCAGTTCTCTTTGTGAGTCTGTTTCTTTCAAGACATCTTATCTGTCCAGGGTATTCTCATCATTTGTCTATAAAATCACATCTTCCAAATAATTCTTCACAAATCATCCTAATGTTCAAAATTCACTTCCTTATATCAGGATAAGATTGATACAGCTCTTGGGCAGAACAGGTTCCACATAATATTTCACTTTAAATGATAAGCAATAATGAACTTATCAACAGACATATTCTTTACCACATTTGTTGTCAGCAAAATCATTAGCATCTTACCTTTGTGATGTATTCAAACTCAATAATGTATTCTGGAAGCACGAGGTTGTTGTTAAAGATATACCACTCACACTGACGGGCACTGCATTCGCAGTCATTTTCTTCGGCTACCTCTGATGAATAGAGATAATGTGCTTATATTTACTGTTATGTTAGCGCTTTTTTCTATGGCAGAACGTAACAGTATGCAGTACCAGCACTTTTTTCTATGGCAGTACGCAACAGTATGCAGTACCAGCACTTTTTTCTATGGCAGTACGCAACAGTATGTAGTACCAGTACTTTTTTCAATGGCAGTACGCAACAGTATGCAGTACCAGCACTTTTTTTTTGTGGCAGTACGCAACAGTATGTAGTACCAGCACTTTTTTCTATGGCAGTACACAACAGTATGCAATATCTGCACTATTTTCTATAGCAGTACGCTAAGGTATGTAGCACAAGTACTTTTTTCGATGGCAGTATGCAACAGTGTGCAGTACCAGCACTTTTATTTAGACATAATTTGTTTAGTGCTACTGTTATAGATACTTTGTGGTGGAACCGGTACGCTAAGGTATGTAGCACAAGTACTTTTTTCGATGGCAGTATGCAACAGTGTGCAGTACCAGCACTTTTATTAAGACATAATTTGTTTAGTGCTACTGTTATAGATACTTTGTGGTGGAACCGGTACCATTTTTTAAATTTAATAGAAAAACCAGGTTAGAACCTTCACAAGTATGAGAAATGCCAGTATTTTTTCGGTATATTTTAAATTATGTCAGTATCAAAAAGTAGTGCAGTACCGCAGTAGCTAGATGCTCACCTGCTGGTGCTAAGGCCTTGAATATGAACCTGTACTGTGGCAGACATTTTTCTTTTATAACTGACCTTGGCTCCCAGGTCAGCTCATACTAAAGTGAGTACCAGGACAATGTACGAGAAAGTACAGGTGGCTGGTACAATGTTGACAACATCACCCGTCAAGTCCTGATTGGTCTATACAAACATGAGTCTAGCATCATATACCTGGTTTGCCAGTGGCGTGAAAAATGTCCTTTACTTTTTCATATCACTACCCGGGAGCTGCAGTGGCATCGTGGTTAGCCTCCTTGACCCTGGACATGTATTTGAATCTCCATCAAGGGAGATTTTTAAAACTGACCTGTGTTCCCAGGTGACCCAGGAAATTTTCATAGAAGTAACAGTGGTTGACTAAATCCCTCATAAATTGTAATTCTTTTTTCTTCTTCAGCGTTCCGAGCCATTGAGGTTCATTACTGCAGATATCACTCACCTCCCTTAATCTCTCTGGTTGATGTTCTTTTTCCAGTTGCTGACACAAAGTGTTTGTAGATCTGCTTGGATGTTATTTCTCCACCATCTTCTTGGTCTGCCTCATAGTCTATGATCATTCAACTCCCTTGTGTACACATTTTTGACCTTACCCCTGTCATCTGACATTCTCTCAATATGCCCCAGCAATTTCAGTATAGTAGCCCTCATGATGCCAGTGAGCACTGATGATTTAAAAAACAAATAAATTTCACTGTTGCACCTCACTTTCTATTCTCTACTGACTGTACCTCTGATGGGTCTAAAGATTCATCGTAAGACTCTGTTTTTGAAAATTTGTAATTCGACTTCATCTCATTTAGTGGCTCCAAGTTTCAGAGCCAAATAAAACAACTGGTCTTACCAGCGTTGTGTATATTTTGATCTTGGTGTTATGATACAGAGACTCTGATGACCAAAGCAATAACATGGTAGGAGACCCAGACCTTTACCCGTGCATGCTTTCTCATTGACTCATAAATCTTAACTGGCCTTTAAAAATATGGGCCCAACACCATATTCCCAATAAGCCTAAAAACAAGGAAAAGTATTCTTCAAATTTTATTGTTTGCCGCTACAATAATGAAGTCTTCTTCTTCTTTTCTCTTTACCCTGTTTTGCCTTCCTGCATCAGGTATTGAAGAAGAATCTGGTGCGAGCCTTGAAGTGGGCTACGAAGTTGCTGGTTTTCACTCTATCAGATATTCCATCTATCCATTGCTTCCACAGTGGACCTCTTGTTGTGCTTCTCTTGTATCTTAGTGACAAATGTATCTAGTCCACTTATATATTTCTGTAATGCAACAATTTTCATTGATATTTGTTGTTGGTTACAACAATAATGTATGTCAGTATAACTCAGAGGAAGCCATCACTGTCATATATTTCAATCCCATTCTAGCTAGAGATTTCTTTGTGGTTGCCCTGGGTTCATAGGTCAACCCAACTTGAAACTGGTACCACAAAATTTCCTGTGAATTGAAAGTGATTGGTATGATAGTAACCACATCAAGCATTGAGTGCTAGTTAGCTAAAACAATTTTCAGCCAGGACCAAACACCCAGTATGTTTCAGGGCCTAAAAATAAGTCTTTTACTTTACCTATTTAGTGTTAGTATGATCAGCACTAGAACTCTTTGTTAGCTGCTGAAGATGAGGACACAGCGCTTATGGCAAGATCCTGAGTGCTGAGATATTAGTTCTTAACTAAAAACTCAGACTATATTTTGGTACTATAAAAATGTATGTTACCAAATACAATACATAAAACATTCCATTTATTTATGTCACTTTGTCACAGGGACATTACTGGCCAGAACATTTCTGTTTATACCCCTCCAGGATTGCTGCCCAAATGTTTGACACCCAGTAACTCAAGATTTAATTACCCTGGCTTCCAGGTTGACAGCCTTACATGGGTACCTACCAGGTACAGTCCTGGGATGTAAAGGTGGCCGGCATACTGTTGACCACATCACCCACTGAGTGCCGATTGGTCAATCACCGACAAGTCTACCTCTACATGCCCAATACACCTGAAGGCGTGGAAGAGTGTCCTTTTTTTACTTTCTTTTAACTCAAGAGGTCACGGTTTGGAAGCCAGTCCAACTGGAAAAATACCAGAAACACTGTTCAACCATTTAAAGTGTACATGGGAGCACTCTCACTGCCAGGACTCACAATCTATCTTTCCATTCGCTTATTGCCGGTGTACTGTTCTTTTAAATATCCTGTATACAATATCAATTTGCCTGAATGGTTGCCTATTCTATGAGCTTCTATAGCATAAAAAGCTTTTAAATGGTAAGAAAGCTGGCCTCATGCTCAACCCTCCTCATATCTTATCCAGGTTTGGGACAAGCAATGCCATAAGTGGACACTCTTTTGCTAGGAAAAAAAATTAAACCTGCTGTCATGTGTGTGTAGTAGATGGTCTTGAGTTGGTATTGATAGGTCATTTTAAGTGATTTAAAAAAAGACATTTGAACCAAAGCCTTACTTTCTTTTGGTATGCAGTTCTTTCTTGGCTTGAACACTGAGTCCATTTTAGAATAGTTTGCCTTGCAAATCCTGGGGGGAAAAAAACAGTACAGATATATTTTTGTTTGTTTCAGTCTTCCCTTGTCAGTCCTAGGGACAAAAGAATGTAGATCTATTTATATTTTGATGTAGTTTTTCCATGTCAGTCCTGAGGGAAAATGAGTGTAGATCTGCTTGTTTTTCATATTCTTTCCTTGTCAGTCTTGGAGATAAAAGAATGTAGAGCTATTTATTTATTTATTTATTTTTTTAGTTTGCTTTTGTCAGTCTTGGGGATAAAAGAATGTAGATTTTTTTTTTCTTCAAACAACATGAATAGAAAATACATTTAGATGTTTTTTTTTCGAGCTCTCACTTTTTGGATTTATTATTCAGTTTGTCTTAGTGAAAGAAATAATATTTTTATATCACTGTGACCGTTATCCTGTCAGTTGTGCCGTGAAATATTCTGTAGTGCTTTACTTATCAACACGCGATAAAAATGTTAGATTCTTTAAGTAGAGAGTTTTAACAAGCATTCACACACTGTATGGAAACAACAGGTATAGCGTTCAAAAGGGCGTGTCTCTTCACTGAAATGTATCACTGACACCCGATACGCGTTGGCTATCCTCCAAACGATAAAACTGGACAACGGAACAAGCTGAGACAAAAAGGCACATTCCACGGTAGAATAAAAATCGGACATTTCAGTCGCATTATTTTCCATCCAGCAGCAAACACAGTGACAGAATTTTTCACACCCCTTCTGCCTGCTCCGTGGAGAAAAATGTGCTGACCCCGTTAACTCTTTTTGACCCAGGCGGGTCCGGCAGTAAAATAACAAATATATAACGTGTGTTAACATACCTGTGAAAAAAAAAAAAAAAAACCCACAGTAAAGCAGTTTTTTGACCCATTTTACTCAATAAATGAAGGGAGATCAACATCTTCACATCGAGTCTAGAGAAATTAGCGAACACGTTTAAATTCTCCCCCCCCCCCCCCCCCCCCCCCTTCATAATGAAGGAGCCAACAGGATATTATCCACGGAGCCCTGGGCGTACCCGACTGAGAACACCCCAGTCTCTCGGCTTCCATTTCACTTGCTACATTCACTTCACACGGCCCCACCCAGCGACAATCATCTATGGACAGTTAACAGCGGAATTTTGAAGGGGGCACAAAGTCGTCAACATCACAGAAAGCCAGTAACAAGGTTACCATGTGTAACTTGAAACTGGTCGAAAGACATTCTACTAGGCCATCAGATGAACGGGTTTATTTTCTGGACCCCCTAGGAGCCGGACACAGAACAGTCTCTAGGATAGGAGACTAGCTAAAGTGCATTCAACTTCATCGAATCAACGCCGTTCGGATTTTCACCTTTATTTTTCGGCAACAGACAATATCTGTGTCGGGCCCTCAAGGAAAAACACTTGACAGTTTTGATGCCCTGCCCCACACCAACTACCTGGATTACAGTATAGAAGCATTGTTGAACATTTTCCCTCCTGGAGGAATTAGTCATTTAGTGATATCTCTCTCTCTCTCTCTCTCTCTCTCTCTCTCTCTCTCTCTCTCTCTCTCTCTCTCTCTCTATCCTCTCTCTATCCTCCTCCTCCTCCCCCTCTTTATCTCTTATTCTTGTATGTGTACATGTGCCTCTTTCTCCCTCTCTACTTTGATGTGGGAGTACCTGTAAACTGTTAATTACTGTTATTTCTTGTCACAATTATTATTGGTATGTGCAAGTGTTAGTAAGCATGTATACATAAAAATAGTTTTTTTTTTTTTTTTTTTTTTTTTTTTTTTTTTTTTTTAAATGTATGCTGGAACATATGCACGGGCTAATGTTATATGACAGAAAAATGACAAATTTTGTACACCAATAACACACAGGTGTCAGCATGTAGGGAGTCGGTAGTCCAGAACCCAAGTTTAAGGCGTTTCCTTCGTGCCAATAAACTGCATGGCTGTCGGGGAGCACAGTCGTTAACGAAGGCAGTCATGATGTACAGGAGCGACATCTGGCTGATGGATGTTGCGTCCCTAGTTCCTTCCCCAGCACGAGGCTCTACTGGGGTGACCGTTATTAAGCCCTCACTTTTGTATTAATTAAACCCTGGGCAGATGAAGCTCAAAAGCCCTGAAAGGCAATTCATCTACGTGAAGGACACACCGAATGCCAAACCACCACTGCCTTGTGGGAAGTTCCTGTAAGAACAAAGGCTAGGGCAACAAAGCCCGACAGAAAATGTGGGTAGGCAGAACTCATAAGCCCTGGAAGGCAATCAGCCTATGGGAGGGGGAATCCTGAAAAAAAACCTCAACCGTCGAAGTCGGAAGATGTCAGCCTACTTGGCACGGGACTAAAAATCGGGCATCTACGCACTAGCGATATGGTCATGCAAACAAAATTATCACGTTATGGTGTCATTCCTATGGGACGTGGACGGGTAGGGATGGCGCCGGGCCCTCAGCCTCGAGGGGGCCCACCCCAAGCTACTAGAGCCACAACCTCTGAATCTTCTGGAGTGACCAGGGAAGAACAGAGTAATGCAACTGGACACAAACTGACAATTATGCACTGGAATGCTGAGGGAGTGAGGCTGAAGAAAACTGAACTACACAATTTCTTGAAGCAGCACGATATTGACATATGCTGCATCCAAGAGACTCACCTCACAAGTGCACACAGATTCTCTATCAGGGGATACCAAATCTTCCGACACGACAGGTTAGATCGTCCAAAAGGAGGAGTCTTGACTGCTGTCAAGAACACGATCACAGCTTGGGAAACCCAGAGATCTCAGTGTGGGGATACAGAGTTTATCACAGTCACTATTAAGGGTGCAAGGGAAGATGTGACAGTATGCAACATCTACTCACCACCAAACAGAGATATTAATCTGGGACCCATCCTACTAAACACAGAAAACTGGATTGCTGTCGGAGATCTAAATAGCCACTCACCTAGCTGGGGCTACACAGACCTCAATGCGAAAGGAGAAGAGGTAGAAAACTGGATAATCAGCAACACTCTAGTTCTGATAAATCATCGTGACGACCCAGACACATTCTACTCTCGAGCTTGGAGGAAAACCAGCACTCCAGACTTGGCTATAGCAACTGAAGATGTGGAGAAAGTTACCAGCCGGGATGTATGTCAACAGCTGGGAGGCAGTGACCACAGGCCCGTAATCCTTTCTATTAACAAAAGTAGAGAAGTTACTAAGGAAAAGAACCCTCCCAGCTGGAACTACAAGAAGGCTAACTGGAGCCTTTTCACTTCCTATTTGGACGACATGTTGAGGAGAGTCTTCTTCAGAAGACTGGAAATAAATGCCAAACTGAAGATCCTCAACACAACTATTCTAAATGCAGCCAAGGGTAACATACCACGAGGCAGCAGGAAAAACTTTAAACCTTACTGGTCGCCTGAACTGGACACTCTGCATTCCAAACTTAGTACCAGGAGGGAAAATATGGAGAAGGATCCGACAGATAAAAATGTAATACTTCATAACAGAGCAAAAGCAGCCTTCGTCAGAGAGAGAAATAATCAGATGAGGGAAAGCTGGCACAAAAAGACAGCGTCATTTAACCTCGAGAAGGACACTTCACGTCTGTGGAATCTCACAAAAAGCTTGAATGGAGACAAGACGGAAAAAGCCAGAGTTGTACTCCAAACAGACGATGGATCGTTTACTGGCAAGGTAGCAGCAGATGTGCTAGCCGAAACACACCAGAAGGAAACTGAGGTTCATATTCCCATGCAAAGAATAAAAGAAGTACGAAACCAGACCAAGACTCTTCTAGCAGACTTTAGCACAAAAACAAAAGAGGCCTGCATGTCAGAAAGGTTTACCATGCAAGAGCTGGAAGTTGGAATTGGAGAGTTGAAAATGAAGAAAGCCCCAGGGGCTGACGGCATTACAAACGAATTTCTCTCTCATCTTGGACCTGCTGCCAAGAAGTTTCTCCTCTGCATCTACAACCAGAGCTGGCAAAAAGGGGTAGTACCGTCAGCCTGGAAGGAAGCCCTCATCCAGCCTATCCTTAAAAAGGGTGGAGACAGAAGAGACCCAAAAAGCTACAGACCTATTAGCCTTCTTAGTTGTGTAGGAAAATTGATGGAGAAATTAGTAAATAAAAGACTAATATGGTTCCTGGAGACAAACTCAGTAATCACCACCACCCAGACAGGATACAGACAGCACAGAAATACAGAGGACCAGTTGACATATCTGACACAGGAAATTGAGAATGCCTTCCAGGAAAAAAAGAAAGTTCTTGCTGTCTTTTTTGACCTCTCTCGTGCTTTTGATACAGTTTGGAAAGAAGGCCTACAACTAAAACTGCTACAGGCAGGAGTTGTGCACAACATGTACAAGTGGATCAAAGACTTTCTTTTCCAACGCAGAGCCAGATTCAGAATTGATGGACACATTGGCAAACTGGCAAAACTTAGAGAAGGAGTTCCCCAGGGCAGTGCTATATCACCAACTCTGTTCCTGGTTTACATTAATGATATCACAGCAACCTGCCACCAGCACGTTTTTAATACCCTACATGCCGATGACTTTGCAGTTTGGACAGCCTCCGAATACACTACCACAGCCTCATATCTGTTACAAAAAACTGTGGAAAATGTAGAAGCCTGGACCGAAAAGTGGGGTCTAAAGCTAAATAAATCAAAAAGCACAGCATCACTTTTCTCTCTCTCCCCAAAAAAAGAAAAATCGAAAATTGGATTAAAAACCAGCTCATTCCACAGACTGACACTCCTACCTTTCTGGGCGTTACACTTGATTCGCGACTAACTTGGAAGTCACATGTAGAAGCAGTACAGGGAAAAGCATTCAAGAAGCTTGCAGTTATGAAAAAATTAGCGGGTACCACATGGGGCGCTAACTCTAGAATCCTAAAACAAGTATATACTGGAGCAGTCAGGCCAGTCATGGAATATGCCTCCACTGCATGGGCTGCAGCAGCCAAGACAACAATGGGAAAACTGGACAAGGTTCAGAATATGGGATTAAGGATTGTTCTCGGAGCCATGAAAACCACCCCCATCAGAGAAATAGAAAAGATAGCAGATACTGAACCACTCGAACTCAGAAGACAATACAAAACTCTTTTACAGTATGAGAAATTAAAAAAAAGACTTCAAAGTCACCCACTGCATTTTAAATTTCAAGAGAGAACAAAAAACAGACTGAAGCGTCAGAGCCCCAACCACCTAGCTAGAGAACTGTATAGACAGCACCAAGATCTGCTTGAAAGAGATGTTGCACTGTGCGAAAAACTTAGGCCAGAACCATGGACAAGCAAGCCAGAGAAAGCAAATGTAGTCCTAAAGGTACCAGGAATCACTTCAAAAGATGCCCAGACGGAGACACAACAGAGAACCCTGGCTCTTGCTATGCTTGATGAGAAGTATCCAAACACCACTTGGACTCAGGTTTTCACCGACGGCTCTGCTACAGATGCAGTCAGAAAGGGGGGTTGTGGAATTTACATTAAACCCCCTAGCAGTAGAGCAGAAACTCTCTCTCTACCAGCAGGTGACATCTGCACTAACTTCAGAGCTGAGGCAACTGCTCTCCTCTCTGCAGTCCAACATCTCATCACTCAAGAACACAGAGGGCACCAAATTGTTATACTTAGCGACTCATTGTCTGTTCTCCAAGCACTATCCAGCAAAAAAACAAGACAAAATAATTGCTGATCTAAGAACCAACATTGGCTTACTCTCCAAGGAAGCAGAACTGGTCTTGCAGTGGATACCAGCCCACTGTGGTATTCAAGGAAATGAGAGAGCAGATGAGCTGGCAAAAGCTGGGAGTAATCTTCCACAACCTCATCCACCACACAGCTACAAGGAAACCAAAACAGCGCTAAAGCAGTCATTTCAAGCGGGAGTGGAGAAGGCAGAATGGAGATTACAGACCAGAGAGTGACAGCATAAACAAACTCAACAGGAAAGAACAAACATCAATTCTTAGACTTCGGACTGGACACTGTGGTCTTCGAGCACACTTGTACAAGATAGGCATAAAAGAATCTGCTGCCTGTGATTGTGGAGCAGAAAGACAAACCCCTGAACACATACTGCAGTACTGCCCTTACCTCTCCCAGCAAAGATTGTGAATCTGGCCCAAAGGAGCCACATTGCAAGAGAAGCTATGGGGGACCGGTGGCGACCTTAAACGCACAATCCTATTTGTGACCCAGACGGGACTCAATGTTTAGCATGACTGATATCGAACGGTAAAGAAGAACTGATGGAAAGAAGTTTTATGGAGTGGGATTTCTAAAGTTACTCTAGGAACAACACCTCAAGAACTGTCAGTCTTTCCCAGAAGACTGTTAGGGTTACCATCAATCCATCATGAATATAACGGTTTTTAAATCAACGATAAAAGATAGTACTTGGCTTAAATTTCTTTAATTTTTTTTCTGTGAATATCATGTTCACAGTACAAAGTGTATTATTTCACGATTACATCAAATAACTCAGATTTAACCTACACAAAAAGTAATAACTCATGGCTACAACACACAGAATATTCATCTAATATTTACGATAGATCGAAGCTATACAAAAAGTAATTCATCTAATATTTCCATTAGATCTAACCTATACAAACAGTAATAACTCAATACAACAATTCATCTGGTAGTCTGGTAGTCTTAGTTTCAGCTTCATAGCAAACGGGTCACCCCATCTTTGCTCCGCTCCTGTGCCAACGAAAAACACACAGAATGTTTATCACAGTCCCTTGTGGAAAGATTGACACACTGCTGTCTCAGCATATCTAGCATACACTCCCATTAAAGCATAGGGTAGCCATCCGAAGTGCCAGCACAAACCGTCCAACATTAGAAATGCAGTTCATCATTGATGATAGCAGAACTTGTTGCCAACAGATCAGCAGTTGCCCTCGTGATCAATTTTAATCACATACGGGTGCCGCCAATTTTGCACGACAGGCATCGCGCCATTTTCTGAATCTACAATTCACACCACCAAGTTGGTCACAGGCAAAAAAATATTCAAAATGCAATCCGCAGCTCACATGCATTTAACTCAGAAGCTGGGCGACGAAACTATATCCAGTCTACAAATGGAGCAAAAATGCATCGGCCACCGTCCGACAGAAGCAAAAAATTTGCCTCTGTTTCGAACAGTGCCGCTGCCTAGCATACATTTTAACAGGAACAATACATAAAATATTCATCTAATATTTCCATTAGATCTAACCTAAACAAACAGTAATAACCTGTATCAAGTTTAATCTAATAAGAACTATTTTTTGGCCAACTTTATCCTGCCAATCTCAAACTTGAACCATTACTAACACTAATGAATGCAAAATCACAACAGAGTTGAGATGACTTAGAATAGATTTTAAACAAGAAGAGATAAAAATGAAGATGAAGAAATCAGAAAAGACTAGGACTGAAACCTGGCAAACAGTATATTAATCAGCAATAGATGAGATGGTCTTGGCCATCTGATGAGAATTCCCTGGTACCAACTGCCACAGACAGCCATATTTAAGAAATATAACTAACATAGTGTTGGTGAAAGAAAACACAGAAGATGAAACAACTGCATACAAAATCAGCCTTTAATTATCACTGCCTGCCTGTTGCATGTTTATTTAGTTACCACTGCCTGCCCGTTACATATTTATTCAATTACCATTGTCTCCTATTGCATGTTTATTCAATTACCACTGTCTTCCTATTGCGTGTTTATTTAGTTATCACTGCCTTCCTATTGCATGTTTATTCAATTACCACTGCCTTCCTATTGCATGTTTATTTTAATCATAGGTAATGTGTCCATCGTTTCCTCCTTTTTAGGATGAAATTTTTTGTTATTTAAAGCCCCACCCTGGCTTTTGCCAGGGGCTGCAATATAGGTAGGCCATAAATATGGCCAATTGTCTGAAAGCGGTTTCTAAGACCTCTCCACGGTGATCCTCATCCAGATTCTGGCACTTTGTGTCATCGGGTGTTTATCGCTGGTGTGATGTCCTAGTGGGGAAGAAAGTCAGTCAGTCAGTCTGCATGTTTATTTAGTTACCACTGTCTTCCTATTGCATATTTTTTAAATTATCACTGCTTTCCTATTGCATATTTATTTAATTATCACTGCTTTCCTATTGCATATTTATTTAATTATCACTGCCTTCCTATTGCATGTTTACTTAGTTACCACTGTCTTCCTATTGCATGTTTATTTATTTACCACTGTTTTCCTATTATATGTTTATTCAATTATCACTGTCTTCTTAATGTATGTTTATTCAACTATCACTGTTTTCCTATTGTATGTTTATTCAATTACACTGTCTTCTTAATGTATGTTTATTCAATTACCGCTACCTATCTATATTTATTCTCTACTTGTCCCTCTAGTAAGACTTTCAGTAACCGTTGTCTTTCTCTTGCTAATCTGTCTTCAGATTTCCCTTTTGCATTGCTACCAGTAACTTTTATTTTCCTGCAAAATCCAAATGTTTAATAGTACGTTTGTTGTAGTTTTTTAAAAAATAATTTCCTCCGAAATTCTGAAGAAACAGGAACCATTTCAAACACTGAAACTTTTTCTATGGTATGAAGTAATTTTTTAAAGAAGAAGAAGAAGAATGATTTCCTCTGATTTCAGATTAAATGCACACCATTATCCGCACACAAAATGACATGGATAAACTCATGTGAAACTGTGGTACCAACCTCTTGTCACCTTTTGCTACAACACTCTTGCCCAGGTGGGTCTTGGCCACAATCAGGAGCCCTAGAGGTCAAATCAGTTCATGTTAGCTATGAATATATATGTTACCTCTCTGACTGTCTGTCTGTCTGTGGGGTGGATCGGTGTGTGTGCATGGGTGTGTCTGGGTGGCCTGGTGTGTGAGTGTGTGTGGCTGGGTGTGTATGTGGGTGGGTGGCTGGATGAGTGAGTGTGTGGCTCAGCGGGTGGGTGTGTGTGGATGTAGGGATGGGTGGGTGTGTGAAAGTGTGTGGGTAGCTTGGTGTGTGTTTGGATGGGTGTGTGTGTGTACATGGGTATGTCTGGGTGGCCTGGTGTTTGTGTGTGGGTGTGTATGTGTGTGCATCACTGGATGTGGATGTGGGTGGTTGGCTAGATGTGTTTGTGGGTGGGTGTGTAAGTGTGGTGGCTGGTGTGTGTATATGTATGTACGTACATACCAAGGAGACACATCTAAGCCCCCTCACGCTCAGAGAAACAGAAACAGAGACAGAAAGAGAGATATAGAAAGTTTATAGCCAACACTGATATTTAGGCAACACAAATATGTTTGAAACAAAGCATGCTAGAGAAGCTGCCGGATCAGAAGATGGAGGAATATCATCACCATAACACCAAAGATCAAGATCTCCTGAGAGACATGAATGGTTATGCCATCTAGTAAGGGGTATCTTCTTCCTCTTAGAATTCACTGGCCATAAACTCTGGCTAGAAGTTCTGGTTGTTCATCCACTCCTGGACTTTTGTCTTGATCAAGAACTTGTTTTGAGTGCCCATCTACTTTACAGATCTGGCTTATTTGTATGCAGACTGTTGGTTCCTTGCCTCTCAGGCAGATGCACTGAATACAGCTCGCTAAATACTAACCATGTCTGAAAGGGCAATTATCCAGGTCCTCCCTGTCTCTGTTCATCTTAATGCAGTGAGCAATGCGGCGTCGGTCGGCCAGGCTGATACTATTGCTCAGAGGCACAGCACCTTCTCGTCCACATTGCTTGTATCAGGAACAGAATAGTCAACAAATCAGCTTGTTCAAGTGCTAAAAACATACTACTGTTGTAAGCATGTGAAACAGGGGCAATAAGTAGATAGACTAGCAAAAATTCCAATGGTGGTAGACTTTTGGTTTTTGAGAAAATGTAAACAATATCATGGATGGACAAAAGAATGAATAAGTCATAAGGAACATATGAAAACAACAACAAAAAATGGTTAGAAAATTAGACACAGTCGAGTTGGGCATTTTATAAGGCAAAGTAAACTTTAAAATTCCATCACAACTGGCAGAACTGGTGAGAAAAAAGCAAAGGTAAGACAAGGAAAAAAAAACCTGGACAGCTTCGCCAAATGGGAAGGGGGGATCAATTACAACAAAATTCTTGTTGCCACAAGGATTTTAGAAGGTCTGAGAACTGGAACGTAAATGGAAAAAAAAAATTGGATCCGCTACAGAGATTTGGTTTTTGTGATAAGTACTTCAAATGTCTTGACCTTGAGCAATCAGGAATACTGACATTGATTGCTTGAAACAAAATCTGTGAAAGTAGATCATTAAATTAAACAAGCAGAAGTATGGTATGCTTGATAATTGTCCCAGGAAGGGGAGAAAGTTACAAGAGCCTGCATGGTCTTTTCTTACCCCTCTGAAAATAAAGTCTGTTGATTTTTTTGTTTTTTGTTTTGTTTCCCACCTGTTACTGAAGTTGAGGAAGAAAAGTATTCTCTCACTGGTTAGTTTTATAGTTGGTGGTGATGTAAGGGACATAACCAGTCTGTGAATGCATTTCACATTTATGTGACTGGCAATGAAGGAAATCATGACACATTAAACTGTATGTATCATGGAAGAACATATAAAGATTATGACATGACTCATTTTACTGAGTGACATTCAACCCCACCAGGACCGCATAACAAGCGATAAACACCTGGTGACACAAGGGGCCACCATTTGGGTTAGAATCTCTAAGGCGCAAGTCCCAAAAACCCTGTTCAATTGTTAGGTTATAATAGAGCCTCTGATAACAGGCAGGGTAGGGCTTTAGAATAACAAAACACACAAAAAAACTGTGTCCCACATTGGAATAGAGGCTATGATTAAATACTGAGTTTATACTGGAAGTGGTCTCAGTGTAGTTGAAACCAGATGTCACCAGAGACCTGTCACTTGGACACAACAGAAGCAGAGCTAGAGGTCGCCCATGTAAGTAATAGATATATGGACATCTAAGGCTGTAAATACCAGCATGTAAATCGTACACACAAAAGCTAGCACCTGATCCGTCTTAAAAATCTGATGCTGAAAGGCAGAACAGGGACTTGAGAAAGGAAGAAAGAAAAAAGGGACTAGAGAAAGGAAGAAAGAAGATGAAGTCAAAGGAGATGACTGATAACAGAAAGGTCTTTTCTATGCACATACTGTTGATACTACAAATGTGGAAGTCCTACTTCAATAGTTAGTTTGTATAAGACAAATCTAAAGGGGAGAGTGTGTCCTTTGGTTATATGATAATTAATGAGACACTGGACAACAGCATGGTGACTGAAAAAAATCCACAGCAGAAGAAGCTAGACTAAAAGAAATGATACCTGGTGATCTAAGATGATGACATGAAGGAATATCATCAAAAGAATTAATTACAAACACCAAGGACACAAATCTGAGGGAAAACAAGAACTCCCATGACATCAGGGAAGGCACAATACAACAGAGATGTCCCTGTGTATATTCCAGGGTCCCCTTTTTGGGGGAATGAACAAACATAGGAGCTAATGATTAAACAAACTTTTTTTTAAAGTGTCGCACATGGTCACTGCTTCTAAGCAAGGATGTTATATACGACAATAAATGAAGGATTTGTTTAAACTGGGTGTGTTGGGCCGTAGGTGCAGGTATCACAGCCCAGAATGCCAACCACAACAAACCATGCTAACAGCCAGTGTTAGGATGAATGCAGAAGAAGAATATAATAAAGACCAAATTTCCCCGTGTGGGTTCTTAGGCCCCGTTGTGGAGGGAAACATGAATATACCCAATGCTTCCCAACAAGCGTGTCGCAGGAGTCCATTAACTGAGGACTTCCTTTGAAGTCAGAGTGCATCTGCTCAAGCGGCAAATAACAACCAACTGCACACAAATAGGCCAGTAAAACAGATGCACACACAAAACTTAGACCCTGGAACAAAGACAAAGTCCAAATGGATGAACAATCAGCACTTTCCACCAGAGCTTACAACTGTGAATAAAGAAGAAGAATAAAGAGAAGAATAAGAAGTTGCTAGACTTTGAGCAGTTCCAATGAGTTAACAGGCTAAGATTTATTTTCACTGCCCTTCTAAAAGATACTGTAATGGGGGATATTTTCACCCTGATTAGGAAGGTTGGGGGGAAAGCCCAAGGTTAACAAGAATACAGAGATAAGCCGGATACTCGCATTAACCGAGGTTTTAAAGATAGGGGACGACCACGAGTTATCATGTGGAACCTAAGGAGAACGACCACAGGTCGCCACGTGGAACCCAAGAACAACCACGTGTTGCCACGTGGAACGAACACTGGGTATAATAGCAGACCCCAGTCTGATCATTTAGTATAGGTTGACCATCAGAACGAGAGGACGTGATAGTGTTCGTGAGAATAAGAACGTGAAACTGATTGTTGCGAGAGGAAGACCAGACGACAGCATCCATCGAAGCCAAGTCCAGCCAAGCCAAGTTGTGTGGAGCTTGAGGAAATGATCAGATCCATCTGTGCAGTGGTGTGGACCTGAAGGCGCTGAACTCTGGTTGATGAATGTGTGAGAAGTCAGCGTGTTGGCGTCTGCACAATGTGGTGCGTGTAAGCTGTGAATTAGGACATGGACGGGACAATATATGTGTAAGTGATGAGATGTCAATAAACTGTATCGTACTTTGGAGTCGGTGTCGGCTTGTCTCAGTTATGTCATCTTAAGAATGTGTGCTAAGATCATCCACTAGACACATCATCTCCTAGACAACTAGCCCAAGGTCAGAACACGACTTATCGCAAGCACAGCTTATTGCAAGCAGCTTATTGCAGATACAATCCCATGCCTTGTGGAGGATTGCACCTAGGTCTATTGACTAAGTTACCTGAATCCTGACAAATTAAAATCTATATTAATAAAAATGTTAATTTTCCGATGTTGTTAGATAAAAACTCGGAAACTACTGAACCGATTGCTTTCAAATTTGCACACAACGTTGCCTCTGATTCAAAGCGTGATTTTTTTGGTCATAAAATCGCACAAACCACGAATGACGTAGCTACAGCAACGGTCAAATCATTATTTGTTTCGTTGCCCGTCCGAATTTATTTTTAATCGATTGACCACCTTTGACTGTGCAACACCAAACTTCATAATATTATTATATACTTTCATTTCTACTAAATGCTTGAGTGTTTAGTAGCATAGTTGGTTGTAAGCATTTCGCTTTTAACTCGGGTGATAGGGGTTCGATTCCCTGTTGGGTGATATAAATTTTTTTTTTTGCGCCCCTAACTGGGTGGCTGCCACGTTCCGTTGTAGTTTATAGCTAGGCTGCAGTATCTATGCTTTTTGTTCCGTTTGATTTTGGAGTTTACAGCTAGCCTGCGATAGCGGCAACGTGATGCTCAATGTTCATGTCACGGGTAATATTCGTTCGCCCTTGAGAGGGCGGTTGGCACATTGTGTTGTGGTTTAAAGCTAGGCTGCGATATCTGACCGAAAGTCTTCAGTCTTCGGTAGTAGAGTTGTCAGTATTCCACCCTTCACGAGAATGACCAGTGTTCGATTCCCCGCTGGGAGCTAATTTTTCTTTTTCCCCTTAAGGGCGATTGGCAGATTGTATTGTGGTTTACAGCTAAGTTGCGACATCTGCGCCTTACGCCCAAAGACATCCGATTTCAGTACAGTCCCAATTAGCCTCCCCCCGACGCTTCACTCGATCAAAAACTATTTGTTGATGACAGAAACTGTTAACTAAGAAGGCTTACTGTCCAGTTTGGTTTGGGTCGACGTGGATGTCAAGGTTAGTTAAACATTGTCCCTTCGGAGAGGGAGATATGACGAGTGCGGGTTTTTATTTCCGCTATTTGTGAGTATAGTGTACTTTTTTTTTTTTTTTTCTCTCTCTCTAACAGTGCACTTGTTCAACCACTAACATCGACATTCACTGATATGTTGTGTGTTCTAGAGTTGGCATATCAGACTATCTCTGTAGCTGTGCATTGACTGGTATTAACCATATTAGACAGGTGAGCTTTCTACTTTCTTTCTTTTCCAGTTTACCATTCTGGGCCACAGCAACACGTGGCCGGGTACAGCTAGTTATAAATAATCAAAATGAAAGTTTTTAATCAAACAGATTTACCATGTAGGTTTCAGCATCCATAAAGCCTTCTTCCGGAATGCGATAACTCTCCGTGCTGCCCCCAACCATTTCAGGGTCGGACATCCAGAACAGGTACTCGAGGGATTTCTTGTAGGCTGTGTTCCTGTAACATAGAATGGAACATGTTCCTTGAGCATAATCTTCTTTGTTCCTGTAAAATAGAATGGCACATGTTCCTTGAGCATAATCTTCTTTGTTCCTGTAACATAGAATGCCACATGTTCCTTGAGCATAATCTTCTTTGTTCCTGTAAAATAGAATGGCACATGTTCCTTGAGCATAATCTTCTTTGTTCCTGTAAAATAGAATGGCACATGTTCCTTGAACATAATCTTCTTTGTTCCTCTAAAATAGAATGGCACATGTTCCTTGAGCAGAATCTTCTTCTTAAAGTCCATGCCATGTGGCTTTGGTGGTAGTCATATCTGCTCACAACCTTCTGTCCAGTGTACTTTCAATCAACTCTGACACAGATGACCTTCCTTGCAATGATGTCAAACTGTCCAGCATCTTTTCTCTCCGTCTCAATCCCCCCTCTGCTCTCCCACCGTCACGAGGTACTCCAGTTTTCCCCTTGTCATGACAGGACCAAAGAATGTAGATTGTGCATAATACAGGCCACGTTTCTAAGAGGTGACTAAGATGTATCTTCATCAGGTGCTGGCTTCTATGATATCTTCTTCATTCCTCTACAAATGTCTGTGTGTTGTATACAAGTGTCAAGCAAGTAAAGTAGTCGTTCCTTTTCACATGTGAGGTGCTCTGGGCATACAGGACTGGATCAACATTATTATAGACCAATCAGCACTCAGTGGATGATGTAGTTCGCATCATTCTGGTCATTTTTAGTTCCAAGGTTCTGGTACCCATTTTAGACTGGGTCAACCTAGAACGCAAGGTCAGTTAAAAAAATATGCCATGATACTACCACTGGTCTCACATACAAGTATTCACCTCTAAATTTCAAAGATAAATGCCGAATTTGGTATCCATTTCTCTCAGCCTTGCTTCCTCAATACGTATACCATCATATGTCAGCAGGTCCTTACAGAATGTCACTCTTCTCACGGCACGCCTGTCCTTACAGCACACCTGTTCTTACGGCCCGCCTGTCCTCACAGCACATCTCTCCTCACAGCACACCTCTCCTCACAGCACGCCTGTCCTCACAGCACACCTGCCCTCACAGCATACCTGCCCTCACAGCATACCTGCCCTCACAGCATACCTGTCCTCACAGCATACCTGTCCTCACAGCACATCTGTCCTCACAGCACATCTGTCCTCACAGCACACCTGCCCTCACAGCACGCCTGTCCTCACAGCACGCCTGTCCTCACAGCACGCCTGTCCTCACAGCATGCCTCTCCACACAGCACACCTGTCCTCACAGCACACCTGTCCTCACAGCACGCCTGTCCTCACAAAATACCTCTCCTTACAGCACTCGTGTCCTCACAGCATACCTGTCCTCGCGGCATGCCTGTCTCCACAGCACACCTGAAAGTCTCTCTGTCTCTAGCCAATTGTACAGCCCAATGTGCTTTCCTAGCCAACACATATTCGATCTCATGTATCTACCTTTGCAGAGGTCAGCCTCTGCATCTTTGTCCAGAAACTTCACCTTCCATCACCCTACTCTCCAAGCAACCATGACATTTAAGATGGCCCAAAACCCCAGCTTTCAGGGATAAAATGCTGTGGATGAGCCAGTTCTGCTCATTACCCAGATCATGAAGGATGTTGGGGTTTTTTTTTTTGGGGGGGGGGGGGGGGGGTCCACGGTATTTTAAGAATTAAAAGTAGCATTTCAGTTCAAAAGCTCTGATGTTGTTTTTTTTTTTTTTTCAAAGACTGAGTAAAAGTCAATGACTGATATTCATAAGTTGCCATGGGAAAGATGAATCTAAGAATTGTTACTTTAACTCATTTGCAGGTGCTGTGCCATAGGTTTTTCAGACTTCACCCAAGGTAAAGTGAGGGGCAATTTTTTTATACACCACAAAGCATCTTGGGTATATGGTGTTAGCATATTATTTTTAAGCTGAGTTAACACGGAAGTCTGCGATACTGAAAAAGAAAAAGAGATTTTTTCCCCGTTTGGGTTCCGGAGCCCCATTGTGTGTGTGGGGGGGGGGGGGGGAGAGAGGGGGGGAGGAAGAATAGACCCAATGCCTGTCCAAAATCATGTTGTAAGAGTTGACTAATTGGAAGCTTCCTTTGAAGTCAGAGTATATCTGCTTGAAAGGAAAGGAACCAACAGTCTGCATGCAAATGAGTCAGACCTATGAAACAGACATGCACATATCACTCAGTTTATGGAACAGAACTAGAGTCCAGAAGTGAAAGAATAACCACAACTTTCCACCGGAGTTTACAGCCGGTGAACGCGAAGAAGAAGAAGAAGAAGAAAAACAAGAAGAAAAGGGATTTAAAAGTATCCCCACTGGACTGACAGGCAAGAGTGCTAACTACAGTACCACCCAGGCTCTCGAATGAAACAGTGCATTTATTACACAGCTAAATCATAATCTACAATATCTAAAGCTCAGATACACTGGTCAATTTAATTCAATGAAACAATGCAGATTTTGTTAAATAAGCACAAGAGAATACTGACTCTGACTTTAAATGTTTGTAAAATGCAAACTCAAGTCTTCTAAGTCCTAGCAAGTGTCTCTTAACTTGTTCAGTCCTAAGCAAGTGTTGCCTATAGTAATGAATGTTTATGCCTGCAAAGCTTAAAATAACAACACTACAAGTCAAAAGGAATAAATGTAATAAGTGGGACAGAAGGACATAATGAAAAGTTGTATGTAACAAAACTGTTGAGAAAAGCATAACAAGTAAGGAGTTAACAGTAAATGTACAGTGAACTGATTCGTGCTGAGATAAAAACTGACGTCATAGCACTCAGGAAATTTCCATATGTGCTCTGTCCCCGTCTTCAGTAGCCGTCATAGAGATCCATTTCTGATTGTATGACTAACTGTATGTCCGTCTGCCTTTTCCATGATTTTTATGTCAACTTTTCGCTGCAACATTCTTTCAGATTTTATTGACCTATCTGTGCCTCCACACCCTTCACTCATCCCAGAAGGACCTTGATAACATTTAGCTTGTCATGCATCAAATGACCACCAAGAGAAAGTTGGAATAAGACCATGTATGGATTTTAATGACAGACAAAGAATGAAATGGTTCGGCCATCTATTGAGAATGCAGCCAGACCAGGCTGCATATGAGACTTTTTACAGTAGAACGTCTGGGAGGAAAGTGAAAGGAAGACCAAGAAAGAGATTGATAAATGCTGTAGATGAAACCTGCAAAAAGAAAAAATCCATCACTAAATCCACCTGAGAATCTCAAGACAAATACAGAAAACGACGACACTGGGTTACAACCTGGTAACAGTGAGACAACAGAAGAAGAAGAAGAAGAACCACTTGGCATCAGATCATCTTGAACTGATGAAGCCCAGTGAAGGCTGGGATATTTCCATGTGGACTTCTAGTAATTTTCCCTGGTCTCTGGGTAGTGAGATCTGACGCCTGTGTGTATTTTTACGCACATAGAAAAATCAATTGGCAGTTGGAAATTGAAAAGAGTAGCCTAAGGGCGCTGCGCAGGCAAAATTTGGAGTTAAAATCTACCCAGAGTATTTCAGGATCCTCGCCAGTGCTACGGCGTTCATGCACTGTGCTAAGATTCTTCAGACTCAGACTTGAGTTAGAAGTAGAACGGAGCACTTATAAGTTACTCCCGTGTGCCATGATGGTGATCCATCAAATAAACATAAACATCTTTAATTGACTGATATCAAATGAATTATAAAACACGAGTCTGAAAAACGAACTTACTTAGATCCAGGATAGTACTCTCCCTTGCTGTTCTCAGTGATGGCAATTATAGATTTGTCAAATCGTGTACGAAGCATACGATTATGTATGCGAATAATTCGATGAATCTTGATGCCGACTACACCAAGATCACGGTAATCATATGCACAGAAACGTGAGAGAACTAAATCGTGGCAGGATGTGAACCTAAATGATTATTTTAAAAGTTTGTGGTTACAAAATAAATATACTATAAATGCAAAATATAATTAAGAAATTAACACCTATCTGGTTATGTCAAAAGTAGAACTTTATTATAACAATGACAAACCAATTGTACTTCTTTTCATTATATAAAGGTGAAGGTATTTGTATAATTTAACAACGTCAACGGATATACCAACTTCTTCTGTGTTCTGCATAAAAAGGAAGGTTGGCATGCTGCAATGTGTTTACAGCTAGGCTGTGATATCTGTGCCTTTCAGCCGAACACATCTAATTTTAGCAAACCCCTAATGGTTGTTTATGACATGCATGTAGAGGGCCAGTTAGGTCGATTCTTGTGCTCAAAATTTTGAATGTTGAATTAAGTATCGACAACACAGCATAAATGATATGTCCCCATCTCAGCAGTAAGCAAAGAGTTCCAGTTCCGATGATACCAGAATTGACTGTACATCTGCCTCACCTTACTCTTGAGTGTCAAGCATCGGCCAGATACCCTGGTAACTCCTTGCAGCGCCATTCTTCTCCAACTGTAAAGATCTGTTTGTGCCTCGGAACTATAAACTCGCTCCCAAAAGGCCTTCATAACATCTAGCTTGTTATACATCAGTTTATCACCAAGTGGCGAAGAACAAGCCAATCTATCTGCTTTTTTGTTTCCTAACCTACCAGCATGACCTGGAGAAAATATCCAAAAGATGCTAACTACTCGGGACCTCTGGAGCGATGCCTACCACTCTGCAACTCTCTCAACTGTTCACTGGCTCCCAAAAGGCCCTCATAACATCTAGCTTGCTATACATAAATTCCCCATCAAGTGGTGAAGGACAAGATAATCTGCAAAGAACATGCCTGTCTCTACCTTTCTCAACATGTTCTGTGAGTCAGCTACAATTATGTCATGTGTGTACAGCTGATTCTCAGTCCAGCAAAAAGCAGCAGTGACTGCCTCAACCTCTGTTATCAAACTAGACGTTGTGATATCATATGCCAGGCTCTACTGCACTAAGTGATATCCTCAAGATGGGACCCAAGAACCCCCACAGAGTACTGGGCAATAAAAAGAATCTCAAAAGTATACTGAAAGTAACTTTACAAAAAATTATAAATGAACTTGACACAGACATCAGAAGTGGACAGCATTTAAAAAAAAATAACCTAACTGAATAAGTAATAATTTCACAAATATTAGAGAAATGTTGAGAGTGAAAAAAGGCAGAGGGAGATTAAAAGATTTGAGACAGTTTAGCAGAGCATAGAAGACAATCAACATTAGAAATGACTGGTAGTACTGAGACGAAAAGCTTATGTGAACAGACAGGATGACTCAGAACCATACAACAATGGACTATTCATTCACTGTCCTATTGTGCCATTATATATCACACAGGGTTCACAGTCTACTCATCTATTCTGCTCTTTCCTGTGCAATCATCTCAACATCTCAACAGTCCAGCCACTTTGGCTTCTCTCATCTACATTGACCTTAGCATTTCTCTTGCATGTCGTTTCCTCAATTCCTATATTTCCCATTTCAGTGTCTGTTTGATCATTCCCTGATAGTCTCTTTTCAGAATGTGTCCAATATAGCACTATTTTCTCTGTCTTGTAACTGCTGATACAAATTGTCTGCCCAGACATTTCTTATTTCTCCAACCTTCTTCAATGCATGCAATTGTATGTTCAGTATTTTCATCAAGCATTTGTTTTTGAACAATCTTAACTTTCATTTTGTCGTTAGTGGCTCTCCAACTTTCACTGGCATGTGTTAAAACTGAAATAACATTAGAATTGAAAATATGTAACTTGATTCTAAAACTATATAATTGAGTGTTCCATAAGCCTTACAACAAATAAGTCTTGCCACAAAACTTTGGACCCATCAAAGATGCAAATTGCGGGTAATGGAGAGTGAGAAGCAACATCGAAATTGATAATCTGTTTAAATCACCATTGATTACTGGCATCATGAGAGCTAATTGACTGAAATGGTTGGGGTATACTGACAGAATGTCAGGTGACAGACAGGTAAAACTATACACAAGGAGCTGAATGGTTGTAGACTACGATGCAAACCAAGAAGACAATGAAGAGATAATGTCCAGACAAACCTGTAAACACTTGATGTCACCAACTGGAAAGAGAATGCTGAAGAAGAAGATATTGTGTTCAAGACTTTGAAAGCTGCAGATGCCTTGCCAATGCCTGTTATGTTTACAACAAATCTCTCAGGGGAACTCATCGTACTGCAGCATACACACAGTTGAGCTAAGAATCAACATTACAGAACTTTGGCATTCCCATAACTGGTCCTATTCCATGGGTGGGTTGTCTCTCCGTGGAGATGTGGTCAAGCAAACATTACAGAACTTTGGCATTCCCATAACAGGTCCTATTCCATGGGGGTGGGGGGGGGGGGTGTCTCTCCGTGGAGATGTGGTCAAGCAGTTTGCTTCTGAAGGTCATGAGTTTCGTTTCACAGACCTCTCATAAAGTTCATGAATGCAAGTTTTACAGGCCTCCCTGGGAACAGTCACTGGAGCTATGAAGTTTATGCTTTGTGTGCAGCTTTTGACAGTTGGCTAGCAGTTCTGCAGCAAGAGACCGAGTCATGTAAGGCAACAAAGTCGATCCTCTGAATTTTAACCTCCATAGCTCCTTCTCCATCTTAAGTAACCAGAACAGTTCCAATACTAATAGTGCAAGTGGTACTATTTGATATATTTGCCTTGCCTTTCCTCAAGCCCTGAGTATCCGCTGTCTCCTCTGGTCAGTCCTCTTACCATCAGACCGTGGCGATCTGCCTGCTCTTTTGTGTTACGCATGTTCTCCTAAATGTCAGATGTTCATAAGGCACTGCCAATATAATCGAAACAGATTTGTTTCTCTTGACTCTTTTTCTCCTGCACTTGTTAAACACTTTTTAAACCCCACTTCAGTTGCTGCGACTGGCCTGGTACTAAACACAAGTGCTGTCATCAATACCATGCATGGCACAAATCACAAAGACAAATATGGTAAAAGATGTGACTGTAGTCCTATCCATGCTGAAGGACACAGTGGTGCAACATGCAGCTGTAAGAAATAAGTATCTCACCAAGGAAACATGTTTCATTAATATGTACAGAACAGGCGTTATCAGTTGTTATATACTTGTTATATACATGTGGAGCTACGGACGGGGAGATGGAAGCACCTAAGGTCTGTCCGGAGTGCTGTGATGATAACCTTCACTTATCACTTATCCCAAACTGTTGTTTCTTTAAAGTAATAAACATTTGACTATAAAGGGTTTCAGATAGTGACACTACAGAACACACGGAGCAAAAATTACAGTTTAGACAGATAGTGTTGATGCAACAACTGAATGAGACCAAATAGTTTGTTTTTGATAACTGGTCAAATAATAATTTCTCCCAACAACTTTAACCAAATAACAAGGTAGGTGAAGAGGACATTTAGAAAATATGTGAAACTTTTCACTAGTCTCACCATGGATCTGATGAACGGCCATCCTCAAAGCGAACATTGCCACCTGTCTCCAGCTCTACCAGAAGTCTGTTAATCATCATGTCTGCCATTTGTCGAATACAAACTTCAGACATCTTTGCATAGCTCTCTATACTTAAAAGAGCACAAAAATATAATTAGCATGAAATAATTATTGTACTAACATTTCATTTTTTTTTAAATATAGAAAAGACAGTGGGACAAGTTAGCTTTAAAAGAACATAAAAAGAGAATAGGAATGGCTTTAAATTCTCATTAAAAACTGAAAATTGTTGACACTAGAGAGGTAAACAACACTATAAAAATGAGAATTGGCAAATGTCATGAATTTTCATCCCTACTATATGTTGCAGAAACTTGGACAATGAACAGGAAACTTGAAATTTGAACTTAGTCTCTGGAGATGTGGAAATACAGAAAAATAAGTTGTATTTCATGGAAACAAAAAGTCACAAACAGAGGTCTGGGAAAGATTGTGAATGAAAAAGAATTACTTGAAGAAATAAAAAAAAGGAGACACATGTAACAAATTGGCCACATTAGAAGACATCACTCCTTTTAAAAAGATGCTGCAGAGAAAGGTTGATGGCAAGACAGCAAGAGACAAGTAGGTGGACAACATCAAGAGATGAACACACAGAAGTCCGAGAGAGTGTACAACCAAGACAAGAGACAGAGAGTGCCGGATGTCCCAGAGAGTGCCGGATGTCCCAGAGAGTGTCGGATGTCCCAGAGAGTGCCAGATGTCCATTGTAGCCAACCTTCATTGTGGAGGCAGCTCCTGATTGACAAGAACATAATCATAAGTTGCAGGATGGATACTGCAGCCAGAAAGTCTTTATCAGCAAAGATAAAGATATAAATAAAGAGGTCAGCGGTGACAGGGTTAAGAAAATGTGATATTGTCAAAAACAAGTAGACAAGGGAAGGAGGAGAGAGAAGAAAGATGAAATTACAGAAAAGGCACACCACATCGGCATACAAACAACATAGGAAGTGGTAAGGGAGCAAACAAAAAGATAGGAAGCATTTTGATGAAGGATCAAGGAGAATGGGACTGAGGGGTAGAGATAAAGACTTTTTTTTTTTAAAGGAGGCGGGTGGGGGGATTTGTGCAACTAATGACTAATATTCCAGCTGACATTACTACACTAATGTAACTTAGAGGTCACAAATTAGTACAGGACAATCATTTCATATAGTAATGTGGTTTCTCTTAATGGCACCCCACTCCAACACGTGGAGTCGTACACCTATTTGGGCAGTAATGTAGATAAAGATGGAGGAACTGATAGAGATATTAAAATAAGAATACAAAAGGCAAGAGGAGCTTTCACAGCACTAGGGAATTTGTGGAGGTCAAAAGAAATTAAAAGAAATACTAAACTAAACATTTTAAATTCTTATGTCAAATCAGTACTTTTGTATGGGGCGGAAACATGGAGAACAACCAAGGCAATTACTAATAAATTTCAGTCATTCATTAACTGGTGCCTGCGCAGAATAGAGGGAATTAAATGGTATGACAGAATAACTAATGTAGAGCTTTGGGAGAGAACTAAACAGGCTCCAGTGGACCAAGAGGTGAGGAAAAGATGCTGGCATTGGATAGGACACACGTTGAGAAAACAGGAGAACAGCATAACTAGAATGTCTTTGCATTGGAACTAACAGAGGCATAGGAATAAAGGAAGGCCAAAAACACATGGAGAAGAGAGCTGGAGAATGAAGTTATATGCTCCATTGGGGGATTGAAAAGCAGAAGAAAGAAGAAGCATTTCAAATTTTTAGAATTCATTTGAAGTGACCCAGGGTCCAGACCAGAAATCATGTCTAGGATTGCCTAGACATCAGTTCAAATCCACATGGAGCCGCATTTTTTTTAAACACGACTTCTGCTCCTAGGAAAAGTTCTGGTAAGTAAAGGTGGCCTGTGAGATGCTGATCAAATCCCTCATCAATGGTCGACTGATCTATAAAGATATGAGTCCAGCCTTGTATGCCTGACGTGCCACTGGTGTGTAATATCACCTTTTACAACACCCAAAGAAATACACTTGTACTACAGTATTAGAGGGAGCCACTGTGGTGTAGTGGCTAGATGCTTACCTGCGGATCCAAAGTTCATGTCTTCAAATCTCAACAGGGCTGGATATTTTTTTTAATTTCGGATACGATTTCGGCTCCCAGGTTGATCCAGTCTTAGATGGGTAGCAGAAGACGTCCTAGAAAAGTAAAGGGGCCACCTAACTGTTGACCTCATTACTCACCAAGGACTGGCTGGTCTGAAAATAGAGGTCTAGCCCTATATGCCCAATGCGCCTGAAAGTGGGGGAAATGTTCCTTACTTTACAGTATTGCAGCATGAAAGGAAACACATTTACTTGTTACTCTTTACTTCCCAGTATAGCCGTCTCTGTTTCAAAGCATCAAGTTTGGCTTTATAGGCAAATTTCTTGTCCACGGGCTTCTGAAAACCAAAACAAAAAACTACTAACATAGCCAACATTTAAACAAAAATTATGTTGGCTTCCAATTGCTTCTGAATGCCAAGAAAGGTTTTTTTATGATGTCCCAGGTATTGTTTTATCAAACCCAGATTTGTCACTGTTACTTGATAGATTTATTCCTGCCAGATTTATTTGTTTTAACTGAACATAATTATTCTTTCGAAGGCCAAATTCTCTGTTTGGCCAGGCTAGAGTTACTCTTTTTAACAGGTAAATTGTTTTATTTCTAGCAGCCTTAAAATAATATACAGTTTTCAGATGTCAAAACTAGTGTACTAACTTGGCACTTCCCTATTGTTAATAATTATAAACCAAGATGTTCAGAAAAACACATGCTGGTCTGTTATCTGTTTATCCTGGAGCGTCATTATGGGTTTCTAATTTTGCAATCAATTAATGTCACATGTAAGGTCATAGCATAATGAGGTTTGGGGAGAAGAGAGAATTTTTAATTGATATTTATTGTCCCAGGTAATACTCAGAGAATATAGGTTATTATCTGGCAAACATACGGCTGTGAAGTCTGGACAATTAATAATGAGCCGAACATTTGTTTTTCTTTCGCCCTGACAATGTCTGGAACTTACAGAAGGACCAAAAACAAATCACCTAACTGCATTTGGTCAAGGAACTGTCATCAGAAGATGCTTTACTCGTTTTCTCACTTTGATCAGTAGTGAAAGGGATTGGAACCCGTGCCTACAATCAAACACTAGACTAAACAACCTTACACTGGGAAAGGTGAACATGTGTGAAAAAAACAATGTATTCAGTTAAAACATCAAAAGGAAGTAAAGGACAGAGATATTGATGTCAGCTTGGAAGAGGCACTCTGGTTGTGGTTGTCATTATAATAATCACAAACCCTATGTGAGTGCCAGGACTCCATTTTGGGGGGGGGGGGGAAAGAATTGACTTACTGCCCCCAACCAACAACAATTATGTAATTAAAAAGTGGTTAATTAGGGATCTACCATCAATAAACAGATGAACAGCAGTCATGGAGGATGTACAAGCAGGACCAGAGAGAGAAAGTTTTGAAGATCCATTGCAGTTAATATCACTGTGGAGACAAATTTTGACTGACTGAATGCATGATACTACAACTTCTTGTAAAATAAACCATTAGTGGTTGTGTACTTACCCGAACATCTCTTTCGCTTTCTGGATCACTGTCGTACATGTCAGCCGTACCACCAGTATCAAGAAGTCTTTCCATCTATCAGAAGGTAAACATAATTAACAAATTTATCAACTTACCTCAAATACTATAATAGCAATGTAATAAAAACAAATCAGACCAGTCTTTCCCATTTGCTAGTCCACAGATATAACAAATTTAACCCACCGACTACCACACCAGTTAACCCTAACACCTTCCCAGATACCACATATTCTATAGTGTACTAAATATATCATAGATTCACAACTATTTAACATAAACCCACAATATTTTGTATTACTGCATCAAACTGAATGGAGAACATGGTTCTTTTGAGAAAAAGAACTGTGTGATCTTGTATGAGATCATCATCATGTCTTGTTCCAGAGCTTGAGTTCTGCGTGCATAACTATTTTACAGACTGTACATTTGTATGCAGACTGTTGGTTCCTCGCTTCTTAGGTAGATGTGGACTGACTTTAAAGGAAAAATCCCTAATTAGTCATCTTTTATGACATGCTTTTAGGAGATCAGTGGGTCTCTTCATTTGTCCCAAATTGGGGGTCCCAGTAACCACACAGGGAAAATGATGACTAATTAGGAATTGACATAAATTCAATGTCTTGAAAGTTGCAGATATCACAGCCCAGCTGTAAACCACAGCACAACATGCCAACTGTTCTTTTAATGGCAAAAGCAGAAAAAGAAGAATAAACAGATACAGCCCTTTGTTAAAGGATGTGCCAGAATGCTTTGTGTTCTTGACTATCTCTTGTGGTTATTTCTCTCTTCAGCCTCTTTCCATATTATTCAACTACCTTTTCTCCAAATGATTTTTTTTTCCTCTCCATACTTCTTTCACCTTCATATCTCCAAGCATGGGACTTAATCCTGTTAAATTTAACTTTAGACCCGTTCAAGTATTATACTATTCATTTACATTTTTTTTAAATTTCTCGAATTCTCCCCAACCAAATATTCTTATTCTCTGTCTAATAGTTTTCCAGAAATGCTATTGTATCTCTCAATATTTTTCTCAACCTGTGTTTTGCAGCATAAACTCCATAAAACCCTATTCCAGAATCACTTTCAAGAGTTTGTACTTACTTCTGCAATAACAAAGCTCTGAGAATATTCTTTTTTCTTTGAAAACAAAGGTCCAAGTCAGTATTTTTTTCTTTGATAACAAAGCTTTGAGTCAGTACTTTTTTCTTTGATAACAAAGCTTTGAGTCGGTACTTTTTTCTTTGAAAACAAATGTCCAAGTCAGTACTTTTTTCTTTGATAACAAAGCTTTGAGTCGGTACTTTTTTCTTTGAAAACAAATGTCCAAGTCAGTACTTTTTTCTTTGATAACAAAGGTCCAAGTCAGTACTTTTTTCTTTGATAACAAAGCTTTGAGTCAGTGCTTTTTTCTTTAATAACAAAGGTCCAAGTAAGTACTTTTTTCTTTGATAACAAAGCTTTGAGTCAGTACTTTTTTCTTTGATAACAAAGGTCCAAGTCAGTACTTTTTTCTTTGATAACAAAGGTCCAAGTCAGTACTTTTTTCTTTGATAACAAAGCTTTGAGTCAGTACTTTTTTCTTTGATAACAAAGGTCCAAGTCAGTACTTTTTTCTTTGATAACAAAGCTTTGAGTCAGTACTTATTTCTTTGATAAGAAAGCTTTGAGTCAGTACTTATTTCTTTGATAACAAAGCTCTGAGTTTGTACTTACTTTTGTGTCAGCAAAGCTCTGAGTTTGTACTTATTTCTTTGATAACAAAGCTCTGAGTTTGCAGTTACTTTTGTGACAGCAAAGCTCTGAGTCTGTACTTACTTTTGGGACAGCAAATCTTTGAGTTTGTACTTATTTCTTTGATAACAAAGCTCTGAGTTTGTACTTATTTCTTTGATAATAAAGCTCTGAGTTTGTGCTTATTTCTTTGATAACAAAGCTCTGAGTCTGTACTTACTTTTGTGTCAGCAAAGCTCTGAGTTTGTACTCACTTCTTTAATAATAAAACTGAGTCTATAGTTACTTCTCTGAGAGAAAAGCTCTAAATCCGTACTTACTTCTCTGACAGCAAAAATCACAGCTCTGAGTTTGTACTTACTTCTTTGATGGCAAACATCACAGTTCTAAGTCTGCTGTTTGGCACTTCTAACAGTTCTTTCTTGGCAGACTCCAAACGAGCCAGCAGATCAGACATGTTTCGCTGTATGGTTTTAGCCCTCATATTGTAAAACATTTTCTTCTTGTTCACAGTTCCCTGTGTATGAATCAAGTTTTCAGGGTCAGAGAACTCATCTTTTCACAGATAAAATAGAAAAATTATGTAACAAATAAAACTAATGTACTACAACAATTTAACTATTTGCAAGAATCAATGTAATCATAGGTGCCGGAACCTGGGGGCTCAATCAACTTGAGCCTTCCAACATTTTGTGTTGAGTGGGGGAGGGGGGGGGATGAGTTCCCACCCCCTAGAAAATGTGCAAGTAGGCTAAGTGGTTCCCCTAATCATGTACAGACATTCAATTTTTAAGTATTTTTTATGCATTTTATATTCTTTCAAACATATTATTATATTTATCTGCCACTCAAACATAATAATAATTATTATTAGTGCGCACTTAAACAAGGTATAAGTCCTTTAGCCCCACCATTCTTTAAAAAATTATAAGGAGGCTGAGCCCCCTTTCATGTCTATGTAATAATTGTCTTAAATTACCTCTGCTGAATCAGTACAACAAACTTAGAATGTGTTGGCCATTTTGCAAATGACAGTGTTATACTGTGCTATAATTAGGCATGCCAATTACAGCCCATGGCGATGTTGAGCAGGACAAGCAGGACCTGTCCCTGTTAAGAAAGCTCTTCCATAATAAGAAACAAAAAATGATTTCAGAACCATTGTTGCCACTTCATGTATTTAACGTGCCTCTTCTCAGACGCTCAATTCTTCATCTATCTTAAATAGTTTTCTCATTGTCTCTATTCTCCTCCTGATTTTCTCCTTCCATTCAACATGGTCAGTGGCATGCTGTTCCCATGAATCCATCTCAATCCCCGTAGGCTATGTTGTCAAATAAGGCAGAAATTCACTTGCAGTGGATTCCGTCACACTGTGGCATCAAAGGCAATGAAAGCGCAGATGCTTTAGCCAAGGAAGGCAGTAACAAACCACAGACCTTCCAGCCACTATCTTTTCCAGAAGTCAAAACTCTCATTAAGAGAAAATCAGAAACAGATTGGAAAACCAACACTGGTTATAACTACGGAAAAGATTTTCTGAAACACTTGAACAGAACAGACCAAGTCACAGTTTTTCACTTACGCACTGGACACTGCAGACTCAATAAACACTCACATAAATTAGGTATGAGCCAAAACAGCTCTCTGCCAGTGCCTTCGTGCTGAATCCAGAACATGTCCTGCAAGACTGTCCTCTCCTGGCGGAGCTGCGGAGCGACATATGGCAACACCCAGTAGAACTGACAACTAAGCTTTGGAAAAACCTAAGAGACCTTGAAAAGACATCCCAGTTTATGACCCACAGTGGATTATGAGCATGACCAGAGATCGCTGAAGAAGAAGAAGATGAATCCCCGTAGCATTCATTTTCCATTTGTATTCATCTTAAAAACTTAGAATTACCTTAGCCCATTCTGCATTAAAAACTAGAATTACCTCAGCTAAATCTGCCTTAAAATATAGAATTACCTCAGCTAAATCTGCCTTAAAACCTAGAAAAACCTCCGCCAATTCTGCATTAAAACCTAGAATTACCTCAGCCAAATCTGCCTTAAAACCTAGAAAAACCTCCGCCAATTCTGCATTAAAATTTAGAATTACCTCAGCCAAATCTGCATTAAAACCTAGAATTACCTCAGCCAAATCTGCATTAAAACCTAGAATTACCTCAGCCAATTCTGCCTTAAAATCTAGAATTACCTCAGCCAAATCTGCATTAAAACCTAGAAATACCTCAGCTAAATCTGCATTAAAACCTAGAATTACCTATGCCAAATCTGCATTAAAACCTAGAATTACCTCAGCCAAATCTGCCAGCTGCTTGCAGGTGATGTCTATCGTATCCAGAGAGACCAGGTTGGGCAGGTGATACATGATGTGAGTGGAATAGTTACACAGTTGACTGGCAGGACACGGATGGTACAGTGGATCCTTGAGGTTCAGTTTCGTCAGTTTAGGTAGCTTCACAAGACAGGTTAAATCCTGCAGGGGACACAAATGTATAATAAGGATGAGCAGGTTCTAACGTATTTATTATGTAGCAATTTTATGCTGCGACCAGATTTACTCACCAAACCCGAAAAATCTGCATCCACATAATTTAGAATTGCTATAATATTGCAGCAATACAGCAGCTAGATGCTGGCCTGCCGACCCAAAGGTCTAGGATTCAAATCCACATTGAGGTGAATTTTTTCAAAACTGAACTTGGCTTCCATGTTGTCCAGCCTAAACTAAGCACCAAGTAATGTCCTGGGAAGTAAAAGCAACCGACGTAGTGTTCACCACATCACTCATTGAGTGCCAACTGGCCTATAAAATATGAGTCTACAGTCCATTCCAGAAGTTGTGCTAAACTTTATAAATCTGTTAACTCAGTAACCGTTAGCTGTAAGTAAAGTAAAAATAACAAAGGTCCCTTTTCCCTGTCTTTAGGCGTATAGGGCATAGTAAAGTAAAGTAAAGATCCCTTGCCACGCCTTTAGGCGTATCGGGCATATGGGAAGAGCACCCATATTTTTAAAGACCATCAGTACTCGGTGGGTAATGTGGTCAGCATTACGCCGGCTGTCTTTACTTTCCCAGGACAGATAGGGCATATAGGGATAGACCTAAATTTTTATAGACCAATCGGTACAAGATGGGTGATGTGGTCAGCATCACGCCAGCCGCCTTTACTTCCCGAGACTGCATCCGGTATCCACTTAAGGCTGGGTCGACCTGGGGGTGAAGGTCATTTTTGAAAAAAGTTAGGCTCCCTAGGAAGCGAACCCATAACCTTCCGATCTGCACGCAAACATCTAGCCGCTACCCCATGGCGACTCCCACCGTTCCGTGTAAGTTGTTGAAGTTTGGCATGCAGCCTATTAATATTCATGTCCTTTAAGAAATTCTTGTTAAGTAAACAAACATCTAGTTTTAATTTTGCCTTCTTTGCAGCACATGACAAACCAGACATCGATCCAAAGCAAAGAATCAGCACAATTACAATAACTTGAGTAAACTGAGTAAGGGGAACTGTTCAAAACAACAACTGAACACGTGTCACCAGGGTTCTACTCTCAGGTGGTCATCTCTAGCACAAGTCTCCCGTGAGTTGCGGGTTTTTCATTGTGTGGTGAATAGACTATCAAAATAATCACCATTTGAACTGATTTCCAAACAATCTCCCACAGCTGTCAGTTACTGAATATTCTATTTTTCAGGGGTACTTAAATGTTTGATCAAAGACAAAACAAAGAAATTCACCGCTTTAAGAAAATAGCAGCTTCTAAGCAGCTGAAAATTACAAAATTAAACAAGGACATAACAACATGGGAAATTTATCTACAAATGAAAATTCAGGTTGATTGGTTAAAGTTACTAAAGATTTCCCATGTCCGTATGTCCTTGTTTGATTTCATAATTTTCAATTGCTTAGAAGCTGCTGTTTTTTTTAAAGTGGTTCATTTCTTTGATTTGTGTTTGACTAACAAAGTTTGTACCTCTGAAATAGAAGATCGGTACAGGAGTTTTCAAGACAGTTGCTAAAGTATGACGGCATGAGTTTTGAAACGCACTATAGCTCTATATGCCCGATGTGGCAAAGGCATGAACTGAACAAATTCAGTGAATGAATCTAGTTACAGAAAAAGAGGGAGACTAAAACCAGAGACAAGAAACAGAGATTAAAGACACATTGAGGACAAAGTCAAAGCAGCAGAAGAAGGTAAAAGATAAAAGGGTTTGGTGTGAATTGGCTGTTCCATTTGGGAGAAGAAAAAAGTTAAAAGAAGAATTACTCAAGGCGCTTCTTTTACAGGTGTATGGATCATCTTTTTCTTCTTTGTGTACTGCCTGCCAGTAGTTTTCAAATGAAGCCACTGTGCTTTATGAAGGTTGTGGTATGCTGCATGTTGTCCACTGATCCATACTGCCTGGTTTCCACCAGAATGCCAGATGGCCACCTGGCAACTACTTGCTACATGTAGACAGCATGTCTGCAACACATGTTCAGTATCCTGGAGTGTTCGTCCACACGGGCAAAGTTCTGAGTCCCCAGTCTTGAGTTTTCTTACATATCCTCTTACATATAGCTGTGTCCAGTTTGCAGTCCAACTACAATAGTCTGTTTCTGTGTCAGGAGGCGGACAGTGTCTTCAGGTTTGTGTCCTCGATGGCAACCGTCCCACTAAGTTCTAATGGCTGCCTTGACCTGAGTTTTGTTTTCCTCAAAAGTGCATCCTGCCTCTGACTGTTCTGTATGATTTCCAATACTTGCCAAGTAGTCTGCTCTTTCATTTCCTCCAGGTACAGGAAGGAGTATTTACATTTATACAAATACGCTCAAGTTACCCTCAAAGACCATAATGGATTTCCTGAAAGATTGAGATCCTCTAGCTGTGAATTCTGCATCAGTGAATTTCCTGAAGATTGAAAGGAATGTATTTTTAGGATTTAAAATTAAGTTTTCTCCTTTCAACTATGCAAAATTTACATATAATGTCTTCCTTTATCAGTGTATTTGGCTGTTTGCATGTATATGCCTGTCTGTGTGCATGTATATGCCTGTCTGCATGCATGTATGTGTCTGTCTGTGTGCATGTATATGCCTGTCTGTGTGCATGTATATGCCTGTCTGTGTGCATGTATATGCCTGTCTGTGTGCATGTATATGTCTGTCTGTGTGCATGTATATGCCTGTCTGCGTGCAAGTATATGTCTGTCTGTGTGCATGTATATGCCTGTCTGTGTGCATATATATGCCTGTCTGTGTGCATGTATATGTCTGTCTGCGTGCATGTATATGTCAGTCTGTGTGCATGTATATGCCTGTCTGTGTGCATATATATGCCTGTCTGTGTCTGTGTATATGCCTGTCTGTGTGTATGTATATGCCTGTCTGTGTGCATGTATATGCCTGTCTGTGTGCATGTATATGCCTGTCTGTGTATATGCCTGTCTGAATGTGTGTATATGCCTGTCTGTGTGCATGTATATGCCTGTCTGTGTGCATGTATATGCCTGTCTGTGTGCATGTATATGCCTGTCTGTGTGCATGTATATGCCTGTCTGTGTGCATGTATATGTCTGTCTGTGTGCATGTATATGCCTGTCTGTGTGCATGTATATGTCTGTCAAGAGCAAACTTGCCTGCTAGGCTGGCGGCTATAAGTCTGAATCCCCATGAAAGTGGAATTTAAAATAATTATCTAAAAATGTTTCATAAAGACAGGCTACCAGAACATGATCTGGGAAGTTAAGGCTCTCAGAGTGATACTGACCACACCAGTAAACAGTGACTTTACCAGTTACCACACCAATAATAACTGACCACACCAGTAACCATTGACCACACCAGGCACCAGTGACCACACCAGGCACCAGTGACCACACCAGTAACCCCTGACCACACCAGTAACCACTGACCACACCAGTCACCACTGACCACACCAGTCACCACTGACCACACCAGTCAGCACTGACCACACCAGGCACCACTGACCACACCAGGCACCAGTGACCACTGATCATACTAGGCACCAGTGACCACACCAGTAACCCCTGACCACACCAGTAACCACTGACCACACCAGTAACCACTGACCACACCAGTCACCACTGACCACACCAGTCACCACTGACCACACCAGTCCCTACTGACCACACCAGTTACCACTGACCACACCAGTCACCAATGACCACACCAGTCACCACTGACAATGCCAGTAACCAATGACCAGACCAGTAACCACTAACCACACGAGTAACCACTGACAACCCCATAACCAATGATCACACCAGTAACCAATGACCACACCAGTCACCACACCAGCAACCACTGACCACATGAAGTGACCACTGACCATACCAATTGGCATGTAAAAAATATGGGGCAGCTGACTGACTGACTGACTTTCTACCTCACCAGGACATCACACAAGCAATAAACACCCGATGACACAATGTGCCACCATGTGGATGAGGATCACCTTGGAGAGGTCCCAGAAATCGCGTTCAGCCATTAGGAAATATTTATGGAAGAGCTATATTGCGGCCCCTGGCATGAGCCAGAGTAGGGCTTCAAATAACGAAAAATTGCATCCTAAAAAGGACGGCAAGATAATACATACTATGACTGACTGACTTTCTACACCCACTAGGACATCACACAAGCGATAAACACCCGATGACACAAAGTGCCACCATGTGGATGAGGATCGCCATGGAAAGGTCCCAGAAACCACGTTCAGACAATTGGCCACTTTATGGCCTGCCTACATTGCGGCCTCTGGCAAAAGCCAGGGTGGGGCTTCAAAGAACAAAAAATTTCATCCTAGAAAGGACGAAACTGGAGTGCATTAAAAAATACATACTATACTATGGGGCAAGCATAATATGCTCGATATGCCTCATGTGTATGTATGTCTGCCTGTCTGTCAATCTATATGTACAAGGTCTGACAATTAAGTAATGAGACTTAATTCCATAAAATTTTTAGAAATCAACAGTTGAAGATTTAACCTGTTTTTTATTCAAAGTAAGCCCCTTGTGCAGGCATACAGCAGGTGGCATGATCTAACAAACACTGGAACAATCTCTGTAGTTCTTCTTGTTATGGCCCTTAAAGTTGATGTTACGGCCCTTTGGATGTCGTCAATATCCTTAAAGAAGCGTCCTTTCAATGACAACTTTAATTTTGGGAATGGAAATAGTCAGAGGGAGACAAATCTGGGGGAAGAGGGTGGATGGTTGAGAACACGCACCTGTTTTTGGGCCAAATATTCCTGTACAACCACCACCCTTTGAGCCGGTGCATTGTCATGAAGACAAAAATTGCCAGGCATTGAATACAAACTGGCCAGCAACTGTTTCTTGCCCAAATCTTCCACTAAAATGTTACGAATAGTCTCTGTATTAAAACCAAATTCATCTACCATCATCCTCACAGTCGAACAATGATCTTCTTTTATCCGTTTTTGGAATTTTGCAATGAGTACCTCATTACGAACAAAAATTGGGCGTCCAGGTCTAGTTGCATTTGTAATCATTTCCACATCACTTTTGAATCGTGAATACCGGCTGAAAATCGGTGCAAGAAATAAACAATTATCCCCATAAACTTGTCGCATTAATTCAACTGTCGCAATGGCGCTTTTTCTGAAACATTATTTAATGTTAGCTTTTTTGTTGTTGCTCCGTGCAGATTACTTAACAATGCACCTCTGACTAGGCTAAAAAAATGGCGGCTTGTTGGCGATAAAAAGTTGCCAGATCATAGATGAAGGTTGCCTCTTTGGATTCTGTGCTGTGATTCATTGATGGCATTTTTGTCTTACCCATAATAAAATCAGTCTCATTACTTAACTGTCGGTCCTTGTATGTCAACTAAACACAAAATAACAAATATAAATATGAAAATCCTAGCGTTTTATTGACTTGATGAGGAGGGGGGGGGGGCATCATGCCACAATAGCTAGCACCTGCATATGTCTGCTCGATGGTTATAGATTTCAACCCCATCACGTTTTATAAAACCCCATTAAGACTCCAAATTTCTTCTGCTACATCTTCACTTCTTCTAGTTTCTTAGAGTTAAGTTTCAGAGAATTACAACAATGTTTTTAATGAAAGTTTGAAAAAAGACCTTTTTATCCTACATTTTTTACTGGATGAAAGAGTTACATACAAATAAAACATGTTCACAATCATATTCAGAACTTACCAATTTTCTCTATGAGATTCTCTGCTAAATTTAACTCCCTGAGTTTGTTTAGTGTGTGCAGATTCTGTTGAGGTAAACAATGTATCATTGTTACAAATATAGTTGTGCTTTTTTTTCTTTTGACTGTCACTTACCAGGTGGGAAGAACACTATGATGTTCAATAACAGCAAGCCAAGATGTAGTTCTTATTTACCAATAAACTGCATAATCAAAATATATGTTTGAAATATCTAATTATATCAGTGTCTGTCACTTTTGCATATTTCCCTGTTACTGTCAAATTGTTACTTATATCTACTTATATCAGTGTCTGTCAACTTTGCATATCTCCATGTTACTGTCATAAATTTTTACTTATTTCTACTTATATCTCTGTCTTTCATTTGTGTCTATCTCCATGTAACTGTCATAAATTGTTCCTTATCATACTCTGTCTCATGTTACAAATCTCCATGCTTCTATCATGAATTGTTAGTTGTCTCAATATGTATGCTTCAAACTGTTACTTATCTCAGTGTATCTGCCATATATGACTTATCTCAATGATTCTGTAACAAGCATCCTTTGTATCTTTTCTCCAAGCTATGTACATGTGTTAGGAAATGAACAGGCAGACAGTTTGGCTGTTTCTGCACCACTGGGTGATGGACTGATGCACAACAAACCACATGTGGTCAGTTCCCTTCGGCAGCAAGTGAATAATGTGGAGGTACAAACAAATGTGGAGAGAACTGTACAGCTAGGAGTGACCAAGAGATCTAATCAACTCTCTACACTCAGAGAAAAGGAAAGAAGGACACAGAATGAAAATGCTGTTGAGACCATGAGAATTAGAACTTTTTACTGGCTGCTGAAGATGAGGAAGGAGTGCTTATAGGAATGTCTCGAGTGATTTTATGTCAGTTTTTAACTCAGTTCAACTCAACTTTCTGCAACAAATTGCTTCTAATCACAAAGTTTTTATTACAATCTGTTTCTTACCTCAATATTTTTATCACAAAATGTTACTTATATCAATATTTTATTACAAATTATTTCTTACTGATATTTTTATCACAAACTGTTACTGTCCTCAGTATTATAACAAACTGTTAACTACCTAAATATTATTGTTAAAAACTATTAACTTACCTCAATATTCTGTCACAAACTATTAAGTTACATCAATATTTCTGTCAATAACTGTTAACTTACCTCAATATTTTTAATCAGATTGTTGTTCAGCCATAAAACTTTTATATTTGTAAGATGTGAAATGTTTTCTATCACTGAAATCTTGTTTCCATAGAGATACAACTTTGTCAGTGCCTTGCATTTATCAAGACCTTCAATTTTCTGGAAGTGATGAAGCAGACAATAACAATTAGTAATATTATTAGTTAATTCTCAATAAAAACATAAAACGTAACATCAATAATCGTAACAATATTCATCAGCTGGTGTTGTAGTGGTTAGGCCACTTGCCAGCTAAGACAGTGTCGCAGGTTAAATCCTTGTGGTTGGAGTCTTTACTCCCTATCAATAAAGCTCTGTTATTCATACCCAACAAGTTCACTCATACTGATCAACACAGAAAGAAATAGAAAGATAGAAGGACACACTACACACACACAATTGAAAGCTTTGGTTATTATGCAGGGATATAAACCTGTCATCTTCTATCTGAACTCGGCTAAGACCGGTCCCAAGCCCAGCTGTAAAAGGAGGAGGGTCTGGCTGAACCTGAGTGCTTCATGCGTCTCCGGAAGTAGTGGGTAACCGTGAATCAGCCAGACGGCCTGCATGGAGGCAGCCCCTTCACCATGCAAAGGCACAACAGGCCAATCACCTGTTTGCCTTAAACCACGATTACAAGTAACTACAGAGAGAAAACCGTACAGATCTTAACGGCGACGAACTGGCATGGCTTACGGACTACGATTTATGGAACATGGAATATAAGAGGGATTAACGGAAAGGAAAACGAGTTAGTAGGGGAGATGAGGAAAGCCAAATTAGGAGTCTTTGCTCTGACTGAAACCAAGAAAAAGGGGCAAGGAATCACAGATCATGATGGAAGTATGCTGCTCTACAGTGGTGTCCCTATGACGGAGAGAGCCAAGGGAGGTGTTGGCTGTATTGTGGCCAAGAATCAAGTTAGTAACATCAAGGGATGGAAATTCATCTCAGAGCGAATAATGGTGTTAGATCTGAAAGAAGAAGATAAAATTGTCAATTTTGTCATTGTGTACGGGCCAAATGAAGATGAGCGAGTAGATGTTAAAGAAGAATTCTTTGAACTGCTCCAAAGGACCATAGATGACTGTCACGATGAAATTATCCTCCTAGGAGATCTAAATGCCAGAGTAGGAAATGATCACTCTAGATGGGGTGGAGTGATCGGGAGATATGGTGAAGATGTTTTGAATGATAATGGCAAGCGACTTCTCAGATTCTGCAGGGAACAGAACCTTGTCATTACAAACACAAAATTCCCCCACAAGCGTATACATGCATACACAAGATGTGAACCTTCAAAAAATGAAAAATCCATCATTGACTATGCCATAGTTAAGAAAAGTTCATTCAAGTTTGTGAGAGATGTCAGAGTCATGAGAGGACCAGAGATTGGAAGTGACCACTATCTGGTCACAATAAAGAGAACAACTGAAAGAACTGCTCCAACAAGGCAACACCGACAACCGTGCAAGAAACCAAGCAACCAAGAAGGGATGAGGATTAAAGCATACAAGCTAAGAGAGCCAGATATTAAGGCTAGATACCAGGAGCTAATAGTGAAAGCAATAGGAACTGAAAAAGAATCATCAGAGGACACTGAAACCCTCTGGTGCAGATTCAAGAATATTCAAACAGCAGCTGCAGTAGAAGCATGTGGTGAAGTCCCGAGTGGAAGGCGGGGACATAGGACACCTTGGTGGACGGAAGAAGTCAAATTGAAAATAGGAGAAAAGAAAAGGGCATGGAAGCAATACCTGGCAGCCAGGAACACAGCTGAAGAAATAGAGAAATATAAACAATATGTGGCACTCAGAACAGAGACCAAAAATATTGTGCTTAAAGCAAAACAGAAATCATGAGAAGAGTTTGGAGAAAAGTTGGAAAAGAATGCAAGAGAAAACCAAAAACTGTTCTACAAGACCCTTAAGAACATGAGGAAGGAGAAAGAGTGCCCACTTAAATTCATAAAAGACAAGGAAGGGGCTCTGCTTACTTCTACAAATGATATCATGGGCAGATGGAAAGAATACTTCTCAGAGCTCCTCTGCGTTGAGGGAAGTCATGACCCAGAAATAATGGATCTCACTGCTGAGAAGGAATTCAATCATGGGGAAGATAACATCAGGATGGAAGAATTGAAGGCAGCTATTGAGAAGATTAAGCTGGGAAAAGCAGCAGGTCATGATGGTATAACACCAGAGATGGTCAAATATATGGGAGTCGAAGGTGAGCGCCTTCTACTGAAGGTTCTCCAGGCAGCCTGGTGTAGCAAAACTATACCAAAAGATTGGGAGATTGCTATCATTATACTTATATTTAAAAAAGGTGATAACAGACAATGTGAAAACCACAGAGGCATATCCCTCCTCAGCGTTCCCGGTAAAAGTTACTCTAGAATTCTTGAGCAGAGACTTGGAAGTCTGGTAGAGCCACAGCTTGACGAGGCCCAATGTGGCTTCAGAGCAAACCGAAGTACTCAAGACCTTATCTTCACACTGAGACAGTTGAGTGAAAAAGCCCTGGAATATAAGAGTGAGATGCACTTATGTTTTTTGGATCTGGAAAAGGCATTTGACAAGGTACCTTGGAACAAGCTCTGGGACTGCTTGGCAGGGAAAAACATCCCAGCACCCCTGATCAGTGCAATACAGAGTTTCTACAAAAGGTGCAGAAATTATGTAAGAACAGCAGACCAAAAGTCAGAAGAATTCAAGACCGCCAGCGGTGTTAGACAAGGTGATATTCTCTCACCTTACCTCTTCATTCTTATGATGGATGATGTCATCAAGACCTGTAAAGAGAAGACAAAGAAGTACTCTGTAGGGTACTGGAAGATGAGACCAATCTGTATATCAGAGCTGGCTTTTGCAGACGATGTGGCCCTGATAGCTAAATCAGAGGCACACCTTCAGTCCAACTTACTTGTCTGGAAGGAAGAGCTTGAAAAGAAAGGGATGACCATCAGTATCTCCAAAACTAAAACCATGGTGATCTCAAGAGAGGAGAAGAAACACCAGATCATGATGGGACAGTATGCATTGGAGCAGGTTAACCAGTTCAAGTACCTTGGAGTTGTACTAGACCAAAACGGAGGCATTAAGACTGAGCTGGCTACACGAAAAGCAGCTGCTGGGAGACTCTTCCAGGCCATAAACATAGGGTTTCTTAGCAAAAGAGAAATTGGCAAGAGGACGAAAATGGCTCTAAAACCGCTCTACCTTTGTACCAGTCCTGACCTATGGGTGTGAGTCATGGGCAATGACAACAGCTCACAGAGGCCAGCTGCAGGCCTCGGAAATGAGATACCTGAGAAAGGTGGTCCAAGTGACAAGAAGGGACAACGTCCGCAATCAGACAATACGTCAGGATCTTGATACCCAGCCCTTACTAACCCGAGTGGATCAGTCACAGTTACGATGGTTTGGACATGTATGCAGAATGGGAGAAAATCGGCCACCATGGCAAGCATGGGAGGCTAAGAACCAGGGAACCAGACCTCCGGGACGACCCAGGGTGCACTGGGAAGACAACATCCGACAGTCCCTAACTGACAGAGGGCTGGAATGGAACAAAGCCAGAAAGAAAACTGCTGATAGAGACATCTGGCGATCTCTCTGGCAAACCTCTACACCCCAAGGTAGAAGAGGAGCAACTAAGTAAGAAAGTAAGTATCTTCTATCTGTCTACTTCCTTCTATAAGAGCTAATCAATACATATCTATCTGTTGCCGCCCCAGGCAAAAATGGCAGCCCTTTTTAGGGCTGTCAAATTCACTTCCAAAAAACTGGAATATGCCTGCCAAGCCTGATCGAGCAGACATGATGCAGCAGCAAATAATCTAACTTAGGCGAAAATGATCACCACACAGAATCAAATTCAATCAGATAGCAAAAGAACCCGTCTTCAATAAAGCAGGCCTTCGGGCAGCTAAAAGAGGACAAAATTTGACATTTTTGTTTGGTTTCACGATTACGATATCTACCTGTTTATTATTTTATAACTATATTTAACTGCCCAGCTTTGCCTGAGATAATGTTTTCTTCTGCCGTCCTCTACCTCATCTTGGTCTCCAGCCTTGCTGTAAATGTAGTAGAAACTCCATAGAGAAGTAAGCCCAACTTGAGCCTACTATCGTTAAGTTTCTCTTGAAAGCCCTTGTTTCCTCAACGCATCAGTTTCCCATTTCGGTGCACGTTTGGTGATTCTCTGTTCATCTCTTCTCAAAACAATTTTTTTTACAGGGTGCGGAAGCTGTTCCCTGAGTCATGACCCGAGGTGGAGTGTAAGGAGCCTCCTATACCAATTCTAGTGGTCAGAGGTGGTGGGCTAAATATCCCAAAGTCTCAAAGTGTGCAATAAGTATTTTTTGTATTCCTACGTACTGAGTGAAAAGGACCTCTTGATCCAGAATTTGAACTTTGTGTGCAAATCCATTTAACAGATGCCTGCAGACATATGTCTGCTAGTTCTAAATTTAAAGGGAGATAACAGTGAAATGTATTTTTTTTTAAAATTAATGTAAGCGATATAACATAAAAGAAGTATTTAAAGAAATATAACTCCAGCTAAAGTTAAGTTTTACTGCTTGTTGCGATAATTACAAGAAATGTACATAAACCTGACCCCTTGTAGCTATAATATCAATTGAAAATTTAACCTGTCTAGTCTTACGTTAGTCGCCGGAAATGGGTCTGTAATTTACATGTGACTGCAGCCTTGTAGGGTATATTTTTGCCTCGATAATTTGGGACCGTTATTCTGAGGATAGCCCAAAACAAAAACAGAGTCTTGTCATCACTTTATCTGCATCAGGCATTTTTGTTAGTTATGTGGCTACTTTTGCTTCCTCAAAATATTTATTTGTAGGCTCAGTCAACCTTAATTTCATATCAATTTTTAAAATCTTCAATGATGTGTATTTGAACCTATAAATTTGAGACTGGCAGACAGGCGTGCTAATCAGGCGTGCTCCCTCATTTTTATCCAATATGCAAACATTCTAACGTTCTATGACAGGCCTTGTCTGCATAAAATGTTCTTTATTTTATAAAATGAAGTTCTTTCCTATCTTTATTTATTCTAACAAAAATATGATATAACAACAACTTACAGACAAATGGCACTCTGCCACCCACAGCTCCTCCAGGTTATATGCTGCGGACAAGCCCTCTAAACAACAGACACTCTGTCCAATGACTGTAAGAGTGGTCAGATTTGGGAAGAAGTGCATGCCAGTAAGACGAGGATAGCCTGAAAAGAACATCTCCAAAACTTTTGTTTGAGGGCCTTCAATAGCAATTTTCTTGAAGTTGATCCCATTGTTTAAGCACTGAAATTAAAACAATTTTCAAAAATTTAAGAATAAAGTCTTAAATATAAATTCACATTATGAAACTATCAAAAGACTTTACTTGTAGCTCTTTAAAATTATTTTAAAAAAAAGGAAAGTAGCTTTTCATTCAAAATCCACCATTAACTCATTTAGACCTGGTTCATCAACAAGCTGGGCAAAGGGCAGGAGGACATAATCTCAGCACAGTGTAACAGGATATCATGATTGACACCTTGCTAAACAGGACACCTTGCTCAACTGAACACTTTGCTTAACTGAACACCTTGCTTAACTGAACATCTTGCTCAACAGGACACCTTGCTTAACTGAACACCTTGCTTAACTGAACACCTTGCTTAACTAAACATCTTGCTCAACAGGACACCTTGCTTAACTGAACACCTTGCTTAACTGAACACCTTGCTTAACTGAACATCTTGCTTAACTGAACATCTTGCTCAACAGGACACCTTGCTCAACAGGACACCTTGCTTAACTGAACACCATGCTTAACTGAACATCTTGCTCAACAGGACACCTTGCTCAACAGGATACCTTGCTCAACAGGACACCTTGCTCAACAGGACACTTTGCTTAACTGAACACCTTGCTTAACTGAACACCTTGCTCAACAGGACACCTTGCTCAACAGGACACCTTGCTCAACAGGACACCTTGCTGAACTGAACACCTTGCTTAAATGAACACCTTGCTTAAATGAACATCTTGCTTAACTGAACACCTTGCTTAACAGGACACCTTGCTTAACTAAACACCTTGCTTAACAGGACACCTTGCTTAACAGGACACCTTGCTTAACAGGACACCTTGCTTAACTGAACACCTTGCTTAACAGGACACCTTGCTCAACAGGACACCTTGCTTAACTAAACACCTTGCTTAACAGGACACCTTGCTTAACTAAACACCTTGCTTAACAGGACACCTTGCTTAACTGAACACCTTGCTTAACAGGACACCTTGCTCAACAGGACACCTTGCTTAACTGAACATCTTGCTCAACAGGACACCTTGCTTAAAGGACACCTTGCTCAACAGGACACCTTGCTTAAAGGACACCTTGCTCAACAGGACACCTTGCTCAACAGGACACCTTGCTCAACAGGACACCTTGCTTAAAGGACACCTTGCTCAACAGGACACCTTGCTTAAAGGACACCTTGCTCAACAGGACACTTTGCTTAACTGAACAGGTTTGAACACTAACCTGCAAATGTGGAGAACAAATGCAAATGCCTGAACACGTCCTACAAAACTGCAGAATTTACAAAAGAACAGTAGAAATATGGTTCAAATGTAGTTTGCTTAGTAACAGCACTTGCTCATAAACCACAAGGTTAATTTTTTTTTAACAGACTTTGATCGCTGGAATAGACAATAGCACAGTGTTTTTAATGTTGTGAGACCATCCAACACTTAGAAATAGTATAGATAATGGCAAACACAGTAAATGATAAGATTGGCCGAAGAGCAAAGAATATGACTTGTTAGGTGACAACATATACAACTGGCCGAACAGCAAAGAATATGACTTGTTAGGTGACAAACATATACAACTGGCCGAACAGCAAAGAATATGACTTGTTAGGTGACAACATATACAACTGGCCGAGCAAGCAAAGAATATGACTGTTAGGTGACAACATATACAACTAGGTGAACAGCAAAGAATATGACTTGTTAGGTGACAACATATACAACTAGGTGAACAGCAAAGAATATGACTTGTTAGGTGACAACATATACAACTAGTGTGAAACAGCAAAGATATGACTTGTTAGGTGACAACATATACAACTAGGTAACAGCAAAGAATATGACTTAGGTGACAACTGGCCTAACAGCAAAGAATATGACTTGTTGGGTGACAACATATACAACTAGGTGAACAGCAAAGAATATGACTTGTTAGGTGACAACATATACAACTAGGTGAACAGCAAAGAATATGACTTGTTAGGTGACAACATATACAACTAGGTGAACAGCAAAGAATATGACTTGTTAGGTGACAACATATACAAACTAGGTGAACAGCAAAAAATATGACTTGTTAGGTGACAACATATACAAACTAGGTGAACAGCAAAGAATATGACTTAGGTGACAACTGGCCTAACAGCAAAGAATATGACTTGTGGGTGACAACATATACAACTAGGTGAACAGCAAAGAATATGAACTTGTTAGGTGACAACATATACAACTAGGTGAACACAGCAAAGAATATGACTTGTTAGGTGGACAACATATACAACTAGGTGAACAGCAAAAGAATATGACTTGTTAGGTGACAACATATACAACTAGGTGAACAGCAAAAATATGACTTGTTAGGTGACAACATATACAACTAGGTGAACAGCAAAGAAATATGCCCACTTAGGTGACAACTGGCCTAACAGCAAAGAATATGACTTGTTGGGTGACAACATATACAACTAGGGTGAACAGCAAAGAATATGACTTAGGTGACAAAACTGGCCTAACAGCAAAGAATATGGATTGTTGGGTGACAACATATACAACTAGGTGAACAGCAAAGAATATGACTTAGGTGACAAACTGGCCTAACAGCAAAGAATATGACTTGTTGGGGTGACAACATATACAACTGGCCAAACAACAAAGAATATGACTTGTTAGGTGACAACATATACCAACTAGCCAAACAGCAAAGAATATGAGGCTCTCCTTTCAACTACGGCCGGTAGACAAACAGTTGACAGCCGGTTAGTCGGAGTTCTGTCCCTTGGCTGCAGTGCAATTACGGACTGGAGACGGCACGAAATCAAAAAACAAAGTGAGGTCGACATGCCTGGCAGAACCCGCGCTGCGCGACTCAAATTAGGGACTGCGTTCAATTACCGCTTCTTGCGACGCATTACGGGGGTGGATTAGAGGGAGGACCACAAGTGACACAATTACAGTGTGTTGGCGATAGACAGCGTGCAGTGCCCTACTGTCATCATACGGTTAGGGTTTGGGTTAGGGTTTAGGGTTAGGGTTGCTACGTTGAGTTTCTGCGAAGACGAGATGCGACGACACTAACCGTAAACGCTAACCCTAACCTTATGATGACAGCAGGTCACTGCAAGCTGTCTATCGCCAACACACACAGTAATTATGTCATTTTATTCGTGCCTTCTCCACTCTGTAATTGCACTGACGCAGCCAAGGTACAGAATCTCCGACTAACCGGCCGTCAACTGTTTGTCTGCCGGCCGTAGTTAATAGGAGAGCCGAATATGACTTAGGTGACAGTTGGTCCCCGAACAGCAAAGAGTATGACTTGTTAGGTGACAACATATAGATGTTTGTTAGTTGCCAGTGACAAAACACTGACACCAGTATTACGGCATCACTAGTAGGCGCCACACACAGTTTCCTAAAATCAGTGAAATTGACACTGACAACCCTTAAAGTAAGGGATACAGGACGAGAATAATCACTTTACAACGGGGGTAAAAAGACTAGGTAACACGTGTTTTTAGTGATGACTGATTATTGTAATGATGGCGACGATGAAAGACAGCAAATAATACAAATTACAGAGCGAGGTGCCAGCTTACTACGTCTCGTAAAATCTCTTCATCATTGCTTTTGAATGACAGCTGCGGGTCTTGCGGAATCGGCTCAGTCTTCATTTCGAACAAAACGTCGGTCATTTTTGACGTGTCCGTTGTCTCCATTCAGAGTCCTGCATACTTCTGCCGACAGATATCGCTTTTCATGCTTGTTATCTCATCCTTGCTGTATGAGTGGATCAACAAAAGCAGCACATAATGATTCCAAATCAAACGACTACATTTTCCAATGCCCTCAGCGAAACTATGTTCGCCATCTTTGAAGCGCTATCGGTGTATTTTACATGGCTTATTTGAGTCACGTGGTCAAGCTATCTCCATCTGGTGATATTCTTTTTTCCCGCACATATGGCAAGTGCTAAAGAATGTCTGGTGTGGGTGATATTTCGGCGCTTCTTTGATTTATTCCCCAAAATGGCGGCATGCCACATTCTGGCCATAAAATATCCAAACAATATCCGACGACGGACGGTGTTCCCGTATATCTAAAATACGGACTGTCTGCCAAGGGACAAATCGCGGCAAAACTAGTATTACTTGACAACCAATATCAACATTTGCACACGGTACTAGTAGAGACGATAAATACCGACCGTCGACCAAAAATTTCGAGCAGTTTCTTGCAGATGATACTAGCAGACGATATAGCGACCATTGAACAATTTTCGAGAACTTCCAGAACGATGAAAGCCGATTAGCAATACTGTGTTCTTACTCCGATGGAGGATTTGCAGTGCAAGCGGTCATATTCAGCATTGTCGGCATGCGCCAAACGCGATTAAACTCATCGCCGAGCGTATCTAGGTGCTTGGTACTCACGAGTACAGTAATTGGAGGAAGTTGCAGGAGATGCGGTATCTGCCACTCGTGAGTCCCAGCCATCTAGTTTCGCCCCCCATCCGCGCCGGCGCGTACGGTGGCGGGGGGTACACTCGGCGGTGAGGCACACTCGCAAGAAGCAGGTCGGCCAGCCACGTATCGCCCCCAGACCCTGTTCAGAGCATTTGTTTCGTTGATTCTGAGCCGGCACATATATTTTTTTAATAGAACTGACCGCGCATTCGGATATTTTTGGATTTTTTATGGCCAGAATTGTCCAATTTGCCAGCAGAATTTCTCAAAGTAGATCCCAACACAACTGCTAGCATTTAAAACCATTGTTCAAGGATATTGGGTAAAAGAAGTGTTGCCTGATGACTGGACTGAAGGAACAAAAGTCAAAATCACCAAAAAAGGAGACTTAACAGACTGCAATAATTGGAGGGGAATTACTCTACTCTCAGTACCAAGCAAAATATTTTGTAAAATCATCATAATGCGGCTTGAAAAAGGAGTAGATAAATGCCTACGAGTGGAACAAGTAGGATTCAGAAAGGGCAGAGGAACAACTGAGCACACCTTCGCCATACGTAACATTTTAGAACAATGCAACGAATGGCAGAGAAGTATATATATTAATTTTGTGGACTTTGAGAAAGCTTTTGACAGCGTCCATAGAGACGGTCTGTGGAAAATTTTACGACATTATGGAATTCCAGAAAAAATAGTCAACATAATTGCTCTCTTCTATAAAGACTTTTCCTGCAGTATAAAAAAATTACAATACATCTTTCCCAGTAAAGACGGGTGTAAGAAAGGGATGTGTTATGTCATCTCTCCTCCTCAACCTTGTGATTGATTGGATACTAAAGAACACAGTAGACATGACATTAAGAGGCATACGATGGACTCCATTCACCATGCTTGAGGACCTTGATTTTGCAGATGATATAGCACTCCTATCACATAAACATGAACATATACAAGAGAAAAGTAACAGACTAAACTGCACAGCAGAAATGAACTAAGATCATGACAATCAGTCCAAACCAACAACCAGTGACCATAAGTAACCAATCACTTGAAAATGTAGAACATTTCACATATCTTGGCAGTGTGGTGTCCCTACTGGGAGGGACAGAGGAAGACGCACAGTCACGTCTGAACAAAGCTAGAGCTGCTTTTGGAAGGATGAGGCAAATCTGGAAATCCAACAATTACTGCAGAGGAACGAAACTCCGACTCTACAAGAGCATCATTTTGCCAGTTCTTTATGGAGCGGAATGCTGGAGAATAACCAAAAGGATGCACACAAGCTGTCCACCTTCCACCACACATGTCTACGTAGAATTATCAAAATTTTCTGGCCAGATACAATCTCAAACACTAAACTACTTCAAGCCACAAACCAAGAAACTTAAGACAGTATGATAACCAAGAGAAGATGGAAATGGCTTGGCCACGTTATGAGAATGACTTCTGAAATACCTGCCAAAACAGCACACACATGGACACCAGAGGGAATGAGAAAACAGGGGTGCCCAAAAAAACAACACGGAGACGAACGATGGAAAGTGACCTGAGTGCGGCATCTTTGACATGGAAAACTGCACTGAAGATTGCTCAGGACAGGAAAGCATGGAAAGTCCTCTCTGAAGCCTCATGTGCCACTAGGCATAACGAGAACTGATGATGATGATTAATCTGTAATAAAAGTAAAGGACCCTTTTCCACGCCTTCAGGCACATTGGGCATACAGAGTTAGGCCTAAATGCTTTAAACCAATCTGCACGTGGGGTGATGTGTGTCAGCATTAAACCAACCTTATTGTTTGAATAATAAAATGTGTTAACTCTAGTTCTATCATCATTATGTACCTTGCCGACTTGCTTGGGCGTTCATGCCTCTCCATAATCCACGATCTCCTGCAGCATGTATCAATTCGTGTGCCGACCCACCTCCCTGCCATGCAACAAGACTGTCAAGAATCTTCTCTCGTTGTCTTTCCTCTATCCTTCTTCCACAGATCTTTCCAGTGGTCACAATATGTTCTATTTTCCCTCTTCTCATAACATGGCCGAAACATGATGACTGTCTCCTTCTGATGTCTATGATAAGTTGTCTTCGGGCTCAAGCCTCTTCCAAGGTATTTTAAGCATTCTTCTGTAAAACCACATTTCTGAGGCCTCCAGAAATTGTTTGACCTGCCTACCGATTGTCCAGGATTCACAGCCATATGTTAAAACTGGATGTATGTAGCAAGCAAGAATTCTTTTTCTAACTCTCAATGACAAGGATATATTGCACAAGATATTCTTCATTTTATAAAATGCAGTTTTTGCCTGTCCTATTCTGTTTCTTATTTCAGTTATGCATCTTCCATCTGATATTATCCATGTGATCAGATACTTAAATTTCTGTACTTGTCCTAAAATAACACCATCGACTTTTATTACACATTAAGGAATAATTCGTTTCTTTGATACCACCATTACTTCTGTCTTCCAATTATTCAATCTGAGGCTTTTTTTTTTTTTTTGCCTCAGAATCATGCCTCTAGTTCTATACATATCCAATAGCCAGGTAGAAACAAACATAAAGAAAACAGGGAAAGAAAAGGGGGTACCTCTCGACCCCATTACACTTTTCTGGTTGGGGATGGGGGGAGCGGGCGCTCTAGAGGCCTAAGCAATGTTTCAGTGCGTAAAACAAAAATAACAGATAATTTGGTACTACTAACAAAAGTCACCCCATCTCGTCGGCCGGGAGATTTCGTAGCTGTCTTCTTTTGCCTTCTGTACACAGCGTGTTAAAAAGTAGTTTGCTATGGTCGACACACTGTCTCCCAGACGGAACTGCGCAGCTCTCTTTTCTGTGAACGACTTTTGTCGGGGCTTTTTGGATTAGGGCTAAACTAGATGGCCTAGCCGCGTAAGCGGCGTGGTGGATACTCTCGGCGGAGGCGGCGGAAGTTGCCGGAAGTTCGCAATTCGGCGGTGGTGTTATAGTCCCCGGAAGTGCGCAATTGATACGTGACTAAGGCCCTTAGGGTATATTTTCCGCCTCGATAATTTAGGACCGTTATTGTGAGGATAGCCTGAGTATCTAATCATTTATGTTTTTTGTATTTTTACCCTCGTTAGCGGTGGTTGTCATCGATGGTGGATGTGCTTAGAACGTTTATAGCGAGAAACACATGACACCTCTAGACTATAGGAGTGTCCTTCGAAATTCCCTATGAAATCTTTCCGCACAGGAGATGGGGTGACTTTTATGAGTTGTACCGATAACTTCTTTACAAAGCTGGGGTGGGGTTAGCCCCCTTGCAGACTGTTTAGGGGCGCTCCTCCCCCTCCCCCCATACTTAAATTTTTGGAGTTGCTCAATGAGTCAGAGCTCCCCTCCCTCATCCACCACCCCGCCCCGCTTCCGATGCCCCTGATTATAGTTTTACGTTTAGGTAAACCGGGCGCATGCTAACACAAGTAACTAGGTATACTGTTTGACGACGAATACTTGGCATTGAGTGGCAAAACATGATCATATACACTAGGGTATTGGAAAGAGCAGGTATCGCGTTGTTTTCCTCAACGATAAGTCTACAAAGGCTGAGATGGCTCGGGCAAGAAGCCAGGCACACTTTAAGCTATCATAGATGTTATCACTCCTAGTGACGTTCTCTATGGTGAATCACAGATGGGTGTAATACTTCAGGAGGGGAGAGGGGCGCCTCTGCTACGATGGGTAGGTTGGCCATACATGATACGTCCTGTTTTCACCGGAACAGTCCCATTTTTAAGGTGTGCTCCGGCTGTCACGGCGGTATTTTGAAGAAAACGATAATTGTGCTGTATTATTAAATTCTAGGAATTCGCCCCAGAATATAACATACACCTATAGTTATGTGTCTACATAATAAGCTTTCGTACTTTGATGAGAAGAGGGAAAATTGAACAGTAAGGAGCGTGTCCTGCTAGCGAAAGAAAGAGAGAACTCCAGCAAAGTTGTAAAGAAACCAAGAATAAGCAAGGCCGACAAATTTACATCCACAGACAATATAACGCAGAAGGTCGACAGTAGCACAACCACCGAAACTGAAATCACAGCCCTAGAAGCAGGAACAATAACTGATGATGAAAGCCTCGAGAGCATGGAGACCAACTTTAAGGAAAGACTGCGAACGAGAAAATATTCCCACACAGAATTGAGGCGTCATCACTCAAAGATATTCCCACACAGAATTGAGGCATCATCACTCAAAGATATTCCCACACAGAATTGAGGCA